TGACCTCATTGCTACTGCCAGAGCAATCCCACCACCACCAAAGGGAGCTGGGGCTGCAAACTGGCCCTCACGATGGCAGAAGGGGAGCAAAGAAAGGGTTTGGTTTAAGATGACCACAGTGACATGCTTTTCTGCTTAGAATCCCGCTATGAACAAATGTCTTCAGTGAATGTAGGTTAGATACTGGAGCATATCCTCAGAATGATCTAGAGAAAGTTGGACCAAGGAAGCCCCTGGCAGTCATGACCAGAGAGACTCAGTCTGGACTAGTTGCTGCAAGCTTGCTCTAAATCCCGTTCCCTAAGATGTTTACTTGCAGCTCTTCTCTCTTCAGCACTGTTAAGTCGGCAACTCTAAAGCTGTGGTCTGAGCTTGCTGCATCCTTCTCAATGCTTCTGTTGGTTTCACGTGCTGGATGAACTTGCTCTTCTCTCTCTGCTCACTGTGATCCTTCATCAGGCAGGTGAATCAGCAGCCCACGTGTCTTCCAGCTTGAGCAGTCTTTGCAAAGCTGTCAACAGGAGTTTCTGGGCCTACTACAAAAGGTATATATGCAGGTCTTCCTCCCACTTTTTCCCAAGGAACACACAGATTGCTGTGTGAGCCCCACAATATACTTTACGCTCAGTCTGTGGGTGTGCTTCTTAGTCACAGCAACCCATTCTTTTCAACCAGTTGAACAAGGATAAGAATGTTGTATAAGAAAACTTAAATGTAAATTCATTCTCAGACATAAAAAGAAAAACAAACTTTGCAAAAACAAAGAAACTTGTGAAAACAACTCATCACCTGGGCATTTCAGATACATGGAGGCAACTCCTGTTTAGTGTCATGAGCTGTTATGTAAGAATGTGAGAAATGAAGGTGTTCATACTTCTCCTTTCCACATTTATGCATTGCCATGCCATAGTTCTTGTTGTTGATGGAACACATGCCGTGAAATCTTCACTGAGTACACTTTGAACTTGGCATAGCTTCAGAGGACCATGTACAGAGCTTGTATTATCTGGTTAACTATCTTATGCAACAAGAGCCCAGCACTCATCCAGATCAGCAGAGTTAGCCAACCAGCTCATGAAGTAGATATTGGGGGACAGCAGCAGCACCCCCTAGCCATTCTTCTGAACACCCCATCCCTCAGACTAGCCTGCTGCTTTTATGTGTGATGAAGCACATGTTCTGTCAGTGCTGGAGTGAGATTCAAATGCAAGTCTGGTCAGCTTCTATCAGAGGGAGCAACATTTTAGCCCTTGCCTCAGTCACCAAATTGTCTTGGGCTGGCCCTGATGCTCACAGGAGAGCCCTGTGGCTCCACTCTTATGTTAACAGCAACCCCCCAAAAAATCCCTGAAAAGTGCAGTTAGTTCTTTCACTTTTAAGTCCCAAACATTACTTTGTATTAAATATACACCCAATAATCCAGTTTGGGTTGCAACATATTAGAAATCAGTATTAAAGCTATAGCTCACTATGAAATTCCTTTTGAAAACTGAGATATAAGCCTTAAAATACAAGCCACTCTCTAAGAAAGCAAATGGCTCAGATTATTAACTGTTCATTTAAGAATTCCAGCAACATACCTTAATGATCTGTTTTGGGTCAGCCGTGGTACCTCGGTAGCTTGGTCCCTCCGTGCCACAGCCCTGGAAGGTGGAGTGTGACACCTTGTACTGAAGAACTTAAAGACTCAGCCAGTCACAGAAGGGAGGATGAAGACCAGCCAATCAGGGACAGTTGGCTCTCCAGGTCAGAAATTAGCACATGCCAGTTGAAATGATCTATGGCAATAGTCATTCTCTTCCTGGCCTTTAAGCTACCTTTTGTGGTTTGCAAAGCTTTATATGTGAAATTGTTTGAACGGCACAGTAAAGCTAAATTCAATTCAGTACAAGGATCTTAGCTTTGCAAGCTCCATCACCCTCCATAAAGGAAATGGTGGATGGGGCAACTGGACATTCCCAATCTGACAGCTTTGTTTTGTTTTGTGTTATATTTTCAAAACAGGTTTCTTTGTTTATAAAGTCTACATGATTGCATGTCTCCTTATCAAGAAACACTGATATACAGTGAATGATTTCTGTATAATATTTGGACTTAACAGGACATTTTAACATACAGACCCTCTCCTGTCTCTTTTTTCTTTTCCTTTTGTTGTGGTTATATGCCATTAATATTATTCCAACATCTCCTCTCCTTGACAGTCTTGCTCAGCTCTTGTAAACTCATTTTGGTTTTCTTGTCTAATAGAAATGACACAAGATGAGAGGTTACAACACTGCCCCCGACATCCAGAAATATGAACGGGGAGACTCACAATCATGTATTGTTTGTATTAGACCTTACAAAGAAGAGAGAAAAATTCCACTGTGCAAACTAACCGATATCTCTTTTAAATGATCCTAATTCTCATATTAGTCAAATAATCATGTGGCATCCACGTATAGAAGTTTTCCATCAGAATAAGACTGAAGATATTGGGAAATCTCTGGATGACGGGAAGTAGATTGGCAAGGGTTTCTTATTACCAATTATGTGGCAAGAGCAACAAGTAAAATTGAATGTTAAAAACAAACTAACCTCTGTCATAGCTGGTCATGTGCTAAAGCAACCTTTGAGATGTTTTGGATTTTACTTCCCATCATCCCCAACCCTGACCAATAGTCAAGAAGGCTGACCTAGTGTAAGGGTGCGTTTCCTAGGTGAACAGTCTTTGTTGAAAATGCTTTGATTCTGGAAGTACAAGGCAGTTCCAAACTATACCAAATTCAAAGGACATAGGAAAACTAAGTCTAGCTAAAGGAAAGGTGCCAGAATTCCCTTTTTGGGGATATGTTGACCAGCTCTACTTGTTGCAGTTTGAGGCCCACTGAAGCATATGCATTTCTTCTTCAAAGTTCTTCTGTTCTGTGGCTTAGCAGCACCCAGAGAAAATCATTGTTCCTCCCATCAGGCCATAGGTTGTCTAGCAGCTGGTAGCCAGATCTATCACAACCTTCCCCAAAGGCATGAGACTGTGATGGTGGGAAAGCTGTGATCTGATCTTATACTTTCCATTCTCTCATTTAGCCTAGCCTCAAATATATTGCAATACTTGCTTAAAGAGGAAAATGTTATATTACTCCAGGTTATTTCAAAAACCCGTATACATATACTGGATCATGGCTGAGTGTCTGGACTGTTCTGCCTAAAAGACTTGAAATTAGTCCCACATCTTCAATTTGTTTCAGCCCTTGTCCACACTGGTCAAGATGTCACATTTTCAATGATTCTTATATGCTCAACAGGACTATTTAGTGAAGCCTGCAAATGCTTAATAGAATGTGATGGACATGATTTCCTTTTCAAAAGGAAGAAGACCAACATTGCAAATCCGTTAACATTTGCTGGTCTGTACAGTTAATAAACCAGTTTTGTGTTTAAAGGTCACAATATAAATTCACAGAATCTTGTAAAGTTTTCCAAGAACGATCTCAGAATTCATCACATTTGGTCCAAGCAATCTAATATTTTTACTAAATAATATATTCTGAGTACTATTCAAGTGCTATGTGTAAAAGCCTACCCAGCATCCATTGTTTCAAAACAACTGTGGGTCCTTGAATGGGATAATTTCAGCTTTTGCACCTAGTCCATTGGCCATGCTTTGGAAGAAGGACTGCTTATTTCATCCGCATCCTGTTTTGCATTGTTTCCACTTGATCACCCTGCTATTATTTATAGATCAATTTGAATTTCCAAAGTGCATTTACTCTTTTCCTCAAAGCATATTGTCTAGTTCTTCTAGATGTCTGTTTAAATAGCAGTCTTGTGACTTGGTACCAAAGATGATGTCAAGCAAAGTACTGATTCATCTGTTGAGCATCTGCCACATATATGTTTTTACACGAGTCCAGCCATATCAGTCAGGGATAATGAGAGTTGTAGTCCAATACAGCTGGAAAGCACAAGGTTGAAGGAAGTTTGTTTACATCAGAAGGTTACCCAGTAATACTGGTACAGGAGCATACAGAGCTTATGTAGCCTAGAGAAGTAGGCAGGGAATGGATTGCCATGTTTTGGACTTCAGCTCCCCACATTCCTGCTCACTGACCATGCCAGCATGCCTGACAAATAGTCAGTCAGTCTGGGACTTCTGGCATTTGTAGTTCAAAACATCTGGAATCCACCAGGTTGGGGAAGGGGCATTTGTAGTTCAAAACATCTGGAATCCACCAGGTTGGGGAAGGGTGCTCCAGCACCCTCTCTTTGGAGGGCTGGCCACTGAGCATTATGATTTCAGTGAATTATACCTTAGTGCTTGTCATGCTGTGATATTGCTCACCATCAAATGGAGTACTTGTGCATTATGATGACGATAATGATAAAGCAGCAGCAGCAGCATCTGCTTGACAAGGAAGTCAAGAGCTGCCTTCAAGTATCTATAGGTGCTGATGAATGGTAATTAAAGTTTTGGGGGTTACCTTCTCAAATTCAGCATGTTCATCTTTACCAGTTGTGTCGCTTGAGAAGTGGGTGAGACACTTGTTTCTTAGGCTGTTTAATCCCCTTTTAAGATTCTGGCCCAAATTCCTGCATACCATTTTGCAACTGCTGCAGGGGCAGAGTAGATGTCCAATGGAAAAATGCTAGGACATGCGGTGGCAAGAAGTGGCACTAGATAGGAGTAATACAGTGGGCTTTCATTTTATAGTTTAAGCCAATTGAAGCTTTTAAACTACAATCACACACACTCAGTGGGACTTAACTCTGAGTAGACATGTATAGGTTTGCATTATTATAAAGAAGGAGCCATGGCTTAGTGGCAGAGCACATGCCTTGCCAATAGAAGTTTAGACCCCAATCTCCAGTTCAGAGGAACAGGTACCCAGAAGAAAAAACTCTGCCCAAGGACTCCGGGTGCTTCTAGATAAGGACTGTGTCCTGCAAACACCAAGCATGACAAAATCTTCCATTTGTAAATGTCCTGTGCTCTCTTAATGCTTCATTTGACTTCCTTCTTGCAGAAATAAGACTACTCCTCAAAGACAAAGGCATATGTTTCCATTCATGAAGCCGATCGAGGAAAACATGTCAGACTTGATAGTGTCAAAATAAACCACATGCAGGCAGAGGTGGACATTTCCAGGTTCCTAGAAAAGAATGGGCCTTATGAGTAGAGAGCAGTAACTACCTATGATACCATCATAATTGAGAAAATTGCCTCCATTTTTTAAAGTTCTGTATGCCTCATTCCATAAGAGGAGTGTGCGTGTCCTCCCTGTAGAGTGGGGAGGTGGCAGCCTTTCTACGCAAGCAGAAATCTCAGAGGCAAGATGATAGTACTAGCCCTGCCAAATGAGAAATGCTGGGTGTGTAGGAACTGTGTACAAAACCTGTTATCTCTCTATCCTATGCTGCAATCACGCCAATGATACCAGCACGTTGTTTCAGGGGAACAAGACAGGGCACATAATTTTGGAGCTTAGCTTTTATTTCTTTTTTCAGTTCTTGCACTCAGCACATATTCCCCAGTCTCCAAATTCTGTTCCAAATGAAGAATGCAACAAACAGCTTAACAAGGGCAAGGACCATGCATCTGAGAAAGAGTGTCCATAGAGCTGGGGTGTTGATTGATTCCTAGCCCCACAAATAATTCTGTATTCCTTCTTCAAAACTTGCTATCTTCAATTTCACTAGCCTATCATTAAAATTAAGAATGCAATCTGCAATCTAAAGCAAGCCAGCCACATAATAATACTTGGTACTGCAAAGTCCTCCTTTCTTTCCTTTCATTTTGTAAAACTTTGAGTCTAGTCACTGATTTTTTACCATTCCAAAAAACTGCACTCAGTTGCCTTTACCAGTCTTGGAAAGTTTTTCCCTGCATAAAAATTGCATGACACTTTTAGTTTAGATCATTCCAGTAAGTCCTTTGAACCTTCACCCAAGTTGTTTTATAATTATCTTGAAATACTGTATCATTATGTCCCATCACATTTATTCCTAAATACTGGATTGGTTTAAAAATTATTTCACATCCTGATTTTTTAATTTTTTCCTCTTCTTGTTTTATTGCAAACTTCAATATATTTGGAAAGCTTATTATAAGAAATTTAATTAATATACAGGAAAACAGAACTTGTAAAATATTATTAGTGAGCTTCACCTCAATGTTAAAGTTATGATATTTATAATTATTTGAAAAGACTGGACATTTAGTTGGTTTCAAGCACTATAAACTAGAACAATTTATTTACAAGTCTTAACTAAGAACTGATTGACTAAATTGTGGGCAGAAGAGAGATAAATTTTTGCTTTTTATGAATTTTTTTAGTTCTTGAATTTGTATGCTATATTTATGTAATATCCCTTGGTTTTCTTTTTCTTGTATTTTTTCTGTATCTTGCTTCTTTTTTAATGAAAAAAGAGGGGGAGAGTTTGCTGAGTCATTCATCCCAATTACTAAGTCACTTTTTTAAGTTCCAGCAAGATCACTGAGAGGTCTGATATAGTACGTACATACATTTGAGTGTACCTTGGAAGGTATGCAGAAATCACATATACAGCTTCCCTGGCAGATGAGTCAATACAGAAAGGGTACAAAGGCAGATAATCTGAAAATCATTGTATTTGTGCAGTTGTTCCAGGATGCCTTATGCAGTTGGTCTCTGCCCTAGCAATAGCACCCCATGGAGTGAGACAAGCAAAGAGGAAGCGACTTCTTGCTATTGTACCTACAGCCAGGTAAGGAACAATGGAGAATTCCTATGCATTTCCCAACTCATTCAGAACAAGGCAGCTCCTACCTGCACAAGGCTTAGCATGTGCACACTGGAGAACTACAGATTTCCCAGTCAAGTCCAACAAGTCTCACCGTCCTTAAAGGTGTGGTTTGGTTTTTAAAAAGCAACACAGGGAAGCCACAATGAATCACACTATATTGCACAAGTGAGTTTCAAAGATCATCACTAGCTCTTCAGGCATATTTATACAGTTTTTTCTTTTGCCATAAATATGGAAATAGAAACATAGGCTTATAAATGCAGTGCTTTTAAGATGACAAAAGCAACTGAAAGAATCTAGTCTGACTGGTTGGTTTTTTTAGGCTAGTTGTACTTGTCCCACTCATTCCTGCACCAAATTAATTCCTTTTTGAAGTGACTAGTCTCTAGCCTTTACAAAACCTTTTTGTATGGATAGCTGCAAATGCTAGAGTATCAACAGTCACCTTGGGTTTTAACAATTAGGAAAGGAACCGAGGATGATTAGATAGATTTCAAATTCTTTTATAGTGATAACTTTTGAAGTGCAGTTGAGAATCTCCATAGCCACGCTCCCAAGGAGGGTCCAAGACATTAGGCAGCTGTGTTATCAATCCTAGCAGTAACGTCTCCACCATGACCAGGTCTTTTTAAAGCTAAAGGTTCTTAAGCGCCCCTGAGTATTTCACATTACTGCAGATATTGCTGACAGCTATATATTATTGCTGGGAATATCCATTCCATGAAGCCACCAGCTGTATGGATTGTGGCTAAATTCAGAGGAAACAGAATTCACTGGGAGTGGGGTAGTACATGAAATTAGTGATCTTGCTTATGAAGAAGTCCCAGCACTTCAACCCTGAAAGTCTTGCCTCCACTCTATCAGGCTGTAGTAAACACAGCCTATTGGTTTTAATTTTGGAAGCTGTAGAGATACTGGCTGATGAATGGGAACTGCCAATCAAAGTGGACTTCTGTGGCTTTAAGAAAGAATAAGGGCAATGTTACACATGGGGCTAGGCTAAAATCCTATGCATGCTTACCTGAGACTGTGCCACACTGAAACCAATAGCTTATTTCAGAGAAAGCATACATGCCTGCTGACTTGAAAGCAGTGACACTCTCGGTGTTCTTTATTTTGCTTGTTTCGTAACATGGCAGTGACACCTAAATTGGCCAGAATGTGCACTCATATTTTGCATAGGATACGCCTATCAAGCTTTAAATGCATATGTGATTTCACTAGTATAGGAATGTGTTTAACCTTTAATGCTTTCAATATTATGTCAAATGGATGGTAATTGTTTCCAGCAACTATTTCACAATTCCCTTGTATTAAAACAAAAACTTTCTAAGGTTAAATTAATACTATGAAGCCTGCAGTGTTAATTATTACAATTCTACAGTCCCTGGGTGGTGTCTCAGGTATCATGGGATGTTACAGACCTTCTCCCTTGTGCCTATAGCTACAAGCATGGAGGAGATCTTCCCTCCCAGTCACTGAAAAAAGCTTCATAAAAAAGACCAGTGAGAAAAGGGGACATGTTGGTGTGTGGGGAGGTGAAAGGAGAGGCCAGGATATGCAGTTCCCTATGGCCTCTTAAGTCTTCTCTCCATTCACCAAAAGGTAGGTCAGCTAGATGGGCCCATCTTTGGTTTTTGTATTTAAACCAAAAGAGTGGAGACGGGTGTACAGTGGAGCAGTGGGCCTTATACTGCCTTTCATTTAGCTCCCTATTTCCACGGAGCAGCCTTTCCCAACCTGAGGTCCCCCAGATGTTGCGGGAAACTACTCCTAGCATTCCTCACAATTGGCCCTAGTGGCTAGCCCTGGTGGGAGTTGATGTCCAGAACATCTGGAGATTGGGGAAAACTGCTATAGAACTCCTTATGTCCACGGGGTTAGTCTAATCTATAGGAATAGTGTCTTGCAGGATTACTTTCTTTTTCTAGGAAGTAGGAGACCATTTGTACCTGTTAGGTAGCTACAAGCAGTTTCTAGTTTTCTGAGATTAAAGTGGAAGTGTCTGAAAAATGTATTGTGAGCTTCATATTCACAGATACATGGCGAGTTAGATGAAGACAGCCCCTCACACACATACATACAGTGGTGAGAAGAGTGGAACCTCACGGGAGGGGAAGACCAACAGCAGCAGCACAACTTTGTTATCATAGGCATCCTGGCTGTGTTTGGAGCTGCTGAACTGGCAAAGCACTTTTCCATTTCCAAATCAAGGAGCTAAAAGCTTGCCCACTGCATATGTAAGCTGTAGGATTGCCACCCCCATTTAAAAGCACTGCTGGCACCTGAAGCCACTTTGTCCAGCCCATCTGCTCTTTTGTCCAGCATGCCCCCTTAAATAGTAATACATGCTTTAAAAACTATACAGCTTCATCAAGATAATAAGAGGATTAAAATCAATCACAGGAAGCTAGTCTAATGGGGGGAAAGGAAGCTACTTTATTTAGTTGACCATTATGAGAGCCAGTGTGGTGTAGTGGTTAAGAGCATGGGACTGGGACTCAGACGATCTGGGTTCTAGTCCCCGCTCAGCCATGGAGCCAACTGGGTGACTTTGGGCCAGTCACAGACTCTCAGCCCAACCTACCTCACAGGGTTGTTGTGGGAATAAGATGGAGGAGGAGAATGATGTATGCTGCCTTGAGCCCTTTGTAGGAAAACGGCAGGATATAAATAAAAAAATAAAAAAAAATAAATTCTCAATTAGCCAAGATGGGGCATGAAGGCAAGCCAACTGATCACCTGACCGTTCACTCTTTTCCAAGTTCATTGCTGACTAGCATTAGCCAGACTTCAGTCTTAATAAGCACCTTAATTAAAAGTTTTAAACCAGGAGACTATTTCCTTTCCACTCCTGGTTGATGCTGGGCTCCAGCTCCCATCAGCCTCAACCAGTAGGGCCAATGGTTGGAGATAATGAACACTGTAGGTCAGTGGCATCTGGTGCCCACGGATTTCCCTTTCATGGGTTAAAAGCTGGTCTAGAGAAACCCTTGAAGGCGATATAAGGACATAGTGTGTTTCTGCACGAACTGACCTTGCTTGTTCAATATTAGAGAGCTTTCCCCACACTTGGAGCCTTTCTGATGTACTGGACTGCTATTTCCATCATTCTCAGCCAGAAAGGCCACCTGCTCTGTATAAGATGAATTAAGGAGGGTAGCTTTGCTGTGTGGAAAAGAGTGCCATGCTGCTGTCTTCCCTTTAACAGTCTGGGGAAATGTTCAGCCTGCAACAGCAAGCTCTTGAGGGAACATAACTGTGTCATACCAAGAGGAGAAACTGCTTTTCACATTCATCACATCAGAATCCAGCTGAAGTCTCCGGGCAAAGCCCAAAGACTCACTGCAACAGGAGCTGAAGGGGCCTCTCCATTTCTAATTTTATCTCGAGACTAGGCTGTTTCAACCCCAGCCCAAGCAAGTGGAGTATCATTGGCACATCAGATGGAGAATTCATGTTCTCATGAGCATGGATATCATGGGCACAAACACTCCAAACTGGAAGGATATCGGCTGTAGAGAGGATTGCACTTTTCCAGTCTAATAATGCACAGAGAGTGAGCAACGCTTATGCATTTCTTGTACAAAGACTGATTTCAGTAAGCCTTTGTTTGGAATGCTGCCCACTTACATCAGCCTTGTCTGTCTCTTGCCTTCCCTTCCACTTCTTTTTTTGTAACATCTTGCCTGATAAAGAGATCTAGAAATCCCAAAAGCTTGCTCAAAATTTGGTTGGTCCTAACGAAGGTATTACTTTACTTTAGATTTTGGAATGTTTATGTACCAGTGTCTTTATGATTTAATAAAGAAATAATAATATTGTAAGCTCTTAGAATCCTTTTTGTAGCTGCAAGAAACAGTTCATGATACATCAATTGCTTCTTTGTCTATGCTCCTTATACTATTTGTCAGATCTCACATCATTATAAGTGTTAACTGAATATACTTTATGACAATAGCTCCTTGTGCCAGGGGTTACAACTGCTTACTAATTATCTCTTTAATGCATGAAAGCTAAGAAATGCTAACTATTTCCTACTTCCTCTAGCTAAAGGATATGAGGTTGTTATTCGTCTATGCAACAGAGCCCCGGGCAAAGGTTATAGGTAGTAAGTGTTGGCTTAATATCTCTGATAATTATTGTTTTGGCTTTTTCAATGACTATGAATGGAAGGCAAAATAGGAGTCTATCAGCAATGGCCATGAATGCTGGGAGATGTCATCCAGAACACTAGAGGGCGCTGGCCAGGGAAAAGCTGATCTATACAGTGGCCTTTGGGTTTCTATCCTGTCATGGAAGTACTATAGCTTTCTAGAGAGAAACGTGGGAAAGCACTATTGATCTGTTAGACTCGGTTCTGAGTGTCAGCAGGGTCGCAGGTGGGGGAACATTTACTTAGCCTTGCTACCTGAGATTTTGAGCATGGGGCCTTGTGTTGAAAAAACACTCATTCAACCACTTAGCTAAGGCTCTTCCACTCCACAATAAAAATAAAGGCCATGAAACAGAATATTGCCAAGATATCAGGGACAAGGTACCCCCAGCTCACCGTATAAGCCTTCCCACTCAATCCATGACGACCTTGGGTGAGCCCCACTCCTAAAAGCCCATTCTCCAAAGAAGAGGGAAAATACAGTTTGAAAACATGGGAGAGTTACAAGTGGACCTCCCTCCACACAAAATTCCACGAATGAGGCAGTGCAGTTGCATAATAAAAGGCTGGTCTGGAGGCATCCATGACAGTTGCTGGCTTCCCCTTCTTAAAGCACAGCCTATCTTACCTGGAATCTATGTAATATTGATTGGCTTTATATGCAACTTTTTCACTTATGAACTCAAAGCAGCTTACACCATTCTTCTACTGCTTCTCAATCTTATTTATTTATTTGAGCCAGAATGATTCTCAACAACAACCGTGTGAGGTAGGTTGGGCTGTGACTGGCCCAAAGTCAACCAGTTGCCTCCATGGCTGAGCAGGAACTAGCATCTAGGTATCCTGAGTCCCAGTCTCTACAACACTGGCTCTCTGCCACTCTGGAAAAATGGTATAAATAGCAAACTGCTAATTAAGAGGGGTGAAGACAGGATAAAGGTTCCAGTTCTCTTTCTTCCCTGCCACAGCCGCTTGAACAATGTCAAAGGGGGGGGGGGTTCCTATTATTCTACCTCCTTTACAGCCCCAACATCTTGTCACCAGTGCTGAATTGATTCAGCAACAGATAAGTTCAATGGAATTGAGCAGAGTGTGGGGGAGAATTTTTGTCCATTTCTTTTTTCACTTCTCTGAGCTATATATGTTTAGGAGCTACCTGGACAAGAAAAATTAAAGTTCCTGTAGTGTACAGTGGAGAAATAGGCTGGGAAATAGAATCATGGCATGTTTCCAAGATACAATACTATGTATAAAAATGATGATTTTTTATTTCAGCAGATACCAGAAGAATTTCATTTCATCAAATAAAAGCTGAACATTACAAAGGCAATAAACTTTCCATATAGACAAAAATAGCACAGATATTCATTATGTCACCTAGTGTTTTGCTTCAGTTATTGCTAACATGCCTTCCTGGACCAACTAAGGTCCATATCAGAGGCACTGAACCTCTTTCAGCTTGAGGGCTGAATTGTATTGTGAAGAAGCTGTCAAGGTCCTATTCCAGTGAGGCAGGGTCAGAGGCGAAAAGGAGCCAAAATGCCAGCCAATTTTAGCTCAAAAGTTCTTACTGCCAAGCCTTAAGAGAGGCATTTCAATAATTTCAAATGGGGAAACAGGTATAAAAACTGAGAACCCCCGTTTAACCAGCAAGGAGGACAAAAAAAGGGAGCATGAATCCTAGATGGCTAGTTTTGGGCCCTGGGCCTGGTCTATATAGCTCAACTTCCTTTTTTGATTAAGGTTGCTAACCAATCATAGGAAAAGTATGAAGATCTCCTCCCTCTTTCCATCTGTGAGTGGATGAGAATTTGGAAAACCAAGAAGTCCTTTGTTTTTAAAAGAATTTTACTGCACATGCATGCTGGGACTGGGGGGGGCTGGACCTTTTGTACATGCAGACTACTAAATCCCTTTGAGCACAGCTAAGGATTGGAGATAGTGGGCAAACAACGGCAATGTAAGCTGGAAGAAGCAATTAAGAGCCATCTTGGCTGTGCTGACTGATGGAGTAAGCAACAGCGAGGAAGAGAAGTACTGAGAGCAGAAGGGGACAGCTTAGGTAGAAAGTAGACAGCCATAGAGTTGAGTGATAATGGTGATGGAGCTATTTGGTGCCAAGGAAGTTGAACAGCAGAACCCAAGTTTGGTCTTCATGCTTAGCCAGAAAGAGAAGCAGTAACTCCATTTCAAAGTCAGTATCCTCATGATTAGTGTGTGAAATAGCATTTTACTATTAATTTTAGAACACAAATATGTAGGCTGTATCTAGCTGAAAAACATTTGAAATATTTAGGTCTTCCTGGCAATAGTTTTTGGATTTGATCAGTGATGGATGGTCAGCAAAACAATACAAAAACATAATAATGAGCACAATATCTCATTTGAATACAGTTGTAATTAAATCTGTGTCATAGTCCAGCAAGTGTTTCCAGACACAAGAACTCCCTGCACAGAAGCAGTTCCTCCAACACCTTGACAAACTCCCATTTATTACCATCAAGAGAACTGATCTAGTCATACCAAGGAGTGAATACAGTTTGGGTTTCTCCACTGAAAAGAATGAGGGAGCTTGCATATGTGGGCATGTATTTGAATATCTATACACTGCAATTCTCATGAAGAGTAAATTCCAAACTAGTCATGGATCCTACTCCCAAATAAAGGCTGTTTAGCATTCCAGACTGAGAGACTGGTAGCATCGAAAGAATAATTGGACAGTGCTCCCAGCAGATGAGCTAATTGTAGGCACAACCCAATGCAAATTTATACAGGACAAAAGTCCTACAACTTCCAGCATGCCCCAGCCAGCCATGCTGTTACATAAGAAGGAAAGGGTAATTCTGTATTTAAAATAAAAACAGCTGATTCCTAGAATACCATCTTGAAAGAGAAGAATAGTTTCCTCTGCCATGATTTAAAATCTACTACAAAAACTGTGGTTTGTGCAATTTAAGCCAATTAGGTCAAATATGACCAGATGCTCCTACATCTTTAATGTGAACCTACTTCTGCACTTGGATCTTTCATCTTTGGATACATTTGTAAATGGATGCTTTGCTTCATTATAAGACAATATTATGTATAACACACTCTGTTGAGTCTACTTTTTGAAAGACTCAACAGAGTGTTATACATAATATTATATAACTATACTGAGGAGATAAACATTTCTGGCAGTCTCTTTTTTAGGATACGGAGTGGCAAAAGAGCAGAAGCAATGTTCTATTGGGAACATTCCAATGTTCCACAGGGAACCCATTTTAAGTTCTTGCAATACCTATAAGAAGAGCTATTGAAAACGACAGGTTGCCACATAGGTAGATTAGCAGGAGAAATTGTTCACTTTTCACCTAGAAAGGAAAAATACATACATTAAATAAACCTTCTGTTTTGCTGAGAAGCAATGTTTACTCACAGTCAGATAAAATTCAAGATCTTCCACAATAATGCTCAAGATGTCTGTTCGTGAGTTTTATTTATTTGCAGCCCTTATTCCTTTTGGACAATTTACCAGGACACAGGCACGAGGCTGTGAGAAAGCCAAAAAGCTGCAACGACATTCAGCACCAGCTCTAGGCTTCCGAGGGACCTTGGGCAGATCACCTTCAATGGGACCCACCTTAATAAGTCTACTTTCCTACTACCATTGTCATGAGCAACTATTGCTCTGGTGCTCTTAAAGATACACACACCCAAAAATCCTCCTCCAGAACCCCTCTAAGTAGGGATGGTCAGTTAGGATTCCACCTGAGCTGACACTGTATAATCAGTGGTTGACAGCACTAGGAGTCTGGATCCATCCCAATATAAATTTCTTAAAGCCACAAGAACAAAAGTATTACCTTGGCCTGTGAATGCTCATATATTTCTGAAAAAAGTAAAACAAAAACAAAAAAGCAGAACAGTAATGAATCTTGATTTTTGTTTTTAAAAAGGCAGAAAAGCTTTGTCTGGTGGGAACAAAATCAAGCTTTACCTTTCTTTTTCAACCACAGATCTACATCCAACATGATCACCATGAATGCCTCCCAGCCCACAAAGCCACACATGGTTTTAATCATCCACTGGCTATCAGACTTGCTGAGCATTTGCAGTCCCAGAAATATGGCAGCAACTAAAGAAAAAAGAGAGAGAGAGATCTTGGAAAGTAGGTAGAAATTGCCTAACAAACCTTTTCATGGTACCACACATACCCCATTCCCTGCATGTAGAAAAACAGGCTGTCAGGGATAGTGTGAGTGTGATCTTAAAGAGAGAGAGCGCAAGCATTGAAACATGCAGTCCTCCACTTGCAGTCTGAAGCACTATAGGAAAAGCTTTACCATAGCTTCTATTGACCAAAGTGATCCTGGAATCTCGAATAAAACTTGGATTTTTTTCACTACGTATCTATAATTCCAACAGTTATAGCTTCCCATAAAGAATCCTGGGAATTGTAGTAAGAAGAGAAAGTAAGAATTGGCTGATAGAGATTATTGCCCATCTCATATAGTTATAATTCTCAGGATTCCTTTAAGAAAAAATTATTGTTAGACCAGTAGGAGTTAAGTCCACAGCAGGGGGTACATCTTTTCTATTTTTTGTAGGCGTTGCCTAATGTTCTTACATTTCTATGCAATTAACCAAAATGGCCCACTTGCATTTAGGTTTTTGGGCAGCAATGCAGAGCTAGAATTCTGCCTCTTAAAAGCAAAATGAAACGAAACGAGATGAGACAAAACAAGGAAAACCTCATAGATCTTTTCAGTCAGATGCTGAGCACATGCACTTTGAGGCCAGTTTCCCTTATGTATATTAGTTGCTGTTACAAGTTTCTACCTACCACTGCAGTTTCTAAGCATAGGAGCTTAGGACGTGGCTGTCCTGTAGCAGTCGTCAAAGACATGCAAATTTCTAGATTGCCTTGCTCAATGGGATTCAAGCATTGTATTTTTAAGTTACGACAGAAGTATCTGCCTACTTACCTGCCAAAATTTTGATGACTAATGCGTTTAGCATGTGAAACCAATTAAAAATAAACCTCCTGTTGGTGCAATGAAAAACACTATGTTAGTTATCTTTGTTCTCAAATATGTAAACATTAGCAAATTGCAGGGACAGGCTCTTTCTACACGTGCTCCTTGTGGTGGAACAGACATATTTTTGGTTCTTTTTAATGTATCTAAATTGCGGTGCAAAATTTCACAGAATGGTGTTTTGCCCTTTAGCACTGACCACTCTGGTAATTCAAGAAACACTTTTAAACCAGTTAATTATGCCTACATAGCAATATAGTGGACATGTCATATATTAGCTTGAAAGAATGCATGTACAGACCGACTATTTTGAAGAGAAGGTCGGAAAAAGGCTATCACTGCCTGAAGGAAAGAGAGGGACATGACCATGCCTCCTATAATGGCATGAGCTCCTGCACTCTGTGGAAAAGAAAAGTGGCAATTTACATTTCTGCTTGGTTAATACAACTAAAGCCATTTTAATACTGAAGCACATTTTAATACTGCAATAACATCTGTGATTTTTCTTGTAGAAATCTTTCATTCTGATAGCATTGTGCAGGGGTGGGAACTTGTGGCCCTCTGCATGTTGTAGAACCACAATGTCCATTATTCCTGACACTGGCTATGCTGACTGGGGCTGATGAGAGTTGGCGTCCAGCAATGTTTAGAAGACCACTTTCCACAGACCTGCCATATGTGAGGAAATGACACAAGATGTGTCCACTGTATCAAGTTTTGACACTCAGAAGGAGCTGCAGGGCCCAAGTGCCACATCTGACTCCCTTGGGATTACCTGAATTCCAATGGCCAACTCCAGGGGAAGGGGTAGCATTTCAGCCCCCACCCCTTCATAACTTCAAGTAACTCTCAGTTTAAACGAGCCATTCACAAGGGCCTTTGAAGCTGTATACACTGAGAAACGGAACTTACACAACTCCAGCCATTTGCAGACACAAAGATCAATATGAAAGCAATTATTGTTGCCACGACACTTAGCAACATCATCAAAAGGTGCATCTAAAAAAGAAGAGATAGTGTATAAGGGAGCAGTGGAAGCTAGAGAATGCTGGGTTATTTAGCCAGAAGCCCTACATGCAAAAAAATTGCAGCCTAAATTAGTTTATGACAATAGGAAGCAAATGATTGGTTCCGTTTGCCTGCTTTAGTATTATTATGTATAATTAACATTAATAAAGAAGCTTTTTAAAGAAGGTATTCTTTATATGAACAAATAATGCCTCCAAATGTCAGGTGCTGTTGTCACATGCCGTCTCAGTGGCCTTGAGAATGAAACCTCTTTAAAGGAATGAATGCACTTTCACCTTCTGCAGGCAGCCATGTGGAAACCCTTTAGTGAAAGTCACACAGACTCCTTAGAGACCGAGCGACTCTGCAAGCAAAAACGGCTGTACTGAATATACAAAAAACATGAAAGGAAAAGGATTGACTGGCATAAATTTCACTTCTTTCCTCAAGCGAATCCAAATGCTAGAGACAAGGGGATATTTTTTCTCCTTTTGCCTGCTGCATTGAATATACTGGAGCTTAATATTGTGCTATGTAAGATCAGTCCAAGCTATTTTGCTGTCTGAGGTGAAGGACAAGATGGTTCCTGGCCATTCCACACGCAAAAGCTGTCCTGGTGGCAGCTAAAACCTGTTTTAACACTGGTGGCAGGAGAGCTACATTACACCTAAAGGCAGAAGACTGTTAGAGTGCACAGTATAGGTCGCGAGGCACACCAGCACATCACCTCTGCTTCCTTCTGTTGTGCATTTGCCACCTGAGGCCCCTGCCTCACTCTGGTGACCACCCTGTGGCAAGTGGCAAGGCAACTGAGGCTGCTGTCCTATTGTTTTCAGAAAACCCCACTGAACTCAGTGGAATTTTCTTCCAAGTAGATGTGTAGAGGATTGTGCTGTGAAATGCGAATTTGACAAGAGGCAACAGTGAAGAACAAAAGTTAGAGGCCATATTTGTTCACACAATTTTACTGTCAGACACTGTCTCCCAATAACTGGAAGATATACAACATACAAAAAGGAGATCTCTTGCATCCTGATTTTTTGAACTGGGAAATCCCCAGTTCAAATCCAATTTGTGCCGTCAGTCACCACAATTTTAGGTAGGCCCTTCATATGCAATAAGCTAATAAAAAGTGACCTACATATCAGCGACCTGTTATGGTATGGTTTAGAAATATTAGGTGTTATTAATGTTATTACTATGGCAACTTCTAAATACATAAAGGCAAGTAAAGGCTTTTATTTAAGAAAAGTTGAACTCTGAGAGGCAAATGGCAGGTTTCCATATTTCTGTGAAGAGAAACAGTTTGTGCTGTCTACACTTCCAAAGCTTAAATTATGTTTCACCAACTGAAACTAGTCTGGCAAAACACTTATTGCAACTTATTCACAGAAGCATATAAAATAACCGTCTTCTCTTTCCAGTTGTGGTTCTATAAACATGCATACCTGAAACCAAACTTCTTTGCCATGAAGTGATTTTTTGATGGACCTCAAGTACCTGGCGAATACTATTCCAACACTGCCAGTGGTCATCCATGCGGCAAACATGAGGGCTCCTGACAAAAGCAAACAGCAGGCATAGGGACATTTTAAAAATATGGCAATTCCAAAAAAATGGCCTATATTAATGTTGATCAGACATGTGGATACCACAGTGGACCAACTTATTCCAAGCACAACAGATTTGTGGATCAGTATTTTACTTTTGGGTGTGGGGGGGATCTGGGCAAATGAGTACTTGTACAAGGTTGTATGTGCAAATAAATGAAATTCTCTTACAAAAAATTACATTCCGTCAATGAGCAGATGACAGAAAAAAAGACTCTGGCAATCTGAAAACACTGACAGAATGGATTTAACAAAATCTGCATGTTCCTAGTAGGTGTGTCTACCAAGAATAATTGACAAAGCCCTAGAGTCTGGACTGAAACAAGTATTTCTTGATAAACTGACATGGATTTTTGCAGGTAATTTAGTATGTCTGTTCCCAGGTTTATAACGCAATGATTAAAGTGGCACCTAATCATTCTGCTGGAAACTTGGTCTTGGAGTTTACTTAGTGAGAAAGATCCTAATTACATGTGCAACTGATATAATCCATTGCACTGAAAAGTGCATTAAAAAGATACAATTTTTGTTTTCTAGTACTTTAATTGATGTTGCTGAATGCTCTTTTGATGAGAACATCATGTAACAGAGTTAGCAGCAACATCTCCTGTTAGTGACTGAGGCCTGCAAATAGTACCTGTGAAGATGGGTAGGTAAGGCTGTGCGATACCTGTAGGCCCATGCCAGTAATAGATGAAAGGCCTTGGCCACTGGGTAAGCAACAGGAAGGAGCATCAGTTTAGTGCAATGTCACAACCTGTGGCAGTAGAGCCTAAAGGACAGCCATATGACTAGGAACAAACTGGTTTGCATGGAACTCTGGTGGTTTTCTGTCCCAACACAGCTTAGATCAGTAACAAATGAGTCAATCCATGTGCTTAGGCTTATCATCAGAAAGACATAAGAGGAAAATGGATAGGGAGGGAAGAAGAAAACAAACAAGTTCAGGCAGTTGCTCCTAAAATTGCAATACTCAACTAAAATTATACTCTCCTATCCGATTTCCATTCAAGAGACTGCAAGGATTCTTAACAAAGGCAACTAATAGCTTTTGGCACTCTCAGGATATCCAGAGGTGTGTGATGGATGTAATTTGTCGAGGGCAGCCCTTGAAGGAGCAGAAGGACACCTTTGCCTCATCCGCTCTGCACAATTTGGGCTCATTTAAACAAGTGCAGAATTTCTTTAGCAGACCAAGATCTACTAGAACCCCCCTTTATAAAAATACTGCAAAAGCAAGCATGAAAAGAAGCAATGGAATGAACCTACACCCAGAGGGTGGCTTACCGTGAGCCTTAATAATCAAGGGTGTAGATCTGGTGCCATCTTGTGCTTCAAAGCCTGAAATGTTCACCTTCCGATCAGTAATAAAAGGTCTTTTGGGATGCTTCAGTATTTGCCCTTTTTTTTAAGAACAGGAAGAAAAAGTAGTTACCACAGTGACCCCCTGCTGTAACAGATGAAGCAGTACCTCAAATCATACACATCTGAATGAACAACTATACAATATTTCTACAAACAGCTACACTATTTATCTATAGCAAAGTAAGCATCCTATGGGTATAGAAGAGTGCATTTCCACAGATTTAGTCTTGCATCTGGTTACCTTAACCATTTCCTAAAGCAGGGCTCTCAGCCTCTTTGAGTCAGTGGGCACAACTGAAATTCAAAACATTCTGTAGGCATTTCACAAAACGAGTGTCACAGGGGACTTGTTCATTCATAAAATCAATACCATTCGACTGCTCACAAAGCATTTCCCAGAAGGCAAACTGATGAGACTAAAAGACATCTGCCAAAGAACCTATATATAAGGCAGAGATGGTATGTGAGCCCCAAAACACAAAACTTGCTCTTTTTCATGAAAACTTCTTAAGAAATAAAACTTAAGAAGAGCAGGGAGCCCTGGGGTCCCAAGAGAGGGTTCAAGTTATCACACTATATTGGTATTCCAGGTTTCAACCTTGTTGCAGGTGACCATTCCTAAGTTACAAGTGGACCCCTGCAACAAAATGTTGCAGTAAGGAGTGCTTCTGTTCTGGGTTTGGGGCACTCTATTCCATTACTTTTCCCCAGCCCCCCTGCCCAGTTTTAATTACCCTTCTCAAAACAGTGAGTTGGCCTTCCATATCCACTGATTATGCACACTTCTTTTTGGGCTATTGGGCTTTTTCCCTCCACTGGGTTCCTTCCCTTCTATCTTTTGCGGGTGGCGGGCAGACTCACTTAAGGCTAGCCCTGTCTACACTTAATTAATTTTTAATTGATGCCTATGAGTAGCTCTCTTGTACATCCCTCATTCATACTGACTTCTCAGTGTGAATCAGGAAAAGACTTATCCAGGCAATGAGATCTCTTTTCTACACACACACGCGCGCGCACACACACTTTCCTGTTCCAACTATTCCCTTCTCCCAACCGTTTGTCAAGTCTTTCCCCCCTTCTCATTCATACATTTCACATTAATGAGTAGTTATGGCCTGTTTGGGAAGTAGGGCTCTGTATGCGTTCCTTTCTCCCTAAATGTTTTGGAGGATATTTGCACAATGTGGGATTGTGCAAAGTCTGCCAACGCCTTTCTTTTATGCATGGCTCCAGCATGGAAGGATCCTATATATGGTAAAAAGTACAGGTAAGGACAGACTCTAGGGGCTCTTTGCACCCCCCCCCCACGTTTTAATAGCCAACATTAATGTTCTGAACCGGGGGTGCAAAGAGCCCCTAGAGGGCTGGCTGAACACAGCTCCCACTACCTGCTGATAAAAAAGGAATAGAGGGCAAAGTAATGGTTTGAAATGAAGTTTTGTGAGCAGACCACTACAGAGAATATTGGAAAAGTGTATTTGCTGTTCCAAATAAAAATGCTCTTTTGCCATTAAGGTGTTTCAGTTGTTTCTTAGATTTGAACTAGATAATTGCATATACAATTTTCCTTGAAATACTGTCTTTTCTGACCAGCTTCTAATCCATACTCACTGGCTGATGATGGTCCATAAGTCAAAAATATATAATACAGGCTGTCAGTATCTCTTGACTGGGTTGATATGGAATTTCTTGAAATGAAGGAACATTTGACAATTCCGTTGTTAAAGGATGTTGCTATAATCTCCACCTCCCCCTAAAAACACAGCTCTTATTACTGATATTTTGATAGCAATCACTATATATACTTATAAATAAAATCAGTGATAACTATGATAATAATCAATATTTGAGGCTGTTAAACTATTTCGGGTATTTTTATTAGATTGAACAATAAATGAAGAGCTTTTCCTATTTAGCATAGTTTTCCATGGGAATTGGTTTGGAATGATTTGATGTCAAAACTGAGAATCCAGAAGGCCATGTAAGCATGTGTGTTTTTACAGAAATCCATGGAATGGATTTTTGCCACCTTTGTTTTGAAAAAGCCACTTCTCCACTCCAGGTAGGAAATGCAACTACTCCACACTTAAACTCTGTATAACATCTTTATGAAAACTGTAGCTGCAGAAGATAAGTTTCAGTACCAGAGATTTAGTGCTGGGAGTAGTCCATCCAGTTGAAAAGGCACGTTGGACCTCCACCTCACCTGTGGCATTCCTACCACAAATATAGATATCATCATTCCCCTGGAAAAGGATATATAAATAAAGCATAACCATAATCCAATTTCCAGCAATTATTCAAGATAAGCTATTTTATTAATATTATTATTATTAATTCCATTTCTATACTGTCCCATTGCTGAAGCTCTGAGTGGTTTAAAACAATGTCTAAAACAAAACAATACACTGTAATACAAAAACTATAAAACAACAATGTTAAAATGAATTTAAATAGCTAAAAAATACAGTACAAAAGACCCTACAAAGGAAAGGAATCCTCTGAATAATCTCCTCAGGCCCCCAGATAACCACCGTGATCTTTAAAGGCCTCTGCTGAAAGCGTTTGGCACAGAAAAGATGGCAAGTTTGGCACAAGACCAGCAGCAGTAGGGAGGCTGATCAAAAGATGGGGGCAGGGGCAATATAAAAGTTCTGTTTATATTGGTTTAATCTCTTTTCACCAGCTCATGGGAAAACAGCCAGGCTCATCCTTAGAAGTTGTGGACTGATTAAGGCGGCATCCCCATGTACAAAACTGTTATAATCACTCTTTCCTTTCTGTCGGAAGAGAAAAATATTCCAGGCATGCAGAGAGTTCTTTTTAAAACTTTACTGCAATGAAGGGAACAGAAAGGAAGGTTTCCTTTCCATTGTTCTGTTCACCTGAGCACATGTTCACACACCCCTTTTGAACCCTGATCCCAGCCACTTGTTCCCTCCTCCTTTCCCCTAATTGGCTACTGAGAGTTTACACGCTTTCCGCCCGCCTACTCCCCGCTGCCCCAACACCAGCCCTTCTTCCCAATCCAGCCCTGCCCCTGGTGGGCTACAATAGGCTCATTTTGTTCTGCCAAGCTTGTCAATCAACAATCAGGAAGTATTTGGCCCTCCTGCCTATGTGCCTGTTTCCCCACAACTTGTGCTATCTGATTTTAGCCCCTCCCCTCCTTTGGGCTAAGTAATTTTCTTTGTTACCCTTTTAAATCTCTTTACTCCCTTGTTTCAAATCATCCTTTCACACCTATCAAAACTTTCCGGGTAAGCCTGCTGTAAAAATGCAATCACCAGGCTGTGAGGCATATGGATATTCCCGCTGCCTCTGCCCAGTGCTCAGGGAAAACCTCCTGTTTGCAGTCACAGCAGCTATGCACAACTGTAAGCACAAAGCTGCTCCCACATGCTTCATGTTCCTTGGGGGCATTCTCCCTCCCAGATTTTGGCAAACATTGAATCAAATGAGCCTACACAGTGCTTTAAAAAAACTTATAAATGGGCTGAAAGCCCATCTGACATCCAAGAAGAGGGGGAAAGCAGAAAATGAAATCAGCAAACAATTCAGCACAAATACATGGAAAAGTCACTTCTAGAGCAAAGATGGAGGAAGCCCAATTCAGTTCATAGAAAAACCCAAACATTTTGCTGCATTAAGGACACGCACATTTGCTCCAAATCCTATGGTGATTTCCTGTTTGTTCATTTGCTTGTGGGTATCTAACAAACTCAAAACTATGGACCAAAGCACTTTTAATGTCCTAAACCAAGAGTGAGCCACCTGTGACCCTTCAGATGTTTCACCCTGTAATTTGCATCTGCCTTAGCCAGCTTAGCCAATGGCGAGCTATGCTGGGAGTTGTAGGACAAAACATTTGAAGCACCACAAGTTGCTGAATAATTTAGGACCAGGATATCTGGAGGAGTGACTCCTCTCACATGAGCCTTCACACCTGTATCCTACCACATCAGAGCAAGATCTTCTCTGATTTGGCACCCAAACACTGGAAATCCCTATACCAGGACTTGACTTCCCCCCTCCATGGTGGAACTGTGTGTAAAAGCTATTTTGTTCCAACATACATTGGGGCTTAGTTAAACTGCATGTTTAATAAAGGTAAAGGTTTCCCCTTGACGTTAAGTCCAGTCATGCCTGACTCTAGGGGGCGGTGCTCATCTCCGTTTCCTAGTCGAGGGAGCCAGCGTTTGTTCGCAGACAGTCTCCGTGGTCATGTGGCCGGCATGACTAAACACCAAGGTGCACGGAACGCTGTTACCTTCCCACCAAAGTGGTACCTTTTCATCTACTTGCATTTACACGCTTTCGAACTGCAAGGTTGGCAGGAGCTGGGACGGAGCAATGGGAACTCACCCCATTGTGCAAATTCGAACAGGCGAATTTCGATCAACCAGCCCAGCAGCACAGCGGTTTAAACCACTGTGTCACCTGCATGTTTAATAGGATCACCCAAATAGTGTTTTTCTGCTGCTACTTTTAATTTTTTAAAATGTTTTTATCATGTTCAATCCCATGGCTACTCTACCTATTGAAGATTTATTTATATATTTAAAACATTTGCAGAGCCTTTTTGCAACAGCATTGCCCTCCAGGGCCTCTCCCATGATTTCCAGTTGTTCTTCACAGCAAGCAAAGTCAGCTATTAAATTTCAAATCACATAAAGGAGAACAAAAAGCCTGGCAAAAAGTTCTCTACCCCACAGCTATACCACAATGCCACCTTGCGGTTGGTTACTAGAATATATAGAAAGCACAGAAATGCAAACCTCAGGAATAAGCCCTGTGTAAAGGACATGTTTTCTTCCCACAATGAAAACAGAAGCAGCAGGTTAAACCATTCATGTAGAGAAGCCTTAAGCTACTTGAACATTGCTATGTAATAGAAAGATGGGAAAAGTGTTTTTAATTAGTAATGGATCTCACCATAATATCGTCATCAGAGAAGCCAATGGCTAAATATCCATCTGAAAGTCCACTCATTTCGAATTTGAAACCATTATTCCACAGTGCTTCAGAGGCCATGAAGTAACAGTTTGCGTCAGATGGACTGCAGCCTGCGGGGCTACTGAAACAGAATTTCTGTGTCCCACACCCTTCTTCCATAATAATCTGCAATGAAAAGTACCAGCCACCACCAAATGTGTCAGCAATTCACTTAGCTGCAGGGGATTTTTTAATGCCACCTCTTAAATAAGACTGTGTTCACCTATGGGACTACATCATAAATACATTTACAATTCAATCCTATGTACCTCCACCCAGAAATCAGTCCCATTTTGCTCAATAAGTACGACGCCCCAGTCAAAAAGCTCCAGATATCATTGTTCTAGAATGATATTTGTTGTTTGGCTACAACAAATCTAAATTAGGGTTGTTGTTGAACCATCAAGCCTGATCAGGTATTTAGCAGTTTCCCAATGGTGCCCATACCACACTTTGAAAAGTCAACCTTTTAAAAGTCCTTCTTAAAAATAAGATAAGATCCCAAGAATGAAGAGATAAAAAGCACACATGATTAAGCAGGGTGAAGTAATATTAAAGCCATTTTGAAAAGCATTGTGTAGAATACTAAGAAATGGCAACATGAGATAGAAAACCAGTTTGCATTGTATTAACCCATTCAAAATTAGTATTAAAGTTATTAGAAAATAAGCAAAGAATTCCTTTATTCCTGTGCCATGCCAAGTATTTTAATGTCTGGATTTTTGTTTAATTGTGACTTGCTCCTGGGGCTCCTTCATCATATGAGAATGGGGGAAAGGGCTCAGGATGAACTGATTGTAATGGAATTAAAGTGGAATGGATGCTTTTGTTTAAAAACTGAATGAATGTGGCCTCTGTGCTTTTCTTGCATAGCTTTCTTCTTAGTTTAACATGGACACTCTTGATATAAACCATCTGTGGTCCATGGCATGGTAAAATAACTGTTCTTTCAAATGCTAACACATGGAAGTTACTCCTAGTATGAGGGGAAAAGGCCAGGACAGGCAAAATAGAGGACGGAGGAAGCAAACTGTGGAGGCTGGACACTGACATTTGCAGGGGATCTGGTACTCTCCAGAAAATTGGGCAAAGCCTATGACAGACAGAGAACACCAACAGTGAGGCCAGGTTAGCTGAATGAGCATCTCCTCCCATATTTACCTATCCAGACAGTAAGATCATCTGAGGTCCTTCACTTCACCAAATGAAGTGAAGCAGATGACCTTTTCCTTAGTGGCATTCCATCTGTGGATTGACCACTCCAAAGAGGTCTGTTTGCTGCCTATGCTAAGGTCTTTCAATGTCAAGTAAAGAATTTTTTAGTTTGTCAGGGATATTAAGGGCTATTTTAATGCTTTCAGTTGATGACTGCAAACACGTCAAAATATAATGAGATGTATATTGTGATAGGGTTAAAGTGCTAAGAGGGAGTGTCAGCGTATTTTAAATTTCTGTGTATTACATTAGAGAGGCATCTGGATGTGACTTTTTCTATAGTCAAAATTTTCAGCATAAGAAAATTTAAAATAGTTACATGACCTGAAAATCCTTATATTAAATAGGAAAATAATCTTAAAAGAGCAATCCCATTCACATCTAGTCAAGCTCATTTAGTTCAATGGGACCCACTTCTACATAAGTATGTATAGGACCGGAGTTAAGGTTTGTTTAAAAAAACACTAAATGCACAGTATTAGAAAACCCTTATAAAACAAAGCAATCAAGCTTTCATCTTAAAACTTACTGAAACAAATGGCAGGCTGGAAGATGCAAGAACCTGGCTTTCAACTTGAGCCCAGAATACACTAAAATTCTGGAGTACTGTTGCTCTAGAAAAGGGGAAAAGGAAAACATCAGCAAAGAACCGATTGAGGAGGAATTGACCAGGTACAACAAATTAGTTCTTCCATATTATCATTTTAATATAAAATGATCATTTTAATATAAAACTAAAATCATTTTAATATAAAACAATATTGGATACAGAGAATAAAAGGATTCTACTTCATACACTGGCAAGTATCTTTCACCAGGTAACATGAAGCACACCATTCATGTAATGCAGTCTAAACAATTCTTGTTTCTTTTTCTGCAATCAAGTATGTTACAAAATCAAGTAATTTAAAGTAGCAGCCATCAGTTCCCAATAAATGGAAGGTAAAAAGCCTTTTGTAAGCAGAGAGGTTCGACTTTATACTTTTTTCTGTGCCAGGTAAAACCTTTTTATTCAACCATCATTTTAAGAATTAAGGATTTTAGCTGTTTCAAAGATCCAATCACATTTTCTTTTCTTAGTTTTGTTAGACTTGAATATTAATTATTGTTCTGCTATTTATTGTTTTAATTACTGTATTATCGCTATTATTACTGATTGTTTATTTATTAACACTGCTTTTAACTATTGTAAGCCCTCCTGAGCTGTTTTATCGGGAAGGATGGGGTAGAAATGTTTTAAATATAATAAAATAAATGAATAAAATTTTGTATTTCACCATGTATATGAACTGAGGACTGCACACACTGTTGCATTATTTGTCTTGCATCCGTTCCTAAATCTCAACAAGTCAAGCCATACCGCCACTTGGAAAGTGACTTGCCTCTTTAGCCATGTTGCCATGAAAAGAACTGAGAAAACTACTGCTGTATACACAGCATTCTTGATAAGTTCTTCAGAAACTTGCCCATGTTTACTGGGAATGTGAAGACTCCAAAATCCTGGGTCATACAGTTCAACGTCCCTCATAACACTATTGAACAGAACTCAATCCTTTATCATTATAATAACTTACATATGCAACTTGGAATTGCATGCAAATAAAGTCAACCCATTTTAGAGGTCTGGGGTGCCAATGAGTTTATCTTGAAAAAAAAATGTTTATCTTTTTATTATGAATCTGTACTCAGATCAGGTTGCAATCCATCTTAAAAGTCCGTATATAAAAAGAAATAAAATTCCTTTGACTGCATTTAACAGTTGAAATTAAAGGAAGTTATCCAATGAGTTACATTTGCAACTCCGTAAGGGTTATTTTAAAAACAGCCAGGGCTTTTTTTGTCATCGAACGCACGTTCCGCACCTTTTTTTCCAATGGATTTTGCAAAGTGATTTTGAATCTTAGCAGATCAGCAGCAAACTTCGTTAACATAGTGCCTGTGGGCTGCTTTAGTGTCTGCTATCTGCTATCTGCTCTCGGCTTGGGACGCTCCGTGTGTGTGGTCCCACACTTACTGCCTGCGACGTGAGTTCCGGCACTTTTTTTTTTTTTTTTTTACAAAAAAAGCACTGAAAACAGCTATCTTTGCTAACATACCTAAAACAAAACAAAACTGCAAGAAAGTGATTGTGCATAGTGTTCTCATTCAGATGGTTTGTACAATAAAATTATTTTTGCCTTCAGATTGATGCTTGATGAAGTGCTCCTGCTTTATATAAAATGAATTATGTATATATAAAAAATAAGCCTGTACCTAAATACAACATGCCCCACACCAGGAGGTGCAATCCAAACTGCGGTTACATTTTGCTTGTTTCTCCGGTTTGTGTGACTCAGTGAAGAATTCTACAATAAATGAAAAAAAGCAAGGATAGAAAAGAAAATTAACTCTTCCAGGATTCTAAAAATGCAGCTGATGTTCTCAATATTGCCTTCACATGAAGAACCCATACAGATGACCCAATTAGCCCCCCCCCCCTTCGAGGGCTCTCCTACCCAGTGGCCTCATGCTCATCTGGGTGGCTACAGGCAACCTTCTCAGCACACATTTTAAGTCACCAACATGGGAACAGTTTGCAATTTCCATTGGAAGAAAACACAAACCAACCTACTATCCCAGCATTGGTCCAAAAAGGAGCTCGGTCCATTTTGAAGCAATAACTCCATGATGTAGGGGTAGCTTTGGTACTGGGGTGAAGTGCAGCAGTCTTGGGTGGTAAGTAACCTCAGGAGGAGATGAGGACAGTCATAATAGAGATGGGCAAATTCCATCCCATAACACATGTCTAACAGCAGCCCCAATTCTACCGAAGTCCTCAAACTCCTAATACTCCCATGCAGTATGGTTGGCATCTAGAGTGGGCACCTACATATGGGCAAAACTAGAGGACAGGAGTGCATGCAGATTTGCATGTACTGATTTATATTGATAATGCTCTCTGCACCCCATTCTCCAGACTGTGCGTGTGCACCCCAGTTTTCCAGAGGTGCAACAGTCACCCAAACTTTTGCTTTCCTTGCAAAGAGGTGCTACAGGCTTATGGCTTTTTTATGATATAAGGTTTCTTTACACATACATACAAGTCTGAGTAGCAGAGGGAATTTCACAGTGTTAAAGCTCCACCAAATGCTTCAACTTTCACTGCTGCTAAATCTGATCCCAGGGGAGACAAGCCAACACCCAGCTCTTTGACTCTTCTCTCAAACCGCCATTAATTTAGTCTTCTCCAACTAATCCCCTCCAAATATGTTGGACTACAATTTCCATAATCTCCCAGGCAGCCTCTATCAGCAGCGCTTGTCCAAATTAATACATTCCTTAAGAACTGGTCAAGCATGATGGGAGTTGTAATTCAATCCATTTAGAGATTCAAACTAACTCCAGATCTCATTACAATATGTATAGCTCAAAATTAGAAAGAATTAGTATAATTTAAATAGAAAGGCAATGCATTTGGCCATTGCGATGAAGATGACCTGTGGGGACCTCTGTCTGCTGCTCAGCTTTCAGCTGTTAATGAAGACACCTGTTGGGTTGTCTTGTAGTCCTTTATCTTTAAACTAGACTTAGACAGCTTTTCAGTAGTCCTCTGAAAATCCTTAGACAATTGTCCTCTCTATGGTGGATATGTGGCCACTCTGCTAAGAGCCAAAGAACCAGGAGACTACTACTATGCATCCAAGATGTACAGGCAACCCAGGTGCCATTTCTCAAAGAGCAGCCCTCTTCCCCAACCCTCATAGCATGCTGCTTTTGAAACCAGGCAGAGAGCATTTCAAGCATTTTTATATGCAATGGGGCAAAGGGTCAGAGTCAAGCCCTCATGCACACCCAGAAAGCTCTGTCCCTTTTGAGTTCAAAGCTGTACTGTGCCAGGCCTGCTTGGTTGTTGCACTGCAAGATGCTACAAAGGCAGAGCTCCATAAGACTGAGCTACAAATACCTGAATGCTGTTGCACTCAAGGCCTTGCATGTTAGGATTCAGAATGCGAAAACTTCCAACAGCTGCATCTCCTCCAATTGCTCGGGCCTGTAGTAAAAATCCTTTAAAGCTGGAGTCATTGGTAGCTGTTAGAGATACTGGATAGGAAAAAATATTTTTGAAAGTAAGCACACATTGGAATCCCTTCCTATGACTGGTATTAAGAGAGGGGGGAAAGGGCAGAAGTGAAGGTTGTAGCTATTTCAACTTGGAGAAACAGTGTGAAATATAACAGTTACATAAACAGTGGGCACCAATTTAAATATATGATCAAATCTCTCTTAAAAAGCAGTGAGCAAGAACATTGTATAACGATAGTGCTCACACAAAGCATTATTATTTCAATGAAAAAGCTATATAAATTGGCTGGAACATGCCTGGTATCCCTCGACTTAGCTTTCCTTGTAGAACACATAAGAACATGAGAAATCACATATTTTTGGTGGGGCAGAAGCCCAGGCCAAAACAATTGGAGCACAACAACATGCAGATTCCCTTTGCTGAGAGGGAGTGCTTTACTACAGGTGTCTTTGGGTTTGGTTTCACCAATTAACTTTCCAAGCTGTGTTCAAGAGAGGAATAATAAGCTGCATTTCTTCTCTCTTTATAGCAGACTACAATAAGATTGAAATAGGAAACTCTTCAACTGGACAAAGAATCTTCTGTCTTGCTCATTATCAAATCGCTGTGATCTGGCTGGGAACGGAGAACACATTCATTGGAGCTCTTGGCTGGTGTCCATTCCACCTGCACCCCAGTGTTGCTGAAGCCCCTTTTCCACCCACTCACCCTACAGCCATTCTTGGTAATCTGGGGATTTTCAAGACAAAGGCAGCTGCTGTTGTGCAAGTGGCTGAAGTCAGACGGGAAAAATCAGTGTGTGCCTGTACACGTACACACACAGCAATTTGGAAACCAGATGCAGTCATTTCACATTTTAGGGATGGCCCAAAATATTTTGCTGCCTGAACCAAAGGACGTCAAGTTCCTTTTCATGTACAAAAGCTGACCAGAGAGTCTTATTCTGACACTAGGACAGTTTTCCACTGTACCTCAGGGAAGCAGGGACACTTAGGGGATACAAAGCGGGTTCACATGGAACATATAACTCCACCCATTCCATGCTTTTGAGCATCTGATGTCTGATGGCTTCACTGGGCCTCTTGGTTAGGCTGATCCTGTGACATTTGGAGTTATGGGTAATAAATACTTCCTAAAATGAAGGTTTCCATTAAAAAGAGAGAGAATATCCTTTGTTTCTCTCACATTCCAGGTATTCCTGGATGGGGTGGGAAAGACTCATGAAACTAACCATCAGAAGAAAGCATTCCTTCTTTTGTCCCTTGATGGATCTTTTCTGGTTAGGAAAACATTTTGAAAGAGGCGGTATGGAAACGCAAGAGGGCTACTCCCAGGCAGCTGATGGCACATGATGGTGCTTGTTAATGTTAGAGTTTTGTATTGAGTCATGATAATTTTATTTTATTTTAAATGTTTCAGACTGTTTAATTTTGTGTATGTGAAAAGTTTGATGTCATGTTTCATTATGCTGTAAACTGCCCATGGAGCATTGGCTATTGGGTGATACAGAAATGAATGAATAAATTAGAGTGCAATACTGTACATTTATTGATTGTTAAAGGTCCTACAACTCCTAGCATGCCTCACCCAGGACCTTTGTAGTTGCAAGACCTTTTCCTGTATAAGCAAAGGACTTTTTAGTCCTATTGTTTTAGGACCTTTTTCTGTCCCTTAATCAATTAATTAATGAAAACAACAAACTCTGGACCTTTTCTAAACTTGCATGAATGAAATAGTGCAACTGCCAGTCAAAACCTCATCTGGAAACACCTTCACCAAAAGATGCTACATTTTGTATTCACCTACGATCTCATCTCCTACAGTAAATGATGAGCTGGAAATGGAGATGGCATACGGTGGTGGCGAGGTCTGTGAAATGGAGTCTCCATGCCTGGGTAACATAGAATTGCAGGCCACATTGATTTTTCCACTTGGGTAGCTGAGGACTGCTGAAGAAAGCACCTCCCAAAAAAGAAAGAGATTAAGCAATTTTTCCATCTGTGAAGAAATCAAACATTTGAAATGTGTCAATAAGGTAACAGACCATTGCACAAGCAGCCTGGAAGGGGACAAATTCTCACTTCTATTGAATATTTGAAGCAAAACTAAGGTTGCAGCAAACACACTGGCAAAAGGCAACACAGCATATTAGTAAATCTGAAGAGCTCCAGCTGCTCAAACCAAAAGCATTCTGTTCCCACAGGAGTCAGCCAGATGCTTCTGGGAAGCCCACAAAGAGGACATTAGCACAAAAGCCCGTTTCCACTGATCTCCCCCAGCAAATGGTGCTTGGAGACATACTTCCTCTACTCCACTCATCTCTCACTCGTAAGTTTCTCACAGACATGTTGCTGCCCACTGTCTGACACAATGCAGGACTAGGCAGGACTTCGGCCTAATTCAACAGGGCTCTTGTTATGTTCTTCATAATTGAGGTACTGGATAGCCATCATGACAAATAGCCATCGGCAGGTTTACTCTTCATGAACATGACCATTCCTTATTTAAAGATTGTCAAGTTGTTGGACATCATGGCAGCAAATTCCTTAGTTTAACTATATGCTGTGTGAGGTAGAACTCAGCAGCACACCTGACTCAACTGTAGAGTGTGCAGTGGAGGGCACAAACTTCTTTGAAAAATTCAGTGAGCAACTGAAAATCCAACACACATCAGAAAAGGAAAGAGGCCTTTTGCCACACCTTTCTATGTTGGTGGAGGTGGTATACCTGAACATTTGCAATATGAGCTCCTGGCACTGCAAAACAGCATGAATCTCCAAATGACCCCCTTGCACTGCGGACATTCATATACAATAACAATATTCTATTTATTTCAACATGAGAGTTAAACATGTACATAAATCTCTTCTACTGAAACCAATGGGTCATAAAAATGCTTGGTCTTTTCTGAATCATGACCTGGGGAACATCCAGGCAGGTAAATCAGGAGACCAGATGCACAAGATTGCCATTTTTGAAGAGCTTTGCTGATACTAGAGACAAGGTGAAGTATAGCAGGAATAACTGCAGTCTTGCACAGATGTTTATGCAAGCTGGAACAAGCTTACAGTGGAATGCATAGCATAGCACAGTGTGTGGTACAGTGGTTAAAGTACTGGACTGGGACTCAGAAGGTTCTAGTCTCCATTTGGTCCTGCAGTATTTAGTACTGTCATGACTCTTAGCCTAACCCACTCCCACAGGCTTGTTGGGAGAATAAAATGGAGGAGGAGGAAAATTGTATGAGTTGCCTTAGGTGCCTTGCAAGAGGAGAAAAGGCCGGAAAATAAATGTGATGTTGATGCGGGTATGGGGATTTAGGCAATTATGTGGTAACCTTCCATTAACTGATTTATTTGCTTCAACAATGGGGTTATGATGTCCAGGAGAATGCACTCTGGGATATGAACAAGAATGCATGTTTTTGTATATTGCTTATAGATAAAAGATAAAATGGAGGGGAGCCATGATAATTTGCATCCTTGGACACAGAAGATGGAAGTGTGACAGCTGGGGAATTCTATACATGTATTCAGAAAACACTACATTGAGCTCAATGGGAGTTACTCCTCCTTAGGTAAGTGTTTATAGGCCTGCAGCCTCAAGGCACAATCCTAAGCATGTTTAGACTGAAAAAAGTCCTGTAACTCACATCATTTCCCAGCTATCATGGCTGAGCATGTTGGAAGTTGTAGTCCTTTATCTAAATATGCATAGGATTGCATCCTCTGTTACTCTGGGTGCTGGTAATGCCCATTTCTTTAAAAAGTTCCTCCCTCTTTAGTCTTGGTGCTATGCAAGCATCTTATGAATCACAAAACTGATTTGTGACAGCCTTGGTAAATTAGGGTTGGGCAGCATAACAAACATGATTGCAGGGAAGGATATCAGGCTCTCTGGATTCACTTTTTTTTTTTAGAAGAAGCACTACAGATTTATTTAGTTTTGCATGTGTGAAGGATCTTATGTTCATATGTGAGTTGGCATGCAAAGAGCTAGAACACTTCAGGAATGAACTGGTGAGCCTCTGGGCTTAACTCCCGCTGAATTTTCAATTCTTCGCTGTAGGCAACCAAAAGCATAACAGGCATTTCTCTTCAATGCATTTTCTCCATGCTTTTCGCACAAGAAAACAAATTTCTACAGACCCTCTCCACTCATCCAGTCATGGAAACCCTGCCTATTCCTGTTCAGGAAGCCCAAGAGAGCAACATCTTGCTGCAGTGAGAGGCTCAGATCTGTGCACCCGCAACCTGCGCACATAATAAGCCCAGTGAAACTGCATTCGCATCTCTCTCTTCCTTCCACCCACGTCTCTTCCGCGCAGATTACGGTACCTTTTTTAAGACTTGGGCGGATCATTCAACAGATGCAGTTATTCCCAACGAGACGCAATGACAGGAAAAGCTTTACCGGGTGAATATCTGCCAGCGCATCAATTTTAAAGACACAGACTTTTTCCGGAGACAGAAACACTGGAACACTTGGCTGACATGATAGTCAGGCAGTTGACTGGCTCAGTGCTTTTCTTGCTTTGCCCGCTGTACTCTCTCCTTACCGCTTCGCACGACCTTTGTGGGGCGTGATCAGCAGAAAGCACTGAGTTTTCTGCGCCGCCGCTGCCCTCCTGACGGGTTGGCTACAAAGCGGGAGCATCCGGGCGGCGGCGGCGGCACTGCTGGCTGCGTGACCGTGGCAGGCGTGCCTGGAGGGCGTCCCGACCGGGCCAGGTTCGACACCGCCTCTCGCAGCTGCCCCGGTTTAGGAACTTCTCAGGGCTCTGGAGACACGAGCGCGGCCGCGCTCCGACCCTCCTGCCGGTCAACGTGCGGCATTACAGTTGGCGAAACCCTTTGTTGTGGGTCGTCTGGCTGATCACATTCGCCAGTTATTTTTTAATCCTTTGACCGCGTTAGAAATTGTATAGTCACAGAGACTCGACTTTCCTAAGTTTGAAAAGTTTCCTAAGTTGCTTTCTTCCCATGCCACCTAGAGGATGCCACCACTAATAAAGAAAATCTCGTTCAAGAATATGGGCAGAAAGTGACTCATTTTGCTTTAGCGGAGAATAGCATAGGGTTTGGATTTCTAGAAATGGCAGGATTTTTATTTAATGGTAAAGACATCCAGCCTTAAATGTTTTGTGTTGTCTTCTGGCCTGGATAAGGTTCTGGATTAAAATTACAAATGTGGGAAATCTAAGAAGCCGCGTAAAAGAATGGAGACAAAGAGTCACCCCCTCCACGACATTAACTGTTTAAAATATTCATTGGAATAATTACAGTTCTTGCCATATCGTTTAAAATGTGTGCTTTGTAAATTGTTACAAACAGGATTCCTACTGAAATTCCTGTTCCCTCCCCTGTCCAAAGTCATTTCCCTGATGTCAGAGAGCATCCTGTGATTCTTTCTGTTTGAGAGGGAATGAAGGAGTAGGATTAGAGCTCTATTTCTCAGCGCAAAAATTGGAGTACAATCCCCAATTTTGGAGCTGTAAATCTAAAAACTCTTGTGCCCCCCTCAGACATTCTACAAAATGTAGGATGGCGCTTCAAAGCTCTTAAACTACATACAGTGGCTTTGCCACTGTGTGATCTTTTACACAGGAAAGAGAACAGGGAAAAGTTCCTTTTAAAACAACACAGCTAAATGCCCAAATATAAAAAAGAGTTCATTTAGGAGAAAAGGAAAAACAGGTGGGGAAAACAGGAAAATTATTAATTCCATTTCTATACAGCCCCATAGCCAAAGCTCTCCAGGCAGTTCCCAATGATTCCAAATGAAAATAAAAAAGTCACTCTAACATCTGTAATCACATTTCTTATTAGGATAGAATCTTGGAATCCCAAGCATCTACTGAGCTGATGCCGTATGCTGGTCAGTGTTGGACTGCAGACCCAAGAGATCTGGGTTCTAGTCCCTGCTTGGCCATGATGCTTGGTGGGTGACTTTGGGCCAATCACACACTCACAGTCCAACCTGCTTAAAAGGGCTGCTTTTGTGAGGCTAAAATGGAGCAATGTAAGCTGCCTTGGGCTGCTCACAAGAAGAAAAAAGGTGGGGTATAGATGCAATGGAATAATAATTATTAGTATGGCAGAGAAAGCATCTGGCTTCCAGTTAGAGGGTACATAGGGAAATTCTAGAACGACAGAGGGTTTTACAAAATGGGGAACTCCTGTCTGTATAAACCATCCCCTTTTTACACACAGATGATTGGTTGGCCTGATACCACGATAGTCTCCATTTCTGATGTCATAGTTGAGACAGTGAATCAGAAAATTACATGGTGGGTAACTCCACCTTCTTAACGATGGTAATTTGCAACTCAAATGTCCAAGGTGATTGGAACCAGCGGGCCTATTCAAGAAAAGGGATTAAGTTTTTGTGTCCACATGGTACTGAACAAAAAGGTAAGATAAGGCTAGATAAAACTATTCAGCTTGGCCAGCAAGGAGTCAACTGATCAGATGCTCTAGGGGGCACTGTAGATCCATCCATAAAAGAACTTGGTGTCGCTTTTTTTTTTTTTTTGCACCTTTTGTCTGCTTATATCTCCTTTGTGCAAATTTATGCTCCCTTTTATTTTCATTTGGACAAGACTTCCATTTTCTGAAGGAAACCTTGTCTCTAACAACTTCTTTGAAATTGTTTATTAACCATGCTGCTGACCTTTTGGACTTGACAGTACCTTCTCTAACCTCTGGTATACATTTCAGCTAAGCTTCTATTAGCATGGCATTGAGTAACCTTTCATAGATTCATAGTAGGGTCAAAAGGGGCCAAGAAAGCCACTGGGTCCAACCCCTGCTGGTGCAGGATGCCACATCAAACCATCCCACTCCAATGACTGCCCAGTTTTGTCTTGATTGTCTCTACTGTGGGAGAGCCAACCACCTCTCTTGGCCACTGGTTCCACTGTTGAATTGGCTCTGTTAGGAAGCTTTTTCTGGTGTCCAGCCTGAATCTAGTGTACCAGACTCCAGATCATCTTTGTTGTCCTCTGAACCTTTTCTAGTTTTTCTGCATCGTCTTTAACCTGGGTGCCCAGAACTGAATACAGTATTCCAGATAAGGTCTGACAAGCTGAGTAAAGAGGAACTAGTACCGCTTTTGTTTGGGAAGTGATGCTCCTATTTATGCATCTCAAGAGAGTATTTGCCCTTTTTGCAGCTGCATCACATTGCTGGTTCATATTTAGCTTGTTGTCCACAATGACTTGTTTTTTGTCTTTTTCCTTTTTTTAGTGCTGTTGAGCTAAGTATTCCCCATCTTGTATCCTGTAACTTCCAAGCATGGAAAGGGCCAGTCCACACAGACCAACTGGAAACATTTCAAAAACTGAAGACACAACAAGTATGCCACAGCACCCCTGGCTGAGATACCACCTGTGAAACAGGAACTAAGAACACTGAACCCAGGAGGCCTCAGTCTTTCTTGCAAGCAGGGGTTCAAGTCCATTCACATTACTCATATACAACAATGTGTCTGAGTGACACTCAAGGAAGGAAAACAGGCACCCTAAGAGACAACATGGAAAGCTCCATATGTGCTTGGGTGGTTATGTATGCACGCTTAAAGGGACAGACCAAATTAGCCCATGCAAGAGAATGACGCTGGGAAACAAGTATCAATTCATGAAGCCATTCATATACACCATAACTAGGGCAGCTCAGTAGGGAAGTTTAAATACACAGAACACTATGAGTTCTCATGCCTGAGATCTGCAGCTTCACTGCCTTCTGTTGAAAGGATTTACAATGATATGTGAGAATACAAGGCTAGTCAGGGTTTTGGGAAAGGTGACATAGACGGGTCAGCTCATCAGCAGCCTCTCATATAAACTGTTCTTTCTTTTGATGAATCTGGTCTTACCTCCCATCCCCTATTCATTTGTTTTCTTAACTATCTGTGGCTTATTGGTCAAGCAGAACATTTCAGGCTATGTAGATATAGTTATCTTAGAAGGAGATTAAGGTTTAGATATTTGAAAGTTTATAAAAACTATCTCCAGAGCTAACAGTCCAGCAAATTGCTATTACTACATTTATGAGGGCCCCTTCAGGGTGCAATTGATGAATATTGATGAAACTGTTGCCATTTTATAACTATAACTATTAGATCTGAACTGTAAATAATATATATCCTTTGTATTTGATACATTATTTTTACAGAGGCAATAAATTCATTTTTAAAAGATTAGGATCCAACCTGTGGTATGATACACAATATGATAAATGTTACTTAGACGGCTGCAGCCTTGAATTATTTACATTTTGCCATTAATCTGGAAAACAAACACCATCATGTTCATTGTGGAATAGCAATGAAACCTGCATAACAACAATCTTTGCAAGAATGTTTCAAGGAAGCACCTTCTTTGCATTGTGCACAACCATTTACAGTGTAGAAAAGATAATTGTAATATCTTGGGACCAAAGACTAGCCCAGGAGTACTCCCCTTTGTACATCTAGATCAGAGTTTCTCCTCTGCAGGAGCCATGGTCTTGTTACTAGCCACAAAGAAGGTGCCCTGTGACTGGTTTGTCCTTGCCAAAATCAGCCAGTGTGCTTCTTGCACGCTTCAGATCATCTTCAGAACATTGTGGAATTATCATAGAAAAGGTTTACATTCTGCTTTGAACTTGCTTTTCACTTCTCCTTTTCTCACTTCTCTTTGTTGGTCAACCAAGGAGAGAGAACAAGAGCCCATTGCAGTTAAGAACAGAAAACCTCCCCCATTTCCTTGAAACTGGCTCACCATAACACTTGGAAATCACGTATTCCTGTGAATAAGCCCCATTTAACATAGTAAGGTCTACTTCTAAGTGAACGTTCATGGTTTCCCTGAATGTGATTTTGCCCCCTTCTTCTCCTCCTCAAGGTTCTCGTCTTTATTATCTTGGTGCACAAAGAAGTAGCAGAAACTATTAGAGCAATTCGGTCTGAAAACAGTACCCAGGCCCACCATGGATAAGAATAGTAGAGAAAGGACGCAAACTGCTTCCTTTTAGAAAGCATTTCGGAGCCGCTGCGTCGAATCTGAAACAGGAAGAGGGGGCACTGGCTGTCTTGAAACAGGCGAAAGTTAGGATGCTATGCTTGCTTCTCGTTTTCTAAAAACAGTTCTTTTCCCTCCCTGCCTAATACAGTTTCAAATGTTTCACAAATAACCGACCATGCAGCGGCTTACTAAAAGGCGAGGGCGCCGACAAACACCACTCCTCTAACAAGAAAAATAGTCCCTCTTTGTTCACCGCTAACGAACACCGCTTCCTCACTGGTGTTCTTCCGCACACGGCGCGGAAGGCTGCCTCGCATCTCCGCTGCCCCGCCCCTTGCCGGAGAGAAGCGGTTGTTCAAGGCGCCCGAGCTGGCTGGGGAAGTTGTGCAAGTGAGAGGGGGAGGGGCCGCCGCTGAGGCAGCTCCTTTGTGTTTCCCACAATGCACCAGCTTCTCCTCCGCGGGAAAGCAAAATGGCGAAGGGCTGTCGTGGAGCCGGGCTGCCCGTGAGGCTGGCTTGAGCCTCTGCCTCCCTTATCCCCCCCTTCCCATCTCACACGTCGGAGCCTTACCGAGGCTCTTCAGACCGCGAGGAGCCCGGCCGACGGGAGGCTTCTCGAGCAGAGCGCACTGAGCGCATTCATTTCCCTGTATGAAGCGGGTGGCCCCATTGGAGAGACCGAATGAGGTGGGTGAGGGAGGGCTGAGGTAGGTAGATGGGGAGGGGGGTGAAGAAGGATTGCAGATTATAGATGGAGCTCAGCACAACAGTGTCTTAACGTCTTTCTTCTCTGCTCCCCTCTGCTCAGAGTATATAGCCAACAGCATTTCCTTCCTCCCCCCAAAAATCCGGTTAGGTGGGGTGAGGGGGGAGCGAGATAATGAAACCTTACAGACACCTCGCCCAATATTTAATAGAGTTTTGTAAGAGCAAGAGGGGTGTGCATAAGCAAGCCTGTAATTGTTAGTAAAATAAACCAGATCTGTCGTTGACTGTAGACTGGATTCTGGTGTAAGAAGACCAAAACAAAGGCGATAACCTTCCGTGGGGAGGGGGGATGACTCGTATTATGGCGCACCAGGCTCAGGTAAATGGGAGAAGCTTTTTTTATTTGTATCTTCAAATAGTCCGCAAAGTTCTGTTTTTGTTTTCTTCTGTAACGTTGACAAAAGAGACGGTAAAGTTGAAGGGGTGTGTGAATGTTTGTGCGGGAATTCCACAGTGTTATGAAAACAATGACCAGTTACAGTTTTGTTGTTTTAAACTCTGGACTTAATGGTCTTGCAGTCTCCAAAGTATTGTACACGTAGGTCAAATGGCAGTCCTTGCTTTTCCATGCTTTATGTTTTACATGTGCAGATACCCTATAGCCAAATAAATCAATACTTTGATCATGTGCGGAGTTTCATGCTTTGAATTTGCTTATGTACTGTGACCATAGTTCACTCCAGCTACTGTTTGTGATGGGGTGTTTGTAGATGTACTTTTTTTGACAGCACACTAAATACGATGTTTTTCTTTTTTGATTCTGCCACGTTTCTAATACAGATTATACTTGTTAGCTGCCAGTTTCAAGGTAGACACAATGTTTTAGTTGTATTCAAATTTTCAGAATAAGTGTATACATTTTTTGGATGAAAAACAAATTCATTTCATTAAGTGAATTGAGAGCATGTACTTCATTACTTTGTGGGATCAGTTTCTCAGACACTGAAACCCATTTCTGGATTGCTAAGTTTTCCTTTGTGTCTGGTCCTGAGAATTACCCAACTGCAAGCATTTTTAGTGATAGAAATATGAATTGGGTAGTGATAAGAAAGCTATTTTATTGTTTAGAATATATTTTATACAGCTCTTCAGCTGTAAAAGACTCCCAAAGCATTTTCATTGGTGACAAGGAAGTCCTTGTGCCCAGACTTTTAGGCTGAAAGGAGGATATGTAGTTTCCATCTCTTGTTTGTCATTGATTTGTGATTTAAAGTAATGCTTGTGCACTACCTTCTGAATGCTGTTCTTGTCCCTGTCAGCATCTGTGGTGGATAGTCTTGGCCAGATGACAACTTGTCCACCCTCCTGATGAGCCAGGTGGCCACTTGCATGGTGGACTGGTCAGGTCTCCAGTCTTCGCATCTTGGGCAGCAGAAGGAACTCTGTGGCATTTCCAGGTCACCCATGATAGGTTTCAGATGTGTACTTGCAGCCCTGTTCTGGAATGGAAAGAGCTCCAGGCCTCTTGTGGGAGTCCTGTAAAGCTAAGCAGGAGGGTATCTTCTGAACAGAATCTTGCAAAAGCGTTAACCTTCCACTCTCCAGCTAGCTGCTTTATGGTGCAGCTAGGAGAGCACATAGGGAACTGGATTTGAGGCATCATTGTGGTTGATGTCAGTCTGTGCACACATGTATGCCTTTGCTTTCTTTGCCTTCTGCCAGTATCTAAGTGGTACACTATGTGCAATGAGGAGTGGGGGTGCTGCAGGCCAGATTGCCAGTGTAACTGAATGTGAGGCTTGGAGGGGAAACAGATGAAGAATGCAGACCAGGGTGTGCCTCCACACCATTATCTGTTCCTCTAGGCCTCCTGGCTTTGCCTTTTACTCAGACTGGTTTTTCTCCCACTCCCCAATTTAGCCTTGCCCAACCTTGCTGCCTGATTACTTCACCTGCTCACCTTACTGTTTTGTTTAGGACTTTCCTGCTGACTGAATTAAGAGCACTGCTGCTAGATTTCTGTCCCAGCTCCATCCCTGACAGCACCACTGATCAGCAGTGTACAGCCAGTACTTACTTCCCTCAAATGAACAGCTTAGCTTTGGTCCAGATTTGGGGGTTTGTTTAAAGGACAAAGATGAATAGAAGTTTAAAATAACTTTGTAAGTAGTTGGGCACAAAAAGTAATGGCTCAAATAATAGTAAAGAAATAGTCTGATTAAGGATTAATAAGTAATGCTAATATGAATGTTCTCCATTTCTTGACTGATTTCAAAAAACAATTTATAGTATTGACTTTTATATAATGATAGACAATCTTGGGATGTATCTAGGTATTAACATTGAAATATACATTTGTATTACCAGGCTATCCATCTTGTCACTTTGAATTTAAGCTAAGTACACTTAGCTAATACAGTGGTGCCTTATACTTCGAACAATTCTAACTTCAAATGATCCAGTGTATGAATACAAAGTTGAGGTAAAATTGGCTCACATGCAGTGAAAAAATGTGGTCGCCGCATAAACGTCATCTATTGTGCACCCGAGTCATCTCTTGCTGTGAAATATCTCTTGTATAACACTTGTGCAGTACAGTAAATGCAATTTTCATTTTATTATACTGTACATATTTACATATTGTTTCAAGTTTTAATTAATAATTTTGGCATGTAATTATGTTATTTTTACCTTAAATTGTGTGTATTTGCTGTTTATCGAAATAGGTATTGTTTAGGGTCTGGGAACAGATTGATTCACTTTCCATTATTTCTAATGGGGAAAGTTGAGTCAGACTTCTGAGTGAAGGATTCTGAGTTCGAATGGCCTCCTGAAATGAATTAAACTCAAAGTACAAGGCACCACTGAATAATTATTGCTAATTAAAAGAGCTATAAACCAAACTAGCATATTTCTGTACCAGCTCAATGTAAATGGGAGAGAACAATTGAGTTAATTAGTCTGTTAGAGAACAATCCTGTGACCCCAAGACAGTTTCTGAAGGGCCATAGGATATTTCAGATTCCCAGACCCAAGACCAGAGACAGTGCAGTGGCCTTAGAGCAACAACCTCTTTCCCTGTTGCTGCCAAAGTGGAAAGAACTCTGTTGACTCTCAACTCTGACAGGAGAAAAACGACATGGTCTATCCTGATTCCTCTCCAAACTTCTCCCCCCCACACCTTTCCAAAATACTCCATAAAATCCCGTCTAACAAAAAGGCAAGGTAGGAAGACAGGGGTGCAAAGAAAGCCTCTATCACTTTTCCAGTCTGCATTGCATGACATAAGCCTCCAAGTTCTGGGGCTTATGGACATCTTCATAGGATTTGGCCTTAGTGTGAGTATACTCAAAGCACTAGAACTTGACTGTCAGTGCAGTCATATACTTGATTGCACTAAGTTTAACAGGCCTTTCTTCTAGGATTGCAGCTTTTGCTTTTCTACTAAACCAATATTATCTGTCTTTTTATGTATCAGTAATACAGAAGGGTAGAACTGAAATTCAGTCAGTTTTCAATATATAGAAATAAAACATTTCAGACAGATCATCTCAAAATGCATTCAAAGAGAATTATGTAATGTCTTTATAAAACAAGAATATATTTGATCCATTAAATTAAAATCGGAAAAGCTCAATGCAATTTGAATTCTTCTTCCAGTACTTAACAATTTTAATTAATTTTCTTCTTGGATTGTGTACATTGGGCCAGACAAATTAGGGCCACGTGCTGCTCCTGGCCTAATTTCAGAAGCCCTTTGCTAATGATTAGTGTAGACCTTTGGCAGGAGAAATCTTTCCTTCTCTCTGCTGTGCAGAAAGGAAAAAGAGGAAAGAGGCCGAACGAGAATTAGTGTGTCAGACAGACAAGACAGACAGACGCAGATAAAAGGTGGGTGCAGGTGTGTAAAGGGGCTTGACCACTTTTGCCTCTGGCCTCGCCCATCACTGCCTTCAGTCCCACCTACTGCAAGTCTGTGACTCCTCATCTGTAAGGGAATGTGGCTCTTGACAGGTTGCCCACTGTTGTTATACATGGACTTTATAAATGAGAGATACTTTTAAAAACTGTGTTTAATGTTTGTTAGGATTGTGTACTTTATTGGTATGATGTAATCAGCTAAAATTTCAGTAGTGCATTATAGTTCTCCCCAGCTCCAGTAGGGTGAGTTGAGGAGCAGAAACTGGAACTTTTGCTGCACAAACATGGTATAGGTGTTTGCTAACTTTTCCTTTGGAAAATGAGAAGAATTGCAGAAATGTTTTAATCTAGTCCTTATTTAAAAGATAAGCTACAATTTAAAGCTATCTGATGTTTCTTAGAAGAAAAGACACCTTTAGTATATTACTTGGTTAGTCACTGAAAAAACTAGTTAGGTAATAATTTTAGAAATCTTAAGTTGTACTTCTAATCAGAACAAATTAAATATGGAAGAAGGGTTTTTTGGGTATTATAGAGTGCTATACAATGGCCAAAAAATCCCCCTTCTGATTCACTGCTAGGTTTAAGCAGTAAGGTGGGCTTTGAGGCAAAAGTGTTCTTATCTTAATTAAGATTTAACTGTTGTATAAGCGAGTACATTTTTATTGTAAAACTAATCACTACCAAAACCAAAATCTAATCATTTTCATCCACTTTGTTTTGTGTATTTAATCACTGGATGCCTTGGCATTTTATAAATTACTTTCAGAGCACTGAAAATCAGTAACAATTATAAAAAGTTAAATGTGTCTACGTTGATGAGTGTCTATCCTGAAAGAGGAGCTTTCTTCAAATTAACTGTCTTAGAAGTAACTAGCCAACAAAAGTTAACACACACACACACACACACATCATCTGCTTTGTTAGTCTTTTGCCACCATTGCAACAGATTTTAAGGTTGCAATCTTGCATGGACTTTGGAGTATGTCTCTTTAAATTCAGTGGGACTTGCTTCTAGGAATTAAGCACAGGATTTGGTGCTAAAAGTGCACACTTAAACATACTTAAGGCTGCATTGTGGGACTTGCTTCTGACTTAAAATATAGATTTATTCCATAAGTCTGATTTAACTTATTTATGTACTTACTAGGATTAAAGTGACTTTTACCAGCTTACATTCTGCATGGGCTAATTCCATTCATTTCTGCCCTTTTCCTAGTGGGTGTTTTATTTTTTTGGTGGTTCTAGGGAAGAAGGTGTTGGTTCTGTTGTTAAATTTTAAAGATGAAATTATTGGGTGCCTTTCAAATATTTCCTCTGCATGTTGCTCCAGGGAGAGTGTAATGGTCTTGGCAGTAACATATGTTAATTGTTATATGTAATTCTTGACACTGTATCAATCTCCAGTTTAAAGAACTGGAACAGTTGTTTCCTTTCAGCTCTTTGCTAGTGCCTTATTTGTGATGCATTCCTCATGTCAGGGTTCATTGAAGTAATGCATAGAAAAGTAGGAAACTGCCTTGAACAAGTCAGATGTCAAATGTGGCAGGTTAGGCTAGCTTTACCTTCCACGTCCATGTTGCAGACTTCATGTTAGTGCTACTTTAGCCCCAACTCAAGGTTAAATAATTGCAGGGAGTCCCTGGGTTAAGAATGACTTCAGTTCCTGATAAAATGGAAAGTCATCTTCAAGTTGAATTTGTACACAAGTTGAATCACACAGTCAGCCTTCCACATTTATGGGGTTTAGGGGTGCAGGACCCCTGTGAAAGTTGGAAAACCATGAATATCTTTAGTCTCCCCTGCCCAATCTCATCAGTGCCTCCTCTTCGCAGCAAGGAAATGATAGAGAGATTACCTTCTCCAGATAGCAGGCAGGAAGGCATGCTTTAGAGACCTCCCTCTCTGCCCTTTCACTTCTTTATGGTGATGATGATTTTCTGTAGTAATTTTTAAAAATTAATAGGTGGTATGGCAGTTCTTTAGTAAGTTTGGGTTGATCTTAACTTGAATGCTTATAACTCAGGGACTGCCTGTATATTGAATTGTCTAGAGTTGTATTTGTTTGAATGTCAGTGTCATGATCAAGTACATTTTTGGCAGCCTTTCACATAAATGTTATGGAAATCACAGAATTCCTATTTTATTACTACCACAAGAAAAACAAGTAAGAGATTGTTCATGTTAATTCTGTACTTTTTTAATTTTAGAGACTCTACGGGGGTGGGTAATTCAGTGGTCCACAAGCGCTCTCCTTTACGCCGAAACCAAAAACCACCAATATCCTTGACCAAACTGTCTTCACGGGATGGACAGAAAGCCAAAAAGCCAGTGTGCAAATTTGAAGAAGGTCAAGATGTCCTAGCTAGATGGTCAGATGGCTTGTTTTATCTTGGAACTATCAAAAAGGTAATTCCTTTTTTAACAGTCTTATTAAGTCAAAATTATTTTTAGTGTTTAAATATTGCAACTTCAAATTTATTCTCATTTCAGATAAACAAACTTAAGCAGAGCTGCTTCATTATATTTGAAGACAGTTCCAAGTCCTGGGTTCTCTGGAAGGACATACAAACAGGCAAGAACTTAGTTTTTACTGTCTGGTATGAAGCTTCAGACCCTATCTCTTCCTGTTTCCAGACCTCTGTCTGTGAGATACCCTGTAAAGCAAAAATGGGAATGGGAAATCTTTTTTAGCCCAAGGACCATGCTCCCTTGTGGGTAACTTTCCAGAGGCTTTTGGTGGGCAAGGCCAGAGCCTCATACAGTCCATTTGGATGTCCACATCAATTTGCCACTCTGGGGGAGAAGGAATTTTGGGGGTTGCAGATACTGAAGAATGGAAAGTCAATCCTTCCCACCCCAGGTTCCTGCCTGCCTTTCCACACCCCCCCCCGCCCCAATGCTCTTTCCCCTTCAATTAGGCTTGGGGTAGACATCGCTAAACCTAATTGCAGTGGAGAGGAAAAGGGGAGGCTGCATACTGTGCCCCAAAGATTCAGCAGGCTACATTTAGCCCGCAGGCTAGAGATTTTCTACTCTTGCTATACAGGGAGGAAATAGAAGAAAGTCATGACCTTTATTGCAGGTGGCTAGGTTTATAAAACATTTTTGGCTGATTTTTCCAAGACTTTGCATTGATCTAGTAAAGACTGCAGTCAACATTAGCTTAAAAATATTTCTCCATTTTGTTGCTCTCTTTTATTTTATTTATTCTGCCTATCTCCTGTCCAGTATTGGGGAAGATTTATCATCTTGACTGTTAAAAAACTGTGTGTTTGCAAGTTTTCTAATTTAGCATTTTAAATGATTTTTAAATGTTTAATGGATTTTAATTGTGTTAAGATTTTAATTCTTAAATTATTGCTTACTTTCTTGGCGCCTTTTTAGCAAATAAGGCGATATATTTATTATTAATACTACAATCCAACACATATTAACTAGTATGTGTTGGATTGTAGTATTCCAGGATCTCACCCTATTTTTCCAACCTACAAATCCTCAGCCCCCTATGTAATTGGGAGGGGGGGTCTTCTAATCATACCTAGTCTGATATTCCTATATGTGTGTGTGCCACAGTCACTCCTGGGGAAGAAAAATCCAGTTATTTGTTTCATGTAAATCATGACCTTTTCTTATTTTCAGGGGCTACTGAGAGTGGGGAAATGGTCTGTTCAATATGTCAGGAAGAATATTCAGAAGCACCCAATGAAATGGTTATATGTGATAAGTGTGGTCAAGGTAAAGTGGGTTTTTCAGTGTGCAATATGAACTTGAATGGGCTTATTAACTTATTGTTCTGGGTGTGAAGATATTTGTAGTATTATGGTTAAGGTAGCATAAATACAGCCATCACTGAATATATATTTTATCTGTTCATCTACCAGGCTCTTAGAATTATAACTATAATTATAAGATAGATTGGACATTCTGTATTGACATGCTAGAAAGACTTACATTAAGATAGCAAGGGCTTTTACTGTCTTTTCAAAGAATGAATTTTTTTATTATTATTATTATTGTTCAGGTTATCATCAGCTATGTCATACACCAAATATTGATTCTAGTGTGATAGACTCTGATGATAAATGGCTCTGTCGGCAGTGTGTCTTTGCAACAACAACAAAGGTAGGCTAAATACTTAGTAAACCAGATACAGTTGAAAGTAAGATTTGATTTTTCTGTCTCATTAAGTAATAGTGTTTGCTGTTTTTATTACAGAGAGGTGGTGCACTTAAGAAAGGACCAAATGCCAAAGCACTGCAAGTGATGAAGCAAACATTGCCTTACAATGTAGCCGACCTTGAATGGGATGCAGGCCATAAAACAAATGCCCAACAGTGTTATTGCTACTGTGGAGGTCCTGGAGAGTAAGCATATAGAAATGCTTATGAAAAATACTTGCTCTCAAATGTATACCTATAGATTGTATTTGCCAATCATACTTCAGGGAGCTGAGTGCTACGTTTCAGAAAACTAGGCATATATTTATAAGTAAGTTTGACTGACCATATTGTGCCTGCTTCACCAGCGTTAGGCTTTCATGACACTTTCTGTTCTTCAGCTTTTGAAGTTTACATTCAGGAAAATATAGGTTGTGCCTCAGTCCTATACTCATTTACCTTCATTGAGCATGGTGAGCATATACAGGATTGGATCACACATGATCAGTGCCACTGGAGGTCTGGTAAAATCTCATCCAGTTTTGTGCTGTTAGGCCGAAATACTTTAAATAAACATAAATATCTTCTACACACTAAGTTTTGCATGCTGCAAAGCAGACAAAACAGTTTTAATGAAGCCTGCCAATCACAGTTGCTACCTGAATGCAGTATACCCCTATGAAGTCACGGTTCAGCATTCACGGCTTCAGTCTTTCGCTGGATGTTTCTCTGAGCGAGTCCAAGCCGATCTCCTTGTGAGTAAGCCGGCGTCTTGCTGTGCGGCAGCTTACTTGCAAGGAGATCATTTCCTCCGAGTTTGGGCTCGCTCAGAGAAAACGATCTCTGCACGCGCGTGCCCCTGCCTCACCATGCGAGCACGCCAACCCCCTGCCCCAGCCCGGCCCACGTCTCCCGCCTGCACCGCCTTGGGGGCCAGCGCCCATCGCCGGCACCAAATTCGCTGTTTTTCACAATTCGTGGGTGCTTTAGGAACATAACCCCTGCGAATTTTGGGGGACTACTGTATAGACAACTGAGGTAAATTTCCAGAAGTAGATCTCAAGTACTCTTCAACTTGTTGCTGTATAGGCAGCCAGTGCAGAAAATGCTGGATGCACATAATATATTGCCTAGAGCAATGAACAGCCATTGGGCAGTATATCAAACAAAGCTACAAGTAGCAAAAAAAACTTGATAAATAACCCCACAAATAATCAAGTAATTGGTGACTGACAGGGTCTGTGAGGGATAAATATGAGAATAATTTATTCAAATAATTATGCAGTTGAGAACATCCTTGAGTCATATGCAAATTTAACATATCCTAAGAGTCACTTACAGAATTGCACATTTTTAAAATACCATATCTGTGTAGGGAGAGAAATGTGGCACAACTATTTTGTTAGAAGTTCACAGGTCAAGAAGCAATTGTATGGTAGCTATTCTACATAGATGTGCCATTGTTTATATATGACAGTGAATTGTGAGATAATTTTAATTGAGCTACCAAAATAGAGAGTTTTTGCACCAAAACAAGGAACATTTATCACATTTCAATTTAATTTTTTTCTTTCTTACTATTAATGAAGCTGGTATTTAAAGATGCTACAGTGCTGCAAATGTAAACAGTGGTTTCATGAGGCTTGCGTGCAGTGCCTCCAAAAGCCAATGCTTTATGGCGACAGGTAAGATGCTTTTATCTGCTCTTCCTCTGTGGTGTGTATCAGGATTTTTCTTTTGACCAAGAGGAGTGGGGAACGACTGTAGTTAGGCTAATTGTAACATTCTATGTTTTGTGTAGTTGAATTTACGATATTTAACATAGCTTTTGTACTGTTGTTCCTTACGTCTTATTTAGAATTGTTTTTAACTTTTGTTCTGCATTTTTATTTGTAACCTGCCTTGAATTCAGTTTTATCATAGAAAGGTAAGATGTAACTGTCCAAACAAAATTTTCCTGCATAAATATACAGTTAACATACCTAAAAACATATTTGATGTATATAAATAAAGGTGATGTTAAGTCATTTTTACTTCACAGAGCTGGATAGAATCTGGGTTCAAAGCTTGCTGTGATTTATCTCAAAGCTGCCAATTAATTATTCTTTATTCATTGGATATAATTTGAGTATGTAAACATATGCTTGCTTTGGTTTTAAAAAGCCCTAGACACCTTGTAAATGATAGCTTACTATCAGTGTTGATTTCATGTAAATACCTTCACAGCACTAAACATCCTTTTCTCTTTTTTAAAGGTTTTACACATTCATTTGTTCAGTTTGTAGTTCTGGACCAGAATACCTCAAACGTTTACCCTTGCAATGGTAAGTGCAGTCAAGAATGCATTCAGAAAAGCCAAGTACCTTACCATACATTTTTCTAGCTTGCTCTTGTCTGTTCTTAATGATTACCTTTGCTCTTCTCTTTGTAACTAAGTGAACTGTATTAATTTTATTAGTGTTTTCCTCCCAACTGGCTTCAAACTGAAAAACTAAGAAATAAATTGCCCACTAAGGGGCCATGAAACAGATTAACATAGCTATGACATTCTTACCATTTTGTGATGTATCACAGGTGTATATAACCTTTCTGGCCCTGAACACTACGCATGATACAGGGTTGGGCACTATATTTGTCAGCAATCTTAATGCAAATCACTCTTTCCTCATTGCTAGTGAGGATCTTAGGTATCTGAGTATTCTCAAGGAGGGAATAGACAGCCTTTTCTCCACCTCCCCATCCCACATGGTGATCCTGGTACAGATCTCTTTTTCCTTGTCACTATCGGGTGGGACAGAACATTCTCTGTGAGGATATCTGGATAGGGAACAGAATGTGCAGGCAGCAGGGAATTCAGGAAATGAAGGGCAAAGTGGTTTCTAAATAGTGCTCATTTTGTTTTTCTTGTAGCCAGATTCTGTTCATATTTATAAAATATTGAATGGTGCTAATTGTTTTTATTAAAACTTCTCAATTCTAGGGTAGATATAGCACATCTATGCCTTTACAACCTAAGTGTTATTCACAAAAAGAAATACTTTGATTCAGAGCTTGAACTCATGACATACATTAATGAAAACTGGGATCGACTCCATCCTGGTGAAGTAAGTTGTTGATATATTCTTATTTGTTGTGTGTGGGTTGATTCAGAAGATTAAAGTAAGATCTAGAGATTTTTTAAAGTCTTAATCCAGTTAGATAATAACTGTATAAAGTTCAAGAAAGGATTACCTGTTTTAATGATACAGCTTACTTCTACAAAACGAATTACAGTTGTTATCCAGAAGTTTGTGCATGTGCAGTTAGTTACAGAAGGCAAAGAAATTTGGGTTTTTCTGCAGTCCCATTAATTATCACTTGATAGAACAATCCTGTCACCTAACTTTATAAGTCAACAAATGATAGTAGCTAATTTTTATGATACTGCATATTAGAAGCTACATAACCTTTTACAGTCTTATCACATTTAATTCTGTTTAATTTCAGTCCACATAATCCTGCTGAGCTTTTCACAATTCTCATGCAGTTAGGCAAAACACTAGTTCTGTGAACACCATTTGTTTTACCAGATCTCAGAATGCATTTTATTTATATTTTACAGAAAGGCCAAGCATTTTCATTTCTTAAAAAAAAAGAAATTCCTACACAAATGAGACCTTCAATCACTCAGAAGTAGATTGTAGTTTTATTAAAGTTTCATACCTTATACTTAGGACACTGAACTTAGCCAACATGTATGCTTGCTCACTCGCTTGATCGCTCGTGCTCCCTCTCTCGCTTTTGCTCCCCCCCCCCATGCATTCTCCCTCCCTCCCCTCAGGATTGAGTTTGTATGCTGTCATATCTATATAATTGGCATTTTGGGAGAGGAAATTTCCTCTGTCCAATTTTTGGGAATCCTCCTCCCACTCACACACTACTGCTTACCCCATTCATCCTGATTCTCAGCATTTTCAAGGGGCTGCAGTGGGAAAGAATGAGCAGGGAAGCATAAATCTGAATTCAACTCTTAAGTATCCTTGAACACAACTTTGTCTTATCCAATGGATAGAGGAATTCTAGAATACAGCATGTGTTCTATATGCCTTTCAACTGCTGAATATATTGTTAGGGTACAGGAGTTGTACTGCAACTTTAGTAAGCTAAATCTGTTCTTAATACTTCCCAGCTGGCAGACACACCAAAATCTGAAAGATATGAGCATGTCTTGGAAGCATTAAATGATTACAAGACCATGTAAGTTGATGGGGAGGAGTTATGCATTTTTTCTTTGCTGTTGTTTAGTCTCTAGTCTGCTGAAGGTCCTTAGAGAAAAGTGTTGAAAAATATATACATAGTTCCTTTATTGTAAAATAGTAAAAAGTTTAGACTCAAACTTGTAGATGCTAAGAAAGGAGCTAACTGAGTGTTTTGCTCTACAGTCTTGGTACTTGAATTGGGATTAAAGCAGGGACAGAAAGCATTATAAACTGAACTGAGATTTCTGTGTACATCTGAATAAATATTTAGGTCCTCAATTTCTTTATTTAATATTTAACAATTCAGGTTTATGTCTGGAAAGGAAATAAAGAAGAAAAAGCATTTGTTTGGCTTGAGAATTCGTGTTCCTCCTTGCCCACCAAATGCTGCTCTTAAGGCTGAGAAAGAACCCGAGGGAACTTCACATGAGTTCAAAATTAAAGGCAGAAAATCATCTAAACCTGTGTCTGATCAGAGGTAAAACAGCCTATCAACTGTATAATGTTGGGTTGTTTGTTGGTTTCCTGAAGATATTTTTCACAAGTCATTGGTAGGAGCATTCATAGTAAATTAAGTATCCTAATCCTAAAATACATAAATATTGGATGATATCTGCCATTGTGTAAGTGGAAGGCAAGTTTGTGCAATGGATCTTCATTAGAAGTTTGTGCAATGAACTTCCCTTCCTGTATCCTCAAAAAAGCCTTCCCAGGGGGCTAGGGGACCTATGAATCACTGAGGCTGGTCTCTTACAGGGCTGCCATGGATATGTGTAATTGCTAAAGGCAGGAACTTTATGTCAGCAATGCAAGATTCCTCCATTCAGTTTTTAGGTGATTCCTCCTCCTACTGCAGTCATATAGGATACAGTGTACAATGCTTAGTAAGTCCTTCTCTGATCCTCTGAAAAGGCTTTTGGCAAGAAGGCCCCAGAGGAGAGAATGAGAAAGGAAAGATCCATTGTGTGAGTGGCTGTCTGCTTCTATAGTGTGGGTTATCACTTACTGATTAGTGTCACTGTCTGGGGGGGGGTGTATTTTTCTAAGTTTATCTTCGAACAGTACTTGTTACAGTTTTAAAACAGCAGAACTGCATACTAGAATTTTGGGCCCTTGGTGCTAATGGTTCAAATTAATACCAAAGAGGGTAATGGTTTTAGAAACCCCCATGATCAAGCACTTATTAAATACTCCTGAATAAACAAAAACTAACAGCAAGCAGCTGCAAAAATAAAACATAGCACAACAAATAGTCTAGCAGAAATAAACTAAGAAATAAGCAGTGCAGATGTGGACATCTGAATAGTAGAACAGTCTTAGTTATGCCTTAAAAACTTGAAAATTAGGAAACCAGATGGTCACCAACTAGCTTACATCACCATCTTGGCCAAAGTTGTTCATTCAGAGTTGACTAGGAACTAGTTGAGTTACCTGCAGTATTGTTGTCATCTAGTAAGCTCAACCAGTTTTAACCTGTTTTCTGAGCAAAGTGGCCTGCTGTTCTACAGTTGAAACTTCAGTCTTGTCCAGTGAGTTAGGAAGCATCTTCTAGAATACTGGTGCCCAGGACAAATATATATTATTACCATATATACCCACATATAAGATGACGGTTGAAACCGAAAATAGCAATGCAAAAATAGGAGTTATCTTATATGCCAGGTGAATTTTTTCCGCTTAGTTTGTCTTCAGTCTTCTTCCAGTCTTGCAGCCTCTTCTCAGTAATGTCAAACCTAGCAGCATTACAATTACTTTTCTCACCCAGTTTGGCTAACCTTTAGCTTAAAACAAGGCCTGATGTGCCAGAGTGCAGCCTGTTCCGGGTGAGTGTGTCCTGCATTGCATTGCATTGCATTGCAAGCCTCACACACAACTGCAGACCCAGTCCCCAGTCTTAACACCTGCCCTGCTGGGGGGGCGGGGGGGCATACCATTGCAGGCTGGCCACAGTGGTGGTTGGGAAAGGGAGTATTTCCCACGTGGCTGTCTTGTGACGAGACACAGTGCAGCCCGTGTGGGCCTCCTTCCTCTCACCCTCCTGCCTGCACCTATCACAATACCAGCATCTGCTGTTTTCCCCAGCTGACCCCAGCCAGCCCTCTTGCACGCTGCCATCAGTCTCCAACTGTGTTTTTATGCTTTGTTGTAAACCACCCAGAGGGCTTCATCTGTGGGCAGTATAGACATAAATAAAACAAGCATCATATTTTTTCTTCTGTTGTGATCCATGTTTTACAGTCAAAAATAAAGCAATCACATCACTTTACAAAAACTTCCTCTAGACAGAGATTATACAGATAAGAGTCAAGGCTTGTAGAAGACAAATGTGAGCTCAAGTGAAATCAGAAAGGTAACATGACTATTAGCTAGAATAAAATGACATCATGAGAGTCTAGAAGGTTTTGGCTGACAAATACCATAGGTACCAGCGTATAAGACAACCCTTCAAACCGAAAAGAACAAAGCAAAAAATTGAGGGTATGACAAACATCAGAAAAATAGCCCAAAATATCTACTTCATCTTATACACAGGTTACCTTATAACCAATATATGCAGTATTTGAATAGCTGTGTGATAAAATGTAGCAATTGCAGCATCTGTGAGGCTGAAGGATTTGGCATGTCATAGTATTTCAGTAGACAACCACTGCTATGCAGAGGAAATAGATTCCTGTGTATTCAGGAATGTTGTTCAGTAGTTTTTTAGGTTTCGTAGTGAGGAATGTGGGGTAACAATACATGGCATACAGCCTTGCAAATGATAGTGAATGAACTTGATCAATGGAAGCCTATTGGTGTTTGTTTGTTTCATTTCTATCCTGCCTAATAGCTCTGGGTGGTTTGCAACAATCTATTGTTATGAGAAACCCCTTGAACTGTCTGGTGCATATGCGTGCAGAATCTGTTAATATTTTTCCTTTTGAGCTCTGACCTTTAGTTTGTAGTAGTCTTTACTTCCATATTCCCCACATTAAACTTTGGTTCTCTTGGCTCACAGAACAGGAAACTACCACAGCATTCCTTTCAGCATTCCTGCTGGTTACATAGAGAAGACTAAAACCCTTCTTCCTTTACTTGACTAGTTGGGACTGTGTTTCATGCAGATATGTATTTCCTGCAGTAGCTTCCTTTTCTGCTAGAGTGTGACAAGGCAGAAGTTACATCAGCTTTCATATTTAGTTCACTTGTAATAGTAAATGTAAGTAAATTGCTGATCAAAAAATGAACATTCAGTCTCTGCCATTTTCCTTACTTCAACTTCTGTAAACAACCCATGATCAGCATATTTATAGCAAGTAATGGTGTGAACTCAGAGGGCTGGGTTGTTTAGCCCCTAAACCAGCGTGCTGGCCTGACAACATCATGCTTATATCCTACAAGCAAACTGATGTAGGCTGTTTACAGAAAGTGGAACTAAAATGCATGTCTCACTTTTCCTAAAAAAAGAAAAATCAATGCTCCAGATTTATATGTCATGTTCACAAACTACAAATAGACTGATTGTAGGTTTAGATAAAGTAGAAGCAATGAGCCCATCAGGGCAGCCCTCTCTCTCTTGCCTAGCAAATCAAGTATTAATTGAGCCACAATGTGCAATTAGGTCATAGAGAAGGACATTTTCTATTTCTAAATAGGTTCAGTAAAAGTAAATTCAGAAGAGTAAACACGCTTCGTACAACTCTCAAAATAGCAAAATAGTAAATAATAATCAAATATAGCCCAGTGTATTTTCTTCTTAAAAACAAAACTTTGGGCTTTCTTCTAGGGAAATTAATAATGGTGTAGAAAGAAAGGGGAAGAAAAAGTCTGTTGGTCGTCCACCTGGCCCATATACCAGAAAAATGATGCAAAAAATGTCTGAGCCATCTCTTTTGGTAAGTGGTATCCACATTGATTTGCATATTACTTAACTAAAAACAGCCACTGTATTAAACGGTATTTTTAAAAAGTTTACATCATCATGAAGAATTAAATATTTAGAGTCTGAAAAGTTGTTATTTTTCCCCCCTTGGGAAAAGGAACCTGCTGTGGTGCAAGAATCCTCTACTTTGGAATTACCTAGCACTACTGGGTAAGTAGGAAAAATCTACCACAAACTTTTTAAACTGACTAATACTAGGTTAATTAGATTTTAATATTTGAATTACTTTGATCACATATCAACATGAAATGGCTTAGAAGATCTGATGGAACTGCACACTCATCCAATACCTCAGATGTGGAATCCACAGGTGCTGCCAGTACAAAAGAAACTACCTCAAACAGTATTTCCAAGCATTACAGGTATGCTACCATTTAATATATTGTTTACATTTTTGTAAGCCATCCTGGGACGTTTCTTTTGTATATGATGGGATATAAATATTTTAAATAAATAAAATATTCCATATGTGTGTTGCAAAATAGACAGGAAAGCCAAGGGTTAAATCTTAAAAATTAAACATATTACTTTGTAGCCTCGGATATTAAGAGAGATAATAGAAGTTCACACAGGAAGCTGGCAGTCTCTTCCTTCCCCTTGCAGCCATTGGCAATGCCTGAAAAGCTTCTCTGGCAGGTCTTGGGTTCCTTTCCTGAACAATGATTTTATTCATTTGTAATGGCTATGACTGAGTTGTTTAACCCAGGAATTATTGTTGCATACAAACCAGGTCTGTGTATGATGAAGTACGGGGTGCTGCCCTGGATTTAGACAAAGTTGTCCCTGGATTCTAAGGTAGCTCTTGGAAGTTCACAGAAGGAAACTTGCATCTGATCCTCCTCTCAGAAGCCCCCCTGCATCTGATCTCATATTATTCTGGAGGGCCCTTGACCCTCCAGAGGGGAAACTCTCCTCATGTGAATTTCTTTATATTCCTTAACTGAGCTTTGCTATTGGGCAGTGTAGAAAAGTAATGAATAGAATATTACCTTAGGATCTATGCCATTATTTATAAGTAAATCCTGTTTCTTTCAGTGGGACTTCTTGGACAGGTCTTTAACATTTTTATTAATGACTTTGATGAGGAAGTGCAGCAAATGATTATCAAAACTGGGTGGGATAGCTAATATCCTGGAATACAGAAAGAAGATTCTAGACAATCTTGCTAGATTGGAGTGCTGGGCTGAAAACAACAGAATGAAATACAGTAGGGACAAAGTGAGAAGGATCTTGGAACCATTGTAGATCACAAGCTGAATATGAGTCAACGGTTGTATGATGTGGCTGCAAAAAGGTCAAATTCTACTTTAAGCTGCATTAATTGAAGTATCACTTCCAAATCACATGAACTACTAGTTCCCCTTTACTCAGCACTGGTTAGGCTTCATCTGGAGTACTGTGTCCAGTTGTAGATATCACAGTATAAGAAAGATGCAGACAAGCTGGAAAAGGTTTAGAGGAGGGCAACAAGGATGATCTAGAGACTGGAAACAAAGCCCTATGAGGAGAGACTGAAAGAACTGGGTGTGTTTATCTTTGAGAAGAAAAGACTGAGGAGAAGTATGTTAGTACTGTACAATTACTTGAAAGGCTGTCACAAAGAGGAAGAACAGGATCTCTTCTTAATCATCCCACAGTGGAGGACATGGAATAATAGGCTCAAGATACAGATGGCCAAATTCTGGCTGGATACCAGGAAAAAATTCCTGACAGAGCAGTATGACAATGGAACCAATCCTAGGGGTTCTCCCATACTAGAAGCATTCAAGATGTAACAGGACAGCCATCTGAGAGGGATGGTTTAACATGGAGTCCTGTATTGAACAGGGCATTGGACCCTTTGGTGTCTCAATTCTACTGTTCTGATTCCTGAGAGTAAGGGTGTTTAGGACTAGTTTAAAGCAGCATTTCACAACCATTTACCTTGAAGCAGCCCTTGAAGTAATTTTCCTGCATTAAAACATATTTTAAAGGTTGGCCCTGGATTTAATGTAAATAAAGGTTGTAATATTTTCTTAAATTATTGACAATGTTGAATAGTACAGTAACGGAAAACCATAAAATAAATTGAAGCACTATGAACAAAAATATTGGCTAAGATGGTGTCATTTTTGAAACTGAAATGAAGAATTAAATTATTTAATGTGAAACTTGTGCTTGTTTTTTGCTGCACAAATACTTAATTCTGAATCAAACTTTGGGTGTCAAGTTAGGAAACTGATTTTGCAGCATCTTCTAAAGTCTGTGAATCCCTCAATCCATCCTATGTACTTGCAGTCAGAAGTTACCCATCACTTCCTCCTTTTGAAATTTACCTTCCAATACTTGCCCGTTCAGCTCACAAGCCAGCATCTATCTGTAAATTGTGGGGGGTGGGGGGTGTGATGAAAGGAGGGTGTGAAGTAAGGGTAGTTGCTGTTACCTAATGCTGGGCACCCAGATTCCCCACTGTGCAACTTCCTGCACTCCTGAGGCAGATATGCTTCCCACCCTGGCTCCTTCCCTCATGGATGGACTCTCCCTGGGCCCCCTCCTAGGCAATTGGAGTGAGCAGAAGGGCTCCTCAGGCAATAATTTGGATGTGTGTTTATATTATAAACACACATGTGAATGCATGATGTCTGTTTCACAGAAGACCCAGTGACCTTTTGTGGAGCCCTGCAGTTTTGGGGGATCCTGGTTGAAAAGGGCTAGTCTTGGAATCTGGTTTAGCCTCCATTCCACAGCTCTCCCTGAGGAGCATCTTTTTTCTTTCTTTTAAATACTATGAGGGAAAATGCAGAACTACATATGGAGGCTCCTTTGGTAGTAGCAAATTCTTCCCTTCCTAATAAACGGTGGTCCATTCTTCAGTTTGGGGTTCCATAGGGAGATACGGTATGTAAAATGTACTGCAAAGGGTCAGTATTATTCAATATTCAATACAAGCTTCAGGCAATGTTAGGTATTTTTCTAATTATTAAGTATTGCTTTAGAGTACATGTTCAAGTCAAGAAGTCCCATGTATAAGTGCACACATGAGAGGGAGAGAGAATATAATCAGCCACTTAATTTGTTCTTATGCTTTATAAACCGAGGAGCAAAAACTGTCTTAAAACAGTGGACAGACAGCCAAACCAGTAAAGATAAGGTACACAGTGTGGCTTTCACTGGCACAGTTGGTCCTTCATACCTTAAATACCTTCTGCTTGCTTTGTAACTGAATTTCCTCTGCTATGCTCCATTAAACCCTGTCTGCCAACAGTTGCTGCACTGCCCAGCTGCTTTCTGCTACACCACATTTGGCAACAAAAGCTGTAATAGCACTAACAGATTCTGGGTGCTATTACAACTATATCCTTAGTTGATGTAAATTAGACACGCTAAATTGTATTTATAAAGCTTAAATTAATGTTTGTATCTTCTGTAGTTTATCTGACTCTAGGAAAAGGACACGTACAGGAAGAACTTGGCCAGCTGCAATACCACATTTAAGGAGGAGAGGGCGCCTTCCACGAAAAGCACTCCAAATTCAGAATTCAGAAATTGTAAAAGAAGATGAAGGCAAAGATGATTATCAGTATGATGAACTTAATACAGAAATTCTGAACAACTTGGCAGATCAGGAGTTACAACTTAATCATCTTAAGAACTCTATTACCAGTTACTTTGGTGCAGCAGGTAGGATAGCTTGTGGTGAAAAATACCGTGTTTTGGCACGTCGGGTGACACTTGATGGAAAGGTGCAGTATCTTGTAGAGTGGGAAGGAGCAACTGCCTCTTGACTGTAGCACTGAACCTTGTTTTCTGTGCTGTCCTTATCTATTTATAGGCACAGTTTATTAACCAGGAGTGCAGAAGGAAACTTTTTCGATATTTGTTAAAATGGAAACCAAGTTAGCCTTAACCATTTCTTTTTAACAGTACAAACATTGAGATAAAAGAATTATCATTTTTAAAATAAGGCTAGATTCCTAATTTTTTAAGATGAGAATTTAGATTGTTTTAGAGTGGGAACCTGGGATTTCATTTGCTTTAAAATCTGCGCAATTTCAAAAGAGACTTCTCTAGAGTACATTCCATGGATACATTTTTGTGGGTAGGGAATATTTTCTGTAGCTAGGACAAATTTTTAGTAAGATTCGTAATCTTTTCTTACCCAAATGTTTGCAAAAGTGTATTTCTACTTTGACAACCCTAGATTTTCATAAGGTGCAGTGTATATAATTCCTACTGAGGACTGTAAAATATTGAAATCTTCTTTCAAGGAAAGTGTAAAAAATATATTGAGCTTGTAAATTGCTCTGTGACTAGACTTTGTTGTCTTTTTAATATATTCTTTGCATGTGTGTATATATACACATACGTGTGCATGTGTATATATGTGTGATTGTGACCTATGCAATATAAATTATGGGATTGGGCAGCTTTTGACTACATATCCCATAATTCTTTTATCAGGAATAGTTGCAGTATTTTCACAGCAGCATTTCTTCTCAGGCTTTATTGGGTGCTGTTGCTTGCCACATACTACAGAATATGTGTCAAATGAGTGCTGTATGTTCTGGCAGTGAGTGCAGTCATTAATGTCATATGCCTTAGAATATAATTCAGGCTGCAATCCTGCACACAGGTCCCCAGTGATGAAGAGATTTGGCATGCTCCTCAGGTTGACATGCACTCTTTCCTCTGCATATTTTTTTTATCCTATGTTAAACATGTTACAGTCCCCATCCTCACTGAAGTCCACAGTTGCCTCTAAATTCTGAGAAAAGAGGGGGATTGGGATTAGGAGAGTAGTAGATGCTCCCCACTTGCTTAGCCATGGCTAAGAAATCTGGAACCATTGCATCTATACTGGCCAGATCGCTTGATGTTGCAATTCTATACCTATTTACCCAGGAATAAGCCCTGAAGAACTCAGAGGCACTTGCTTCTAAATTGACATGTATAAATCTCCTTGACTTAAGCAGTCTGACTGTGTACAGTATTGCAGCCACAAATTTATGTTGGAGAAAAGTTTAAAACTCAAATCAGGACTTGAAAACTAGAACATAAGCTCTGGTTTGGATAAAAAAATTCTAAGGATTTGTGACACATTGATTGTAAATTTTGTCTCCCAGTTAGTAAAAAATGTCAGCAGGAATCACAGAAGATTCCTTTTGTGTGTGATGTTTTGTAGTCATGTTTAATTAACATAGTTGGAACAAAGTGTTTAATTGCACAGGGTCAACAAACAGTATGTTACCAACTGGGGTAACAGTACTGCTTTTATTACAATATTACCTCTTCTGTTCTTATAAATATGAGTTGAGTTTTAAATGGATGACTTGTAAAATTATTTTACTTGTAAAATAACATTTTTCCTGGGGTTAGATGTACTACTTTTTTGTTTGAGTTTTTGTTGGAATTTTTTTGCCAAAGAGTAACACACCTATTTTATTTTGATGGTTTCTCATTTTACTGTCTACTGTTCTGCTGTCAGACATGAGTTTGCCAACAAAATAAAAATATGTGACAATATGTTCATAGCAAGTTAAAAAGCATTTGTATGGTTAAACCTTATTCTACTTAATTATTTGACATTTAAAACAAATACTGTTATGATTGTCAAGGAAAAGGGATCTCACATTTTTATATAGCCAAAGGAAGCATAGACAGAATTTGTTGCCCTGTGCTTGTGATTGGCCAGAAAACTTACAAGTTTTACTAAAATGATAATTAAAATGTACTTCTGCTTGCCTTCATTAAAAATATGGTTTTCTTTCCCTGTCACAGTCTCAGCAAGTTAAAGTTGCCTTGCCTATAGTTGCAATATTTTGATAAGACACAAGTTACTTTTTGAATGTTGGTGTCTTGGGATAATGCAAAGTGTAGTTCTATTGTAATGTTACTCCAAACCAGTTTTTTAAATTAAATTTCCTTTTCCACAAACTTTTTAATTCACACTGAACACCAGCAGTATTTGAAGTAGGGCTTCCATACAAAGAACAATTGGAATCTAGCTGGGGAGAAAACGTGACAAACTGTCAACAGATTTAATTGTGAATGTGTGTTTGTTTTCATTTTGTCATGGTGTTTGACATGTTTGTATTGCTGAAACTGTTTTCTAGAATTTAATATCAACATTAAATGTGTGTATTTTTAAGATAACTTGTTTCTGTTTTAATTTGTAACCCAGGTCAAGCCTCATTTAGGGTGCAGTCCTATGGATTTTTAGGCAGAAGGAAGTCCCACAACTTTTTCTTCAAAGGCAAATTCAGTAGGACTTCTGCATAAAAGTTGGTAGTGACTGAGCTACACTCAATGCAGTAGCCAAAGCATATTTAATCACAGCCCAGACCCAAGCCTATTTACTCAGATTTCCTCCTTCACTAGAACTTTCGAGTAAGTATTTCAACAAAAGCCCATTAAATTCAGTAGAACTTACACAGATAGAAATGAGATACTTCTTCAAAAATGTATTTTTGAACATTGGCTGCCAGTAAATGTCAATCATTAGGCCAGCCATCTACAAGCTGATATCCTTCAGATGTTTTGGATGACGACTCCCAGAATTCCCAACCATCTGTCATATTGCCTAGGGCTGATAGGCAATTTGAAACATTTGGAGGCACCAGATTAGGTGATACTGGGCTAGCCTATGATCTTTAGTTTTTGCAAGATATAACATGTAATCATACTGTGTTGAGTATTATAAAGTGTGAAAAACTAACATAAACATCTAATCAAGTTTAAAATGTCACTAATGTGCAGACCATTGTATTTTAGTAGTGTTTCTTCATGGCTTAGGATACTAATTATAAGATTGATCTGACAATGTTCTGTGGCAGATTAACAATCTATTAAGAGGCTCCTTATTCTTAAACAACCAAAAACAAAACTTTAATACAGAAATTATATACAGCTACATACAATTTGAAAACTTAATTTTTTCTACAGTGGCAGCCTTAAATATTTATGACTTTTTTGTTACCTCTTTATCATTCTCTTGCTAATAAGTAACTTGCTTCCAGTTAACTGGTTTGACAATCTAGATGTTTTGGTTCTGCATATGCTCCAGTATCAGAAACATAGTTATCCTGTGCTTAGTAAGCAGGAAGAATGGGGTAGTGTCATTTTTTATGTCCACAGCTTCTATACAAGGTTTTGAAGTCATAGCACCAAGACAAAGGAATGAACTATGTCTGTTTTTCCATAAAATAGGTAACAGAAATGTCACAAAAGGTTCTAAAGTTCTGCTCTTGGAACTATTGCCATTGGGATTTTAAAATGTGAGAAACTTGAAACTAAAACAATATACCAACCAATTCCCATTTTGCCTAATCCTTCAGTGAGCTTACAGCTATAGAATGGTTTGCATGACATGGCAACCCATCATGGGTAACTAGGCATGGTAGGTTGTCATGGCATCCAAATTTAGACTGTTTCCCATGGGATGGGCTTATTTGGGAAGGGAAAGTCACTCTGACAAGCTATGGCTTTTTCTAGGTATTCTGTGTCCCGCAATGAGTTGTCATGTCATCTGACCTTTGGAAATAGAGTCTATAATATAAAGTTGTGGAAATTGCCTAATAGGACATTTGGAGAGCAGCAGCAAAAACCTTTGCTGCTTTTTATAATCACACCCATGCTGCCACCAATGACTGTACTGGCACTTTGGAATAACCACTGGTTCACATTTTCACACTCTTGTGTTTTTTTTTTTTTTTTTTGTGGTCTTTTGAAGTTCACCAAATGTGCACTTAGCAGCTGTGCAATTTTTGTAGTCTTGCCCTGATTTTCTTGTAAGTTTCAGCTACCAAAGGGAGCAAAGTGCATTTGGTAAACTGATGAAAATTAAGGTGAGACTAAAAGTTACCGTGAGGTCAAATCAAAAATCACCAGTAAAGGGGAGAAAAGAGGTGCACTGAAAGGAAGTGACAAGATCTCCCTCCTATTAGTATATTCCTCAGTATTTCAAGTGTTGAACTGACAGTTCTTAGTGTTACAGTTTTTACACTCCCTCAGGTCTCTAGCTATTTTAGGAAAGGGAGGCATTTTTAAAGGCCCTTAGAGTTAGCAGAATGAGTTGGAGTAAGTGGGACAGGAGTTACACATTCATGTGGCCCCACTCAGTCAGATTTTTAAGCTGTCAGGGAACCATAGCAAGGGTTCTAAAAAGGAATTGCAGAGGAAGAAAGGTTTTTTAAAACCTGCCTAAAAAATTAGCTTTCTTGAAGGGTGGGAGGGACCTGGAAAATATATGCATATTTATGGCAGGGAAGAAAATAGAATATGCATATTTTGCTCCTATTTATTTCTCAGCTGTGAAGTCTGCGCATATTTTTCCATCACTTGCTTCCCAACAATATTTGCATACATATTCCCTATCAGAAAGTGCATATTTTCCAGAGATTTTTTTTAACCTTTGAAGTGGCACAATGGGATACACCAGTATGTGTCCTTTCCCTCCCCTCAGCAGTGGGTTCCCAGTCACTCTATCCCCTTCAGCTGCCTTCTCAGGGTTAAAGTACTGGCAGGAAACCACAGCAAGTGCTTGCTTGAAAAAGGAACTGTGAAAAGTGTGGTTAATATCTCACCTTTCTGGAGACACTCCCCTGCCTCAACCTCAGTTGAGCAGTTTCAAATCTCTGGGGAAGACAGCACAAAAATGGTGGTGAACAAAAACATAGGGACTGGAACAAAGGAGGGAGGGACCGAGATGGTTTTTACTCCAAAGGGCACTGGAAATCCAACTACAAGACTGAGTGGGCAGGAACGGGAGAACAACTCATGGTGAACCTTATTGTCTGAGACTGATTGCCTGAGCCATATGGATTGTTCTATGAACAGATCTCCCACCCACTGTGGCACTGAGAGTAGCTTTGTGAGTTGTGTGAATGTAGCCATTAGGTTGGAGCCAGATTTCCCTCATATTGGTGGAAGATCAGGAGCCCTCAGCAACCACTTCTGCCCTCTGAAAATCTACTCTAGAGGGTTCAGAGATTGACACAGTTGACATCATCTTGTCACAAGGAACAATTTGCATTTTAACATTAATTTTTAAGTGTTATTTGTTTCTGAACTGTCACACTTCTGGCTTCTATTACAGCTGATAAAAAGAACTACACTCTTTTAATCCATTATATCAGATGCAGCCACTGTTCTCATTTTGTCTACTGATAAAACAAACTGTGTGGAAGTATAATATTTCGCTGTTCTGTTTGAACATTACTACTGCTACCTAAAATATATTTACATTGCCTTTAAGGGTGGATTGATTTAAACCAGCAAGGTTTAAAAATTACTAAAGTTTCCCATGGATACAATTTCAGATATTTTGAAAATGGTGCAAAAATGACTACTGAACCATGTTAATTTACAACTATAGTATTTAACTAGTTTCTTTCTTATTAAGCCTTCTGTTTATTCATTACATTGTAACACATGCATATTTTTAATCTATATAAGGAATGCATTTTCTTATTTCCATAGAGCAGCTTCCGTACAAGCAAAAATTATGAGAATGAAGTTAAGTTTTAAAAACAAGAACCTGAACACTGGTCAGTGTTATTTTTGTGGTATGTAGTTTCCTTTCCTTCTGCCTTGGACCAACCCCACCTTCACAGAAACAAAATAACAAGCAAAATGAAATGCCTATGAATTGTCAGTTATTGGTCAAATAGAGCAGCTTTATTTATTTATTTATTTATTTGGATTTTTTTTTTTATGCCATCCCATTTGCATAAGCTTCGGGATGGCTTCCAACATCATAAATAAATACTGATACAAATAGATACATAAAAAATCTGGATACATCCTTGCTATATATTTTAAAACCAATAAATAATGTCAACAATTATTAAAATATCGTTTAAATAAAAAGGTCTTGGCCTGGTGCCGAAAAACAAATAATGACAGCGCCAGGCAGACCTCTCTGGGGAGTACATTCCATAAATGGGGAGCACATTCCATAAATTCCATAACGCTTGTTTTATGAAGTGAAAGTGATATGCTTGTTTGGTAGGTAACTGTAAATACTAGTTTTTCAAAGGAAAATTGGTTCTTGATTTAAATAGAAAAGCCTCTTTTAATCCATTTTTTCTTCTAGATTACACTAATTCAATTCAGTGATTCTTTAAACCTAACATGCTTTATTCATATTTATTAAATAAATTATTAGATTTGACAAACTCAGTATTAACAATTTTAAAAAACTTAAATGTTTTTAAATTAACTAGTGATGTCTCGTTATTCAATATGGCTCAAATTCTATATGATAAGCTTTATGAGAATAGCAAACATTGTGGCATTCCTACAAAGATAAGTTCTATCACACTCGGATAAAATAGTGACTTGTTGCTGTATCAAACTGTTTCTTTTCTATGTGTAGATAGGCCTTTTTGAAGGTATAGTTTTGGTGGTTAGCCTTCACCTTTAAGCTAAGAGTTATGCTCATGTCTGTTTGTGCCCTTCAGGATCTTAGCCTATCGCTGTTATCCTCCCTATTAGTTCTGCTGGCAAAGCTGATAGGAAGATGAGACAGACGATCTAGAAAGCCACAGGTTGTCCACCCATGGTTTAGCTACCCATTTGCTCTTTGAAAATTAGGGCTGGTTATAATACAGGATAGGATTTGGTGAAAACTCCAAAAGGAAAATCATTCTTTACATTTACTATTTTAGGGGCGGTCTGGGATAAGGGTGCATTTCTACCCATTTACCTGCAAGTAAAACTCAATGAGACTCAATAGACGTATATAGGGCTGCACTATATGGGGAAGTATCTAACTCACTTATCAAGCAAAACACTTATAAAAGATCTTAGAGATATTTGTATTTTTGGTTCATAAAACTGATTAGCTATTGGCAACTGATTAAATGAGGATACATCAACACTGTATGTAGTATCCTAGCATGACTGCAATTTACAAATAGTCACATCTTCTGTATAAGTAACAGCATGACTGCTAATACTCCCTTATCCCTTAAGTAAGATGCTCCCTTATCCAATAAGCACCATCATGGCTTATCCAGGCTCCTGAAACAAAAGATGCACTGTACATGTTAATAACAATACATTACGAGGTTTAATACACTTTTATTAATTTTATCCATTTCACAGCCAAAATTTTAGCAATTTTCCTTTCTTACAATGTTCACTTTCTTCCTCAACCTGAAGTTATACAACACAACCTTGAGTGCCAAAGTAAGAAAACCTGTTTGATAAAACTGTTAAACTACATGTATAGCCTTACTTTGTTAGAAGCCAAATCTATATACCATAGTAATGAGTAGACTAGTAAGTAGTAGCATAGTATCAGAGGTAGCCTTAGTCACAGCTTTCTGGTAAGGATGTTTTATCAAAGTTATTAACAGTATTTTATTGTGAATGGTCAAGAGGCTATTCACATTCTGAACACTGCAGTGGTGTGTTCATTTTAATCGCTTGGTTTCTAAAAGGAGCCTAGACCTTTCCTCATCATCCACGTGTATAAATTTACAGGGGATTGCATTGTACATGTATTTTGCCACATAAACTTAATTAGCTTTAAGGCTTTCTCTTATTTGCATACAGGCACTGGTATTCAGCAGCTTTCAAGGATCTTGATTGGGTACCCTATTGCTTGTGGGCCGATAATCTTAAGACTCAAATCAACACAGTTCTAGCATTCTGTAAAAAGACTCATTTGAATGCAAGATTACATACACAAGTGGAGGCTACTAGAGTAGCTGCAGTGAGGAATTAGCTTGTTACTCCTGAATTCATATGCTTGTATTTTCACATGTTTGTCCCTTTAGGCATGACAGCATTACTTTGTGGAGTTCTTACTGTTTCACAACCCTTGATTAACTCTTGGCTATTTTAGCAAACTGCACCCTTCTAGCACTGAAAATCGGTTCAAATTCTCATGACTTCCTATTGTTAGCTCAAACTAAACAATTTATGGTAAACCTAAATAAATTATTGCTTCTGGGAGATACCTTTTCCTTCGAGTATACTGCTATTATGTATTCAGTCTGTGGGAATTGAACAAGAGTCAGCAGGCCATCTGCAGCACCTCTAACTATTAAAAGTGTTAACTGTGGAGGCCTCAAACAAAGAATTTTCATGAGAAAAACAATCTAGGACATATCCAGGATTATACAGTAAGAGTACATTCACAGTGTTCAAACAAGCATAGAAGGTTGTACATTAAATTCTCCAAGGGAATACCAAACATATATAACACCTGGTGAACAATGATTTGCTGCTTTAATTGAAGTTGGAAAGTTCAAGGTGCAAGCCTCAGCACTCTTACTAACAACTTGCTTCTAAGTAAATATTCTTATAACACTTCACATTTTTGTGCTGTTTTTAAATCACAAATTTAGGAACACTTATAGCTTGTGTTTTTCATACAAGGTACCCCCTTTTAAGGTTTTGAGTAATCCTAAGGAAAACAAGAAAACAGCACTGAGAAGCATGTTTTTAACAAATCAGTGACCAAACTTGAATTCTTTATAGAATTGATTATAAACCTCTCACTCCAGCAAGAAATTAAATTTTCAGCTACTTGGCATAGTAAACACAATAATGCAAATTGAGTGTTCAAATGCATAATAGTACAGCCATATACAGATACCAACCCAAAACAAAACATGCATGTTGCCACCCAATATTAAAGCCGACTTGTTTCAAGTGTGTGGTTTGTTGCCATGACTATCTTTTACTGGATAGATGATTCTTAGAAATGGAACTAGACTACTTGCTTTCTTCCTCACTACCAACCCTGAGAACTGTAGCTCCCTGCATTAGACAAACCCCCAGCACACTCTGATAACAATCCTAGAGTGTGTCTTATGTTACAGTGAGGGGATAGTACTATGACATTAAGCCTAGTTTAAGACCCACAGAGGAATAAAACAATAGGGTGAAATTCTATGCATGCTTAGAAAAAAATTCTACAATGCACAGCATGGCTAGCTGAAATAATGTTGGACTTTCTAGAACTTTTTTCTGTATAAACATAGGATTGCGTCTCTAACAATCTATGAATTCACATGTCAGAGCGAAAGGAAGATTCAAAAATTCCCCAACGCCAATAGCTAATAATGAAAGTCCACAGGCAAAGTGTATGCACACCTGTCCCTGTGATACAGTACTTGTACTGCTAAATGAGAGATTTTGCTTTCAGTACATAACTGAAGATGGAACCTGTATCTTGAGACTATGTATTTTTGCAGTTTTGGACCAATGATCCATTGCAAAACATTCTTAATTCAAGTTTGATGTATTAGGTCCTGAATTTGGACTACTGTAACTGATACTGCATACAAGTAACAATTCCACTTTAAAGGGCTTAGACTCTTGATCATGCTATGTTTATTAAACATACAGAAGTCAAAAGACTACTAAATTCACAAAATAAGAGACCTAAGGTTTGGAAGCAAAACATTTTAGTTGCTAGTTCATTGGTTGAATATTTTTCTTTGTAAACAGTCTTTGCTTATATACCAAATATCACAGTCAGACTAAATATTATTATAGCTTGCCCAGAGCAAACACTCCTTTTAACTGAAATCTCAAAGTTGGATAAGATGAAATAAATTCATAAAGAGATTTTTTTGCTATCTTTATAAAAAACCTTGCATATAGGCTGACAGTGGTTAAGACATCAGATATATACAAATATGGCAAATATTAAAAATCTGAATTTGTTCCAGTATTTTGTGCAAGACAGATGGCCTAGGAGATTCAGACAGGTATTAAAGTTGTGCACCAAGTCTAAAAATTGATTGCAACTTCTTGGAGCAAAGAAAAGCATTCTGCTCTCATTTAAAAGTCATGTGTGAATGTTAACTATAGTCTATTCAAAACAAGCTGGGATGTATCTTCCATCTCCTTTTCTGTAGCAGTGCATTACATTCCCCCTTGTTTATTGCTCTTATGACATCAGGGCATTAAGTTCTACTTTTCCTTTTATCTTCAAAAAGACTCTTCAGCATATAAACCTGAACAGCTGACACCACAATCATTACTGCCAGATTGACCATGGACCAGAAGTTTACCCTGTCAAAGTTGCTTTCTTGTATGTTTCTATCACGAGCTTCAAATGCTTTAAGAAAGGTCTGAAGGTGGATGCTTCTGCTTAGCCTGGCTTTCACACTGTTGACAGTTTCCTAATAAAGAACAAAACACTCATTTTAGAATGATATGCCTTTGAGGTGTCCCACTTTCAACAGAAAACAAACTAACATCAGATACTGTGGGTCCCTGCTCCTTCCCTCTTTCCTACATGTCACTGTTCCTAGCTCCAGAGCCTTCAAAAGAGAAAAAGATCTTTCTCTTACATAGTCATAAATCTAAGATTAGTACTCCTTTGCCTTTCATACACTGTACATCATTTAATCTTTTAAGAACAAAAAAGCCCTTCCCTTTATTCATTCCCAAAACCTTCTGCCCACCGATACAATATTAACCAAGTGTTGCTCTTTTGACTTGGGGCCCAGGCCTCTGTCTCACTAGGCATTGCTACTTTGATGTGCTACATGTCAGTCTCCACACCACACAAAATACTCTGGAAAGTAGGGTTAAACATATTTCAGGTACTTGATCACCCAAAAAGTATTTTAAACCTGGTATTGTCTGGAAGTCCAAAGCAATTACTCACCTGGAATTAACAAACAGCACACTCTGTTTGCAATTCCCACTGGTGACACAGAGTAAATCAACCGTCAGTTGCAGAGGGGGCAACCAAGGACAATCTATTTGTCATCTGGCCACTCTACAACATCCTTATCAAGGATCTAGTAGAGTCTAGCCTTCAATTTTCTATCATACTGATTTAGTTTAAATCCTTTACTCAATTTGATTGTTAGGTATCTTGAGCATGCTAGTAGAAAGGTAGGATATAAATTTAATAAGTAATATCTCTGCCATCAGTTTAAGCTCACTAGAAATGGCGCTGCAGGAACTGTAACAGAGGACTTGTTAATCAGGACAATCAGAGCACGTTAATTCTAACTATAGACAGCCACAAATTACACAAAAGTATTAAAACCTAGCTATATACCTACCAGAATATCTTCTAACTTCATATCCAGAAGATCTGTACCACTAATATACTTCTTCCAATCTTCTTGTTCTTCATCTCCCATATTATCTAAAATCAGTTCAAAGAAAATCACCTTCTCTGACAATGTGCTGAAGGTGTTGTCAAAACAGAACATGTAATCACCGTCCTCTGTCTCCACTCTGTAAACACAAGACATTGTGTTTTAACATGCAAGCTGTGAATTGTTTTCCAATCTCCTAATAATAATTTGCAGCTATTTGCCTAACATACTTCACATTCATAAAGGTAGAGTTTGGATAATTCCTCTTGCTACTAACACCCCTGCTTCCCCATGTTCCATTTCACTCTTTTAGGAAGGATTCCCCAATGATGAGCGTTTTCTTCAGGGCTGTTGTAGAAGAGGAGAGAATTGGAAAGCCCCTTTCTGTGAGCTCCCTTTTTGCCATGAATCTCAGGAACAAGTATTTTTTAAAAAATTAAGTTCTTAGTTTGGCATTTAACAGTCATTTTAAAAATTATTTTGCAAAGTCTGAATGGGATAATTTTTAAACTTACGTGTGGACACCATCTGATTTTCTCTGCTCGAAAACAAGGGTTTCCTGTTTTGGTGATATCAAGTGAAAATCCACATCTAAACCTGCTCCATCTAGAACCTAAAGGGATAACGAACAACAAATGGAAATTACAGCTTTAAATTATCTAACATTTTTATATTATGAATTTACAGAGGGCTATAGATTCAGTTGGCAATAGTATTTCAAGGCACTATAATAAATATATTCAGTGTATTAACAGGATAATCTTGGATCAATGAAACTGCTAAAAATAGTACTTGGTACTCCTGCACTCATCATCATCCACATTATGGCAGAACAATGACTACATTAATTGGAAAAATGTTGCAAGAAGAAGCCATCAGTGTACAGAAGACTTATTTTTTTTGACTAACAACTGTTCCTCTCTATGGGCCTTAACTTAGACCCATGAATTCCATTTAAAACTTATTTGCAAAAATCTACAAAAATTCTAAATCATGATACAATCAAAAAGCTAAATGATCAAGCATGTAAAAACAATCCAAATACATGCACACCTCATAATTTCTCATAACTGCACAGAATAAGGTTGTATGTTAATTTGGTAATTATTGGGGGTTTTTTTTTCATTTCAGGGCCAGGCCAAAACCTTTTTATTTTCCAGGTATTTTAAGAACTGATTTAGTTTTAATTCTGGTTTTATTGGATTGTTGTTGTTGTACCACTGTCCTGAGATCTCAGTAAAGGATGGGATAAAAATGCCTTAAATAAATAAGTATATTAATAAAGCAAATGTCATAAAAGAATGCTATAGAACAGGGTAACAGCGACATGCTAATGGGACGGCATACAAAATCTCCAAATAAATAAATAAACAAACAAACAAACAAACATTTGCAGATAAGTTGGTTTGTGCCAGGTGGTTCCATCCTGCTAGAACAAGAGCTCATTTCCGCCTTATTTTCAGTAAAACTTTTCTGCCATCGCAGTTTCAGTATCTTTGGCTTACGTGGCTTTTGCTAATAGAAATGCAATCCAGCTCTTCTTTGTTATCTAGTTTGCCAAATCAAACTCCTAAAACCAGTTTGACCCAGACTTTCACTGACATCTGGCTAGCCTATCTGCTCTACAAAACAAATATGAAAGGTCACTCTTCTTCAAAGTAAACAGAAGTATTACTCTCGCAGCTTTCTGCTGGGCTCTTTAGAAATGCATCCTGAAGTTCTGATCCAGCAAACAAATCAGGGTGGTCCCAAAAAGCATCTTTCCAACATTCAATCTGGTGTTTGTATGCTAAACCCAAAGCAAGACTGGAAGAAAGCTGGCAAAAACAGTACCAGCGCTGATTACACTTTTCTTTACACTATTCCAGGTTGGTTCCAGGTACACTGCTACCTTCAGTGGAAGTCTAAGGGTCACAGCAAAGAAGATAATCTAGCTCTTTTAACTTCCAAGGCCAGAAAAATAAAGCATACAGCTGTTCCTCTTCCTACCCAGGTACGGCTATGGAAAAATAAAGCAGAGGCTGAAATGCAATGCCGTTACACGACAGTAATCCCTACTGGGCATAATAGGTGTAATTGGTCGTACTTCCCTAATAAGGAGACAAAGAACTACACTCTAGAGTCCCGAACATAGGAAAGCACATAATTGTCTATCCAACTTTTCCACACATGTAACTGGGTGAGGTGTGTGATTCTCGCTTGTGTGAGAATGCTCTCATTCTCAGCCTTAAATACTACAACGCAGAAACAAAATTACCACTTGTTAATGTTAAATGATTCTTGGATTTCGACATTACGCTTAGGCACTGATGTACATATCGAACTGTATCCAATGTGAGGCTAACTTAAGTTCCATTCATTCCGATGGGTCTACTCCGAGCGGATCTAACACTGGCTACAAGCCCACGCACGTGAGCGCCTAACAGGCTACCCCCAAGCCGAGGGCCCGAGAAGGGCGACGGCCTCCAGCCTTCACGCGGGCTCCGCATACCACCTCCTTTCTCACCTGATACTCGATCTCCAGCGAGGCGTCTTTCTGCATGGACTGAAAGAAGCATTCCTTGTGGCCTGCGGGCAGCGTGAAGGTGAAGTCGCTGTCGAGGGCGGTGGCGAAGCCCGAAGCGCCAGGCGGTGGCAGCAGCACAAGCAGAGAGAGGGAGGCTAGCAGGCACCACGCGAGCTCCGTCGCCATCCCGCCGCGTCCGCACAGCCCGGGAAGCGGGAAATTCCGCAGCAGACGCTCCGCGCTCGAAGCCTCCCTCCCGCTCGGCTGGGCGAAGGACGGGCTGGTACCCACAATGCACCGCGTACGGAGGAGGGAGGGCTGAGGTAGTACGAGCGAAGTGTACGAAGCGGGAAGCACCGAGCCTCGTTCAGCTCTTTTTTTAAACGCGGATCTGTCTCTAGGGTGATAGGAGGCTTCTCAAAGTTTGTTGGTTCGCGTGGCATGGTGGGAAATGTAGTTCCTTTCTGTTGCGAACAGGTAAGGTTGCCATGAAAAAAAGTAAGAAAACTACGATTCCCGAGTACTAATGGAGAGGAAGTCTAGGAATCAGTAGGCTAGGTGACCGCTTGTATTGAACCGTCTCTTGTCCTCCGCCACTCATGGAGGCGCTTCCCGAATGGCCTGCGCGCTTCGAAAGTAGGACAAACGGCTCTGTCCGAGGGCTGTGATTCCTAACACTGAAGCCATAGTGCGGCTGTTACTACCGAGCCATTTCCTTCGAGTGGGGGTGGGTAAGAAATTGCTTTTCCTCTGGAAAAAAGGAGTTGAGTCGGGCTCCTAGCTGATAATTTCTCTCCGCCCGCAGAAATGAAATATGCAAAAAAAAAATCATTAAAAACGGGAGGGGAGGGGGAAGAACAGAGATGCAGTGTTGCTAAGCAGCATGAAGGACTCTGGCCTGGAACCCGCCGTACCGAGGCGGTTCCTTGGAAGAACCGTGAGAGGAGGATGGCACTACCGAGTGCAGCAGCCACACTGCACGTGGAGGGGAGGGATGGCTATTCAGGGTCATAACAGAGCTTGTTTTCGGGAATAAGTGGTGAGCAGGCGTTAGGCGGAAAGAGACGGATGGCTCTGTGTATGTCAAAGACAATACTGGGCCAGCCACAGATAGTGACCCTGTAGATTGGTGTATAGTAGTGGTGGACGACCTGGTGCCTTCGAGATGTGTTGGGGTACGACTTTATCAGCCCCAGGCAGCATGTCCAGTGATTATGGACTATAGGAACTCTAGTTTAAATGACACAGAAGGCCCCAGGTTACCTACCCCTCTGGTCTATATATATGAATTACTTGAAGACAGGCTCAAGATGTTTTCTATCACTCTGGGTTTCTAACAAGCCCTGTATTCATATTATTCTCTGATTTGAGTAATCCAACAATTTTCAGTGTATTTGCTAGGACACATTCATGTGCTGCAAGAAATAAATTTAATAATAATAAAGTTCACATTGGCTCAAAATATCCATCCCACAGATAAGGATGCTTTTCAGCTATTCACACTGTGTATGCCTAGTATGCATGCATTCATGTTTTAATGAAAAATAAACACAATATTGACCTTGCAGTCTATGGAAGGACTACTGAAACTGGTCACATTTGTAGAACTCTGCTTTCTAGTCCAGGGGTTGCTTAGAATTTAACACAAATGTTTTTTCTAGTACAAAGTATTTACTAATCTTGAATACATAAGCTGCATTTTATCTGAAGTTTCATTGCTGCAGTCACCATGTTTTCCAGTGAGTCACTGCAATTATTATAATGTGTGTGTCAATTCCACTGCAAAAAGCAGTCACTAGTTGTAAAAGATTCAGTGAATGTTACTATAGATGTGCATGCCATCAACAGTGTATATGTAAATTTACAATGGGCAAGTCTTTTCAGAAGAGCTAGGGCCAATTTAATATAGCACCAACAAGTTATCATTAATAAAGTAAGGAACTTGGTAGCATAAGCTTTTTTACACTGTAAAGATTTTAGACTTGGTGGAACTCAGCCTCTACAGTAGTGGGGAAATAGTAAGATGGTCTCCCTCAGGAGACTGATGGATCCTGATGATTTTCTGAATGTTCTTGAGTGTTTTCTTCCATCACAACGGTAGGTGATTCTACTAAAGCCCTGGTGGATCTCTGGAAAGTGAAAGCCCAGCAATTAACACCATTCCACTTGTGCACCCTCTTCCACAGAATGGAGCCAAGGGAGCTCTCTGGCTTTCCAAGGTGCTGTAACTGATGAAATGAGCAGGACATTGACTAGAGTGACATTGGTAGCATGTATTGATTTTGTCTTGCTTAAAAGAGGTGGAGGTAAAACCTATATTTAAGAAGAAACCTCTCTGAACCACACTGTACTGAATAATTTTGGGCAGGCTTCCAATATTCCATTCTTGGACAAAGTGTTGGAGAGTGTGGTGGCTTTTCAGTTCCAAAGATTTCTGGATGAGTTGGAGTATCAAGCTCTATTTCAATCTGGCTTTAGCATTCTCTGGCCATGAGGCAGATAATGCCTTGGTCACCTTGGTCAACAATGAACACTGGAAACTAGACAAGGAGGGTTTGTCACTGTTCTGGTGGGTTTTTATCACCAGTCATGGTATCCTTCTGGAGCATTTGTCTGAGGGGAATAGGAGACACCATTGCATAGTGGTTCCAATCCTTCTTGGAGAGGTGATTTCAGAAGGTACCATTTAAACTTGTGGCCTTTGGCTGATGGTGTCCCTCAGGGTTCCATCTTCTCTCCCATGCTATTTAACATAAGTATGAAACAACTGGGAGGGGTTATCCAGAGTTTTGGGATTTGATGCTGATGTCATCCAGCTTTCTTCATCTAAATCTAGGGGAAGCTATTCTGGTTCTAAGTTGGTGTCTGATGTTGGTAGTAGCTTGGATGAGGGCAAACAAATTGAAGCTTACTTCAGACAAAACAGAGTTGCACCTAATCAGTTGAAAGGCAGTTCAAAGAATATGGTCTCAACCTATACTAGTTTGGAGTACACACTCTCAGAAGAGACAGGGTCACAGTTTGGGTATACTTCTGGACTCAGCCCTGAACTGAATACCCAGAGTTTCACTGATGGCCAGGAGTGCTTCTGTGCAGCAGAAGCTAGTGCACCAACTATACATGTTTTCAACTGTACATGTTCTGACTGCTGACATGCGTGCCTTTATTAGATTCCATTTGGAATCTGGCCTCATTCTTCTGTGAGGCCAGCTTTGCATCTGCAGTGGAGCATGAAGAAAAGCAAAAGCTTAAAACATTGTTATTTTATTAATGTTTTTAAAGAACTTCTTTCTTCAGGGATTGGAAGTTGCTCATATTAATACTTTTTTCTTAGTTACTGCTTATATTAGGCTAATGTATAATATCAATGGAACCTTACTTATGGGATTTTCATAATCACGAGGATGAAGAAGACTTGCTTGCAAATGTTGTGGTATTAAGGAATAAGTTAAAGAAAACGGAAAGACATTTACAAGACTTGGGAGAAGAGCTTTGCAGGTATATGCACATAGTAAGGTAGAACTAGCCATGTTTATTTACTCATACATTTACTTTAAATTGTTCTATTTATATGCTCATTTTGATAAAAAATTGTTATAAGAATTTCACAAAAATCAAGGGAAATTTTTGTTTTGTTTTGTTTTTTACCTTGTAGTACTAATTCAGATAACAATTCAGACATCAGCATTCATGATGGTGAACTTGAGATTTTAACAATGGAAGATCTTGTAGATCCTATTGAATTACAAAATTGTTCGGCTCATACTGTAAACAAAATGTCTTGGTGTAACAAGAACTCTTCAAGCAAACCCAGGAACAAAGTAAATATTAAGGAGTTATGAACACCTGTTGCTCTGTTTATGGCAGTTTTGTATGTCACGATTCAATCCTTTTGCAATGCTCATAAGTCTTCAGACTTGGAGACTTAGAGTCTTCCTAGGCAGAGCAGTAGAGGCAATCTTCAATTCCATGTCCTCCCACCCTGCATATTTTGCTTGATGGGCCTTTTCACCCATCTGTGTGGAATGTTTTGCCATAGGTGGGAAGGAGGCCAAAGAGGCTTCTGGATAGCTCACATCCTGGCTTCTCCATTCTCCTCCTCCAGCCTCCTACTGAAATGTCATCTTTTGCTTGTCTTGAAGTTACTTTCCTGACCTTGGAGAGCAGCCAGCACAGCTCTTTCTATAGCAGTACCAGAGGGGTGGAGAGGTCAGCACTCTAATTCTCAGCTCTGAGGTCAGAGTGCAGTCTCTGACCTCAGATCTGGGAATCTAAAATGCCTCTCAGATGCTGTCTGGGGGGCAAAAGATTGCTTCCTTCTGGAATTGGATGTGATGATTTAAAAAATATTTTTATTGTTTTCTTAAAAGAAATAGAATACAGAAAAATTGTGAAAGAGAAATAAGAATGCCCAGGGATCATATACGATATAACATATAATTTCATAACCTAAAAAATTCCCAATGTGATGATATTTTTGATCATAAGAAGTTCCATAGGGGTGATATTTATTACAAATATTGTATGTTGTGAGCCGCCCCGAGGCTTCGGCAAATGGGGCAGCATAGAAATGTTTTAATTAATAAATAAATAAATTTTGTTTTCTAGTCTTACTCATCCTTTGATAAAAGTATGGAAGAAGAGAATGAGCTTTTAAGGGACAAACTGAACATTGTCCGGCAAAAAAATGCTTCCTTGACTTCTCAGAACCACCATCTAATGAGTGAAATTGAAACTATAAACTTTGAGCTGAACCAGGCAAAAGCAAGAGTAGGTATTTTAATAAGTGCATTTGTTTTAAGGCATGTTCTTTTGCTAATTATGTTACTACATATTGCAACATTCTTCACATTTATCTTTACTTATTAGTCCTTGTTAGTCATTCAACCATATATTGACAGTTCTGTAACATTTATTAGAATTTGCTTGCTTGCCAGATCAAATGTATGTAGGTGCCAGGTATGTAGGTAAAATACATACCATGAAGTATGGAAACAATTATTTAATACTGCACAAAGAAAAAAGGCTATTCTATACAATACCAGGTTTGCAACAGCCATTGCTGTCTTTACAGAGTTTAATATAAATTTATCTCATTTGTACAATATAGTATATGCCTGCTCTAACCGCTAGGTAAAACTTCTTGAACTCAATTAGCCATCCAAGAAATGCCTTACACATTCAGAGTACTAAAAGGAGAGATGTACTGATGTGCTTACTCCTTCACATTTCTCTAATAATTGAAGTCTGTTAAATTACCTGTTCACCAAAATTCAGCTTCCTTGCTAGAAATATGAGTAGTTCAACCAATTGAGAAATATAGTTACATAGAGGTGACTGTTTTGGGGAAGAAAGGTAAAAAGTGCAGGGTTTTTTTATTATTCTTCCTCATCCTCCGTTTTTCCTTCAGTTATCAAGGATACCTTGGACTATGGGCATGCTAGGTTGCAGGGTTCTAAATCACACAGAAGTACAATTTTGGGAATGGATTAGTGAATACATATTCATAAAATTGAATATAGAGTGAAAGGAAAGCACAGAAAGTATCTAGAAGCTAGTATTTGTCATGCTGATGGATTATGTATAACTGAGCTATATTGACACTAATGATTGGACTGTGTGTCCATTGAAACGGAATAGTATAGCCAAATAACCCATTGAGAGCTAGTGAAGAAATGGTGGGCAAAGGAAAAATGGTAACCAGTGACAATGTGTGCATATGCATGACTGTTGAGTTTCAAAAGGCAGTAGGTGATATTAATGGAGTCTTTGTATCATATTTATTTTTCAGGTATCTTTCCTTGAATCTGCTTTGGGTACACACTCCGTCAGCATTCCAATGTTGGAAGATCATATAGCAAACTTGGAAGCGGAAGTTCAAGCTCGGAATAATGTTCTGATGTAGTGTAGTGTTTTTTATTCCTCATTTCTACTAGCAGGGTTGGTTCTCCCATTGCTTTCTGGGGGAAATCTCAAACTTAGCATGGTTGGTAGATGCACATGTGCCCTTTCCCCTCACCGTGAAGAGAAAGTAATGAGAGAATGGTGTTAAACATTATTTATTTAAAAGTGTGCTTGAAAAGAATGGCCAACCTCGCTCATTATTCTCTCTGGAGTAATGAGTTGAGATCTTGCTTCTGAAAATAGCAAGTGAACAGGTCCACAGTGTTTATGCTATTAATTTTCAAATGTCATTTTGGAAAAATTACTTGCACTAAAATCAACATTACTAGTATTTGACCTCAACCTGTAAGTATAAGCATATGAATTTCAGTCGCTTTCACATCCAACCCAGCATGCAGAGATTTTTAGTGTTTAACATGCAAGTACAATAATGGAAAACAATGGTTTTGTGCTTCATGAATGAGCCATAGGGAACCTCTGGGTTGCACATACTACACCTCTTTCAGGTGTTGAAGGAGGAGGTTCAAAACAGATGCTTCTGATTTCTAACCACAACTCTGTGTCACCATTTTAGAACAAGCCAGGTTCTCAAGCTAGTTTCACCCTGGCTGGGTTTTTTTTCTAACCAGAGGGAGTTTTGTCTTTTAAAATTAACCTTTTCTTATAAAAAATTCAAATTTTTCAACAAAAAAATGGAAAAAGAAAAAAATGTGGCTGCATAGATTTGAATATATCAGTTTCAGTGTATGTGCATGAAGTTGTGTATATGAAAATATGACATTATACATTAACTTGAACAAAACCACTCCAAATGTTCATATTAGCATCCGTTCCCCAGTAGCATCTATTTAACACTCTTTCAAATATTGAAAGCATTGTTAGGTCTCAATCCTTTGTGTTACGCGAAGTGAATGTTTATCCTTCCAGTGTTCTCAGTCTTTTGGCAGTCAAAAGAATCCATTTGCTCTGGCCATGCATTAACTTCCAGGAAATAGGTAGTTAATTAGGAAGGCATGTACCTCAATAAATATTAGCGAGTCCCAACTCAAGGTTTATTCTTATAATAACTTCTCAAAAAGAAGCAATGATTGGTAGCATTGCTTTAAAGAAGCAATTAAAAGTAGCATTACCTGCATTGCACCTCCAGTTAAATAAACTCTTCATGAGAGATCGCAGCTTTGAGTAGACAGTGAACAAGAGAATTTGCGGAATAAGATGCAACCTGAGATTCATAGATATTTTAGATACAAATTAGATAACTACTTACCCATGTACCACAGACAAGTGTACTAAGTTTAAAATCAAAACTGGAAGCTTTCAACCTCCTTTAATGAAAGAGGCTTACTTAGAAACATAGAATCAGAGCGAGTCAGAAGGTGTCTCACGGGCCATCTAGTCTGACCCCTCACTCCACTCATGACATGCCTACCATGTGCATGGTTGCTGTTCATTCACTAGTGGGAAACTCTGGTTTCCCTTTATGCCTGGTTTAGACCATTGCTTTTGGTTGTATTAGACTAATCCATCTTATTTTGAATTTTTGTTTCAGAGTGAAATCATTATTGTGCTTTTCAGGTTTATTGATACTTTTAGGTGGATTTAAAGGTAGCTTAACAATAATTTTAAATAAATGACATTGGTAAATGTATGAAGTTGCTTTGAACCACTACACCACAATGTATGAACCACTACATCACACTGGCTCTCTCTATTTTGAGCAAGGGATTTGTATGGTTAACAAGATTAATTAATCTTCCCCAGTGTGGTGTAGTAGTTAAGAGCGTGGGTCTGAGACTTAGACAATCGAGGTTCTAGTCTCTGCTCAGCCATTGAGCCAACTGGGCAACTTTGTGCCAGTCAGCCCAATCTATCTTACAGGGTTGTTGTGGGGATAAGCTTGAGAACAGGAAGAGGTGAATGATGTAAGCCAGTTTGAGTTCTTAAAAAAAGGCAGGATATAAATCTAGTCAATAAATTATTTCCTATTCCTGACCACCAAAAGTTAATTTAAATGCTAACCTGATCTGCAGAATATCAGGTTGGCTTCTCCAAAACCTCTGTACTGAAGATATAGTTGGCTTCCCATTACTTAATGTTCTTAACCAGAAAGTTTTGCATTTTTAAAAAGTGTGTCTTGATTAAAAAGCCGTTTCCTAATTTGTTTTTAGAGAGACAGAAGATAAATTAAAGCAAAGCCAGAAAATGGTAATGGAAAAAGAATATGCTTTGCAGATGCTCAAGGAGGAATATAAGCAAATGAAACTTGGTTTAATTGAAAAATCAAAACAAGGAAAAAGGTAACAAACTGTCCAAGAGCTTGGTTTTCATTCTGAAACATTGACAGCATAGTATATCTTGCTACAGACCATATGTTGTTTTTTTGTTTCCTTATTTAAATGAAGAGTGTCCAGCAGTATTGGAGCCATGTCATATAGATACATACTTTTTTGACTGTTAAGTTACCAGGTTGTGTTGCATTAAAAATAGATAAAGACTAAATTAAAGAGAAATTGATAGTCACAGACTGACTTATATTTTGATATTGGTGGCCCACCACCGCCCCACCCGGGGACTGACTGGCCGTTGCTGCTCTGACAGATGGTGGCCACCGTGGGACCGGGGATGCTGCTGGCCTGCGGCTCCTTTATCCATGCTGGCGAGTTCTCTGCGGGACCTGCCCTTGTCTCTCCTCGCCCCCTGGCGTGGGTGGCAGCTGTGCCGATTGGGGGTGGGGCACAGGGAGGGGCCGTGGGCTTAACTCACTGGCCGCGGCCAGTGGCCGGCAGCCTCGGGCCGGCGGCCGAAGGGTGACGGCCTAAAGGCATCGTCGCTGTTTGGGACCGTTCAGGGCTGTGTGGGGCTGGGCTGGGCCTGGAACTTTGTGTGTGTGTGTTTTGCAGTGGGCGGGTTGGAGGGTTTTAAATTGTATTTTATTGGATTTGTTTTAGTGACTCCACATCTGGCTAGTGCTTTTATGGGGTTGCCTGGGGAGCGTGTGGGCGCCACCATTGGGGTGGTGTTGGGCAAGGGTCAATATGACGTTGGGGGATTAACATATCGGCATAGAAGAAGGAGGGACAGATGGTTGACACCTGTTCCTTCTTCTGGTTATTCCCCCAACCAGAAGGTTCCAGGTAAGCTTATCAACCGCCCCTCGGGCCTGACAGTGCTGCTGCTTAATGCCAGGTTGGTCCATAATAAAACATCCCTCATCCATGACTTAATTGTGGATGAGGGGGCCGACTTGGCTTGCATTACAGAGACCTGGGCGGGAGAGGGGGGGAATGTAGCTTCTCTCAGTTGTGCCTGCCTGGGTATCTGGTTCAGCACCAGCCACGTCCGGAGGGGAGGGGAGGGGGGGTTGCTTTAATTTACCAAGCTTCTATTTCCCTCACGGGGCTTCCTGTTCTCTCGAGACCAGGTCTAGAGTGCTTATACCTGGCGCTGGGCGATCGAGACAGATTGGGGATTCTGCTGTGTACTGTGCACTCTTCTGCCCATCAGACTCCCTGCCTGAGCTGATGGAGATTGTCTCAGACCTGGTGTTGAAGATCCCCAGGATGTTGGTCCTGGGGAACTTCAGTCTTCATGCTGAGACTGTTCTGACCGGGGCAGCTCAGGACTTCATGGCCTCCATGACATCCATGGGGCTGTCTCAACATGTCATAGGCACAACCCATGAACGTGGTCACATGCTGGACCTGGTTTTCTCGACGGGGCAGGAAGAGGGTGATTTAAGGGTGAGGAATTTGTGTCTGACTCCCTTGTCATGGTCAGATCACTTCCTCGTGAGGTTTGAGCTCGGAGCTGGCCTTTCCCTCTGTAAGGGTGCAGACCTTGTTGTGATGGTCCACCCTCGGAGCCAGATCGATCCGGATGGATTCCTGAAGGCTCTGGGGGATTTTCTGGTTGATAAAGCTGGTGCTCCTGTTGATGCTCTGTGGAATGGGGAAATGGCCAGAGCAATTGACACAATCACCCCTATCAGACCAAACGTGCCTACGTGCTCATTATCGAGCTGATGCTGTGGTGGTGAGGGCGGCGAAGAAGAAATTCTTCTCCACTTCTGTTGCCTCCTCACAGTGCCATCCAGTGGAGCTTTTTCGAGTGGTACATGGGCTGATATACCCCAGCCCTAAGAAAGATCCCGTACCACCATTGATGGCCCACTGTGATGACTTTGCCCAGCACTTTAAGGAGAAAATCGCTCAGATTCGTCATGAGCTGGACTCTTCAGATCCTTTAGGGGAGATGCCAATGACTCCGTCTGGTCAGGTATTAATGGATAAATTTCAGTTACTGCGGCCCGATGATGTGGACAAGGTGTTTGGACAAGTACATCCTACCACCTGCTTACTCAACCCTTGCCCTTCATGGCTGCTGACCAAAGCTGAACATGGGATTGGTTCCTGGATCCTGGAGGTTATTTGCGCCTCTCTGAGGGACGGCCGGGTGCCCACTCCTTTAAAGGAGGTGGTAATCAGGCCTGTCCTAAAGAAGGCGTCCCTGGATCCAGAGATAGCCACCAATTATAGACCAGTGGCCAACATCCTGTTTTTGGGCAAGGTGTTGGAATGGGTGGTGGCGGGACAACTCCAAGCACTCTTGGATGAAACTGATTATCTGGACCCGTTTCAGTCTGGCTTCAGACCCGGGTATGGTACTGAATCTGCCTTGGTCGCCCTTTACGATGACCTGTGCAGGGAAAGAGACGGGGAGTACGTCCCTGTTGGTTTTCCTGGACCTCTCAGCAGCTTTCGATACCATCAACCATGGTATCCTCCTGGATAGCTTGTGGGATTGGAAGTAGGAGGCACTGCTTGGCAGTGGTTCCGCTTCTACCTTGATGGCCGATTCCAGAAGGTGGTGCTGGGGGACTTTGGCTCTGCGCCATGGCAACTTTGCCATGGAGTACCGCAGGGTTCCATTTTGTCCCGCTTGCTATTTAATATCTACATGAAACCGCTGGGAGAGGTCATCAGGAGGTTTGGGCTGCGGAGTCATCAGTATGCTGATGACACCCAGCTATACTTCTCTTTTTCAACTAACCCAGGTGAGGCACTGGCTGTACTGAACTGGTGCCTGGCCAAGGTAATGGGCTGGATGAGGCCAATAAACTGAAACTCAAACCAGATAAGACGGAGGTTTTGTTGGTAGGTGATTTGAGCTCCTGGGTAGGTGACTTGGGCCTTGCCCTGGACGGGGTTGCATTCCCTCGAAAGGACAGGGTCCACAGCTTGGGAGTGCTCCTCGACCCGGAGCTGGCCTTGGAAGCTCAAGTGTCAGCGGTGGTGAGGAGTGCTTTCCTTCAGCTTTGTCTAATCCATCAGCTTGTTCCTACCTGGAGGAAGATTCTCTAGCAACAGTAACACACGCATTGGTTACTTCCTGGTTGGATTTCTGTAACGCGCTTTACGTGGGGCTGCCCTTGAAGACAGTCCGGATACTTCAGATGGTGGAAAACAGAGCTGCCAGGATGCTGTAGGGGACTGGGTGTTATTCTCATGTAACCCCAGTCCTCTATCAGCTCCACTGGTTTCCCATCGAAGTCCAGGCTCAATTCAAGGTGCTGGTTATTACCTATAAAGCCCTAAACGGCTTGGGACCAGGATACCTAAAGGAACGCCTTCTTCCCTATTTGCCCTCCCGCCCCCTAGATTGGCAGCAGAAGCCCTCCTCCGGGAACCCTCTGTGAAAGACATTAGGAGACAGAGTACCCAGAGGAGGGCCTTCTCTGCGATGGCACCCCGTCTATGGAATGCGCTCCCCAGAGAGGTCTGCCTGGTGCCGTCATCATATGTTTTTTGGCGCCAGGTTAAGACCTTTTTATTGCAGCCAGAGTGGGTTGTTAATTTATTTATGTTATGTTAGATATTTGTATTTTATTTGTGTAAGTCGTCCTGAGGCTCTTGCAAAGGACGGCATACAAATATACTAAATAAATAAATATTGGGTAATGGGATTTTTTGTAATTTTAAGTTTTTGTTACAATCTCAAAGCTTTTCTATTGAGAGAATAATAATATTGTGCCATGACTTCACTTGGCCAGTTAGAAATTGAGTTATCTCTTTCATTTAAAGAACTGAACAGCAAAGAAATGAAGCGCTTTATAATGCTGAGGAGCTGACGAGAACTTTTAAAAAATACAAGGAGAAAATAACTGATAAACTGGAAAAGGTAAGACTTCAAGATGTTGATTGTTTTAATAAAATTTTATGTATACCCAAGGACCTATGAAGCCATGATTTGGTATTAAAACTAAGGTTGCCAATTTTCTCTTAACATACTGTTTCTCCTGTAACTTTTTAATTGTAGCTTGTTCAACAGAAATCAACTTTGTGCCAAGAAGAGCCTAACCTGCTATATTTATCAGCTAGGCTTAATGTAAAATGCACTGTAGCAGGCTCAGGGATGTGAAAGTTGGCAACCCTAGCAAAAATGTGAGCATTTTACACCTTTATGCACTAAATGAGAATAAAACCCATTGAAGGTAGTAGGGTTTACTTCTGAGTAGACATACATAAGATTGCTAGGATTAAATGCTTTATTAAATCAGAACATACTTTTTATCCCTTTGAGATTAAAAATAAAAAATAAATATATTTACAGTTCCTTTCTTCCAAGTGAAACCAAGGGCACTCATAACACCAAATTATAAAGTATAACAAATTACAAACTAGTTCCCCTGACACCAAAAAAGTATATCCCACAAATAGGAGTACATAGGCCAAATTTCCTTCAAAAATTGGATGGTGTTCAGTAAAACAGGTTATCTTCTTTCCTTAGCAGCTTTGAGATGAATATTTAAAATTCAGGAAGACTTTGAGGAATTGTGGATCCAGAAATGTTCAAGTGCAACATTCTCCTTACATTCTTTGGAGGCAATACCTGATCCTTTTTGGTAGATTACAGTTGTGTTAAATGTGCTGCTTTGAACTTGAAGAATATTGGCGAAAAACAGAGAAACTTTGTTCTGTATCCCAATTTCAACCCACACGTGCACACACACCCAGTTCTATACAGCTTAGTGTGAGACCGACTTATAGGAAGGGACGTTTGAATGTATAGTGGGACCAAGCACTTGCACATCCTACAGCAGTAGAGATTCTTCCCAAAGAAGAAGGTACCCATTTGCTCAGAGCAGGAATACAGCCATAACTTTTCCTTCTGATTAATAGTTGGCAGATTATTACTCTGAAATTTTTACTTTTTATTCAGGTTCAAGTAGAAGAACAAATTTTAGAAAGAAATTTAATGAGCTGTGTAAAAGAAAAGGAAAAGTTGAATACAAAATGTGAAAACTATAAAAGTGAGCTGGAAAACCTGAGGGAAAAGCTGAGGTAAATGTTTATGTGCTTATCTTTGACACTTCTGTATGAAAATCATTGCCATTTGAAGATTTTTAAAGTTCCTTTGATATTTGGATTTGATAGGAAGTACCCTGGCGTTGACCTGGTTTGTATACCATGGCAATTGATAGGCTGTTTAACAAACCATGGGTTAGAAGTCTTTTGCTTATGCCTGCCTGCTATTTTGGGCAGTGCAGAGGGGAAGAGACTTCTCCCAGCATCTGATGTTCCAACCAGCCCTTTCAATTTGGGTGAGATGGCAGGCAGCACTCATTGCTTCATTTTACTTGTGAGATTAGTGAAGTGTTGGATGTCCTCCCTTGCTCCAGAGACATACCTGTAGGAGGATCCAAATTTACTGTATATTTACACAGAATAAATGGATTCTTAATTTTTCTTCGGTTAGTGTTTTGCTATTCTAAAGCTATTTGATTCTGCATCAAACCTTACTGTGGAACCAGTGTCAATGAAATAAGTTTATGAGAGTGAAAGTATAGTTTGGCTTTGTGTGATTTAAAATAAAACTTTCTGTTATTGTTTCTGAAAAAGCTAGGGTTCAAGTGGAGTGATAGTTTCAGATTTCTTGAAACTGTTTCTAGATGCATAGCTATTCTTCAGGACACTCTGCCAGAGCAAAACAGAATTGTTATTTGTATGCTGCTTTCCATCAGCAACGAATTTTAGAAATGAAAACTTACAGACCCTGGAAACTTTTGCAGAATTTTGCTTTGTTCTGCTTTTGTTTTGTATTTGTTTAGACAATTGGTTGAAGAGAATTTTATTGGAAAAGAAAATCTACAGTGTGTGGAAGCCAAGAGTTCTGAAATGGAATTATTGCTGAAAGATTCTCAGCAGAAGACCCAGATGCTTGAAAGTAGACTTCAAGATCAAGATGCAGTACTTAAAGAGAAAAATGCCCTAATGAAAGAGAATGCTGATTTAAAAGCACAAATTGCAGAGCAAAACAATAATCTTAAATTATGTCATCAAGAAATTGAGAATTCAAAAATTGAACTGAAAACCTTAGAAAACATTATTTCTCAGTTATCTCAAAGTTCATCAAAGGAGGTAAAGTAACCTCTTTGAAATTTCTATAATCAGTGTTGAACTAAATTTTGACTGATGAAGTTGTTCTAAAGTAGCCTATTTCATTGGAGTTTGTGATGGAACTGTGCTCAGACTGTATTCTCAAGGCCATTTCAAGCATAACAAAATTTCTATTCAGAAAGCAATCTGAATTGGGAAATAGTATGCCACTTTTTTTAAGCAGCTGTATATCTTAGGAAACTGGCAATAGCCAGTATCAAGAACATACCACAATTTCTTCCAATTGATAATTGACAATAAGGGTTCTTGGTGATAATTTAAATACTCCTAAGTAATCCTTCCCATTGTCCATCAAAAGAAAACCTCCCCTCCTTAGTTCTATATGCTGCATAGCCTTCCTTGATTTGAATGAACCTATAATTTACACATAAGTCAGTGCAGCCTCACTGTGCCCTCAGGACAATTTTGGCCGGACATCAAATCAACATATGCAAAGTGAAGTGCCTGTCTGAAAGCCAGTGAGACCAGTTTCAGTTTCTAATTTGTCGTTACTGTTTTCTTTTAATTCTGTGGATCACCCTAAGAGCCTTTTGGCTATTGGGCTGTATAAGAATGTAATAAATGAATAAATAAATGATCCATATATTGGCACGTGCAAAAAGCTAAATGAGGAAAGTAATGAACAAATCACTATGATGTAGAGAAGGTCAGGGATTATATCTGCCCGATGTATTTTTTCTCCCTGTGTCATCTGCCATCACTTTAGAAACAACTCTAAATTTTCCTGGTGCTGCAGAATGGCTTCCAGTGTGATGGGGACAAATGGTATTCCAAAAAGTGAGTGGAGCTCCATTAAATGTGCAACTGAATCATAGCCAGGCTGTATGGATATGAGGCAACCCCAGAGTTCTGCACTTTTAATTCCTGCTAGCTGCACTAGAAGAACTTGTACTTAACTCTCACGTGTTGACACAAATAGAATTGATTTGTTTTGTCTTGAATGGATAGTACTCATTACGTTTTTGTAATGAACAGTATTTTTATGTTTCTACCTTTTCCCAACTTAACTTGTAGGCTAATTATTTGAAGCATCATTCTAATGAAGCATTATGTACCAATTGCTGTGAATCAGCTGGATCTCTGGTGGAAGAGCTAAGGTATTGCATTTATTTTTAAATGACTGTGGAGTAATAGAAAATATTAGAAGTATATATAGAAATATATATTTATTAATGTATAATAAATATATATTATTGGCATATATTATATTGACTGTTCTACAATCTTTATTTATCCTAGACATAAACTGAAAATGAAAGAATCAACAATTCAGAAACTTCAGGCAGAACATATGGCAAGTAAGATTGGTCAAGGGTTCTTTGAAGAAAATGAAGGACAAGAATTGCATGGCCTAGAAACTGAACCAGTAAAATTGAATGGAAATCAAACAGGTGTGCATGAAAGCATATCTTATCTCCAGTATCAGAGGCACTAGAAATACAAGTGGTGGGTACTTGTGTCCTGCCTGTGTACTTCCCAGTAGCATCTGGTTGGCTGCCATGAGAACAACATGCTAGCATACTAACAAAATTGTACAGGACTGTAAGACTGCCTGCCTGCTATGAGGTCAGTTTAGCCATATCCTTTTCTTGGCAACATTCTACTCAATTTCACCATTGCACTAGGCAGTGCCTGAGCTTTTTTTTTAAATCTTCCCTCCACATCAGATTGCAAAAAATGAAATAATTTCTGGAGCCCTTCTAATTGCAAGGAGGGGGTTTTGCACAGTTGCATTAAACCATCTGCCTGCTATTTAAACAAACATACCGGCATCCCCCTTTTTGTCAGTATCCTGGTCAATTCCATCATGCTTTTTGGGACTTCCTTTTTAGTGAATGCCTTTTAAAAAGGTTGCTTCATGTTCTGCTGAACTCATACCACCCCCCGTCCCCAAAAGCTCTTTTTTTCATATGGTTACAAGCTACTTTCTGCTCCGTCAGCAACTTCATGTTTGTTGCTTCGTTTTTCTCTGTTACTGTCAGGTGTACATGAGTGAGAGCAGGGAGCAGAATCATTAAACATGCAAATTTCAAGGAAGATATATAAGGCATACCTCTAAAAATACACAAAATGCATGGCAGAGCAGTAAAATAGAGAGGAAAAGTACACAAAATTCCAAGCAGCAGGCATTCACTGCTTCACACTTGTACAGGCTTGAAAAAATAAAATTTGAGGATGTGTCAGAGATACAGTTCTAGATTCCTATAAAAAGGAATCCATCCTGAGGTAGAGGGATGAAGAAGAATGGCAGCGGCTGTGCTAGTGAGAGGAGTGGCAGTGGGGTTTGCCATTCTTGCTGGGCAATTCTCTAGCTGTCCCTGAAAACTCACAATATAATTGCCATGCTGCACTGAGACATCAAACAGGCTGCCCTAAACAACTGTTCTAGAAGCCATGGATTTTTAGGGAGGCTCCTTTGCAAAAAAAAAAAAAAAAAAAAACCCCACAATGCATAACAGAAAAGCATACCAAGTTTAGACATCACACTAAGCTATCCTGGCACCACCCATGCTAACAACTCATCAAGTATAAACCAGGTACTTGTAGTGTTTATTGTGCCTAATATACTTTCTGAACAATTCCTTTTAATACTGATCCAGTTAAATTTGAGTCGTGTTTTGTTTATTTTACTATTATATCACAATGTCAATATATCATTGATAACTGTAACTCTTTATTAGTTTCATAACATTTACTCCTAGCAGGCAAGGGGTAAATTTTCTGTCTTTTGCTCTAGAATTCAATATTTAAGTAAATATTTACAAATATTTAAATTGTTTATATGGGAGCTTCAGATTTGTCTACATGTTACCTGATCTGTGTGGCAATTTCTTCCCTGTAGTGATTCTCTGCATCATACAGTCATACATGGGACCAGCTCTAAATGATATGCAGAATTTCTGTATCCACTGATGATAGTTTATTTCATTGGGAGCTTGCATGTGATAACATATATATGTTATTCCAGGGCAAACAGTAGCTTAGCATGCAGATTTAGCAACATGTAAACTAGTCGTTGATTGCATTATTCCAAGCTGAAATTATTTCCAGTTTTGAGAATGAATTCTTTTCTGGTAATTTAGCATGTTCTGACCAACCTATTCAAGAGTTGCATTTGGATGTTGCAACAAACCATGGTTTGCTGTGACACAGATGTGCTATGGCCATGCCTTGGTTGATGCTCTTTGCTGTCCCCTTCCTCCTTCCTTAGTCTGTGAGTACAGAAGTTTTGATCAAGCCACAATTTCCCATTTTATTTGAATATAGTAAACTATGACCTGGCCAAAACAGAAAGATACTGTTTGTTCCAAACCACATGTTGAGATGCATACCTTTATATTTCTGCAGTTGTTATATGTGTCTAGTCCCATGTCTCTTATCTTACTGTGTCTAAATGTGTTCCTTTTATGAAGAGAGAGAATGCCAGCAATTGGAGTTTATCGGTCAACAGTTTGAAAAGGAGAAACAAAGCTTAATTAGACAATTAGATGAGTTACGTAGTAAGCTGGAAAGAACTGAAGAGGAGAACTCCTTTTTAAAAACTGATATGGCCCAGCGAACCAGTCATTTTCAAGCATTACAGGAAGAACTGTTGGAGAAGGCTTCGAAATCTAGCAGTTTGGAGCGAGCAGTAAGTAGAAATAAAAAGTCTGTATTTTTAGGAGCAATGTAGTTAATTTCATAAAGATCATTTCTCTTTCAAAGTTGAGGTGCTATTCCTGTTTGGATTGGATTGGAGGAAATTACTGAAATTAATTATCAGCCTTATTCCCATGGTAGTGGGTAGGCCTTTTATTGTTAAAGGAATATGGTGGGTAAAGCTATGGAAAAGCTATGTAAAGGGTTCCATAATTATTGCAAAAGCATGCATGTAGCAAAACTTTTTCTCTTCAGTAATCCAACTAGAGGTTCTGACATTTTGGATACTGCTTCTCCACTTTGCTTCTCATTTGAATCAGAGTTCTTAACCTGGCTCCTCCAATCCATCTGGAGATTTGATTTGATTTGATTTGACTTTATCTTATTTTATTATTCAGTTCAGTTAGATAAACTGATAATATTCTGACAATCATTATAAGAGTGCCTGAAGTGTACTGTAGTCTTTGTAGCCCAGTTCCACTCTAATACAGTAACAGCATATAATGTTATCCCTGTATATTGCTCTGGATGTCACAACCACCTGCTTCTTACTTTTTATAAAAGCAAATAAAAATGTATAGTAAAATGCAGAACACTACATAATGGTGGCGGAGTGGCATAAATGAGAGAGTGTGCTTTGAGCAAAGAATTGTTTTAAAAGGCAGGAAGAGTTACATTGCTTATTGTGTTGCTGACCTCTGTTTCTGCAGAAAGAGTGTTATTCTTTTAGTTCTGTGTATTTGATAAATATGTGTGTGTTTTTTGTAGATGGCAAGAAAATCTTCTCAGCTTTCAGCCCTTGAAAAACAGTTAGAAGAAAAGACAATTGCTTATACAAATGCAGCTGCAAAAAAAACTGAGCTGGAACAAATATTGTTGGTAAAACTCCTGTAATTTTTTCACTGCATTTTGGGGTAATAGAATATGTATTCATATATGCCATTTTATACAAAAATATACTAACTTTAATGTATTTACCAATGTAAATACCTAGAATGCATACATTTTGTACAATATATGTTTACCCATTTTTTAGCTGTACTTTGGTTAATGGAATGAAATAATGATGTATTGAAAAATCCATATCCCTGTCCCACCTAATTGTGCATTTATACAGGTAAATAATGTGGTCTTTTTTCTAGGAAACAAATTCTCAGATTCATACCTTGGAAAGAAGGATTAATGAGGAACATGAACACTTCTCTGTAATACTAGAAAAAACTAAGATAATTAATCTGGAACAGCACAAAGAGATGGAAAAACAGATTGAATTAGTAAGATTGTAATTTATATAATATTAATTACTGTATTCCTATAATAGAAAATCAGAACTGTCAATTACAACTTTTTCAGTGACTATATGTTTTGGCAGTCTCATTGCAGTAGTTGTCTGCTATATTCCTTTTGGATCTGTTCCACATATAGAAGTGGCCATATGTTTGGCCTCTTGAAAGGCAGATGCAGGGGAGCTGCTTCATGTGAAGGCTGTTTGTGGGAAGCAGCCCTCTGCATGGCTCTGTTTTGCATCATGCTGTTGCAGATGTCACAAAATGAATGTACCTGTTTAGCTTTTAAGAAGTCAAGAGCTGCAGCCAGGATGTTATCACAGTATTTGCACTGCCACAAAAAAAGGTGAAGGGCACATGTGTGAGGAAACTGAGGGCTAAAAGCACATCTAGTACCATTGCGAACCAAGCTATTTTAGTCCCAGAGAAGCTGTCTTTCCCCAAATTTAGTACATATATTGTAGAGTTCTTCGTTGCACTGAGCTGACATTTGTATCATTTTACTAGTATGAGAGTTCTTTCAAAGTTTAACCCAAATTTTTATTTTATTCTAAAACATACTAACTGCACATAAAGACAAGTTGTTCACGTAATGACATTTCCACCCAACATTTGAATATTTCATAAGGTATTTTTCCAGCTTGTGGCTTGTTTTCTTCCACCTCCTTGCTGACTTGCAGCCTGTATCCCAGGAGGCCTTGCGACACCAAAGAGCCATCTCTATAGCATGGTGAAACAGCCTGTGCACACCCCACAATCCTGGATTTGGATTGTGGATTGGTTTGGACATAATGATAGCTCATGGCATTGTTATGGGATAACAACCCATCATTAACCCATAGTACCAGATTCAGATGTAACAATAATTATTGATTCAACAACCTATGGCTTGTTGTTACATGTGAACAGGAACAATACCTTCCTCAGTAGTTTAAAATATGGTTAGTTATGCTAATGTGATGGGTTTCATACTGAATGACGGATACTTGGTGGTAAATAATGGCAGTTAAGTTTCTTTGTCATTCTTTATCAAATATATGCAAAACTGAGTGCAATCATTAAATATTATTTTATATAGCTTCAGGCTCAACTGGAGACAAAAAACCAGCAATTCCTGCAGCAGGAGAACACAATGTCCATTTTGCAGCAAGAATTGATATGTAAGCAACGTCAGCTGGAATCACTGGATCGACTGCTAATAGAAAGCCAAGAGGTAGCATTTTTGCTGGGATGCTTCTTGCAAAGTATGTTTCTTCATCATTTTATGCTTGTTCCCAGGATGATGTTTGGCTGCTTGAGAAAGCACTGCTTCTAGATTACTGCTTGCCTTGCAGCACAGCAACATCTCAATGATCCCCAGCCAGCCAGTACACCAGGAGATTTGAGTCTGTCTTCAGTCATTCTGTCATAAAGCACATGCTTTGCATTCACTTAGTCACTATGTTCAACACCTGGCACACATACTCAAGGGATTCCCAAACAGCTGGTCCAGAACCTTGCAGAATCATAGCTAGTCAGACTGGATAAACTTTAATATATGCCTGTGTATGGTTCATATGTTCATGTCTACTTAATTCTCTACTTAATAGGGAGATAGGGGAGTGGCTTTCTTCTACCTTCTTCTCAGTGACTTCTCTCAATAAGTTTGACATGTTCCAGGCATTTAAGCAGCATTTTATGGTCCAAACAAAATCCTTTCCTTCCTTTGACTCTAAGCTGCTCTTTGGATCCCAGCCAATGACTGAATGAGCTCCATATTCAAATGGCATAATCAAGAACTACCGAGATGGAGCTTGGGCTCTGTTGGCCTTCAAAAGAGAGGGAGGGATGGGGAGAGAGATGATTTGCTCTAGCATAGGTTTTCTGCACATGGACAGACTCTTTGTCAGCAGGAGAATTCTGATCTTATATCCCCCGGAAAAGCAAGTAGGAAATTGCAGGAATGAGAAAGCCAGTAAGAAGTTTTAATGGTTGAACTTTTGAAACCAGGAAGATGGAGGTCCTAGAAAAAGCAACAGTATAATTGTGCAAAATGGGAAAGATATTTTAGAAATAAAGCTAAGGACTGGAACTTGCAGAATTTTCTTTTAATAAAACAGTTAGCAGCTGAACTATTTCACCATCTACCTTGGGCAGAAGGGTGTTAGAAGGCCGGATTGATTTACATCTAGTTATAACATCAGATATTTTCTGCTGTTGATGTTGAATGCAAACAGGAAATGGAAAAGCAGAAAACCAAGAAGGATGAAGCTTTAAAGACATTACAAGGCCAACACACTGAAGAAACAATTAAGGTATGTTTCTTCCCATTCCATGTTTCTTCCCATAAGGTATGTGACTTCCCATTCCATGTGGCTTCTCACAACATGCAAAGTCTTTCTGTCCCTTTCTGTATCAAATATCAAATGTTCTGCTACATTTGTTTTGAAAGATAATAAATGAAAATGGTTTTTCTTTGGTCATCAAAGTAATGTTGACCTGTTTCATATGTTCTTAGAAACAGTATTGTCTGAGGACTGCTGAGATTTGTAGGAGATTTTCTGTCTCAATAAGTATAGGGTTGTACCATAAATGATGCTGCTATATGTGTTATTATCACTTTTGTTTCCTCTGTTAAAAAGGGCGTGTATCTGCCTGGTTAATGCTACCACTGTGTAAGCAAGATAATTGAAGCTTGGCATGCATACTAAGGGGACCATAACAGCTTGCACCTTAGGACTATTTGGATTTTAAACTGCATTAATAACTTTTAATTAATGAGAGAGAGAGAAAGAGGGAGTTTTTGAAGCCTATACCACCTTCTTCAGTCACTAGGTGGCAGGCTTGCCTAACCAGCACATAGCTTTCCATTCAGTATAGTTTGAAGCCAGGAGGAACAGTCTAAGGCAATGGTGGTGAACCTATGGCATGTGTGCCACAGCAGGCACAAAGAGCCCTTTCTGTTGGCATGCCAGCCAAGTCGCCCCAGCATTGCCCCAGCAGCTGAGCATCAGATAACAGCCCACACAGGGGCCATGCACATGCTCGGAACGGAGTAGCAGTGCCAGGTGATGACATCACGAGCTGTGACTCATTATCCACGACTCGTCCAAGCTTTCTCATGGCCGGTCAGTGCGCTGCCAAGGATGGAGATAGATAGATAGATAGATAGATAGATAGATAGATATATTTGTTTGGACTGGCTGTGAGTTGTTTTTTTCTAAACTAAAACCTCAATATTCAGGTTTATTGCAGTGTTGGCACTTTGTGATAAATAAGTGGATTTTGTTTTGTGGTTTGGGCACTTGGTCTCTAAAAGGTACCCCATCACTGGTCTAAGGTGAACAGGGGAAGCCAACTGGGAGTAGAACTGCTGCACAGAGGGACTTTGGGTGTAGGACTAGTATATTCAGTTATACTCCTCCCTTCACAGTTAATTACACCTGAATATGCCAAACAGATGCATAATGTAATTTAAAGATGAGAAGTATATTTTATCTGCCAATATATTAGCTAAAATTATGTTGACTGTGTACCTGTAACTGAAAGTAACATTTGATTATATTTTAATGCATGTTTAGTTTTTGTAGATTTTGCACAGCTATTTATTTTCCATTTATATGATCTCTTTTAGGTCAAACAACTACAGACAGCATTAGATATCTATAAAGAAGATCTAGCATTATATTTAAGACGTCTAGAAGAAAATAAAATATTATTTGAAAAGCAGCTGCAGAAAAAATCTGAAGAGGTAAGCTTGATGTTTCAGCTAGATTTACTTCTCAGTTGTTTGACAACAGTATGCTTGTGCTTTGTCAGCTGCACTGCCAATATTCCAAGCAATATTCATGTGTGGGTTTTAACTTTTAAACCCCTCAATGGCTTTGAACTAGATTTCTGAAAGTCTCCCTTCTCCCATGATACCCAAACCTTAACATCTGCAGGTGACCTCTGAAAGCTCCTGCCCAAGGAAGTAAGTCAGATTATCAGGGACTGAACCATTTTAGTAGTGAGAAAAGGCTATTTCGCTACTGGCACCATCATTTTAGCCTTTTTTGTGCCGCCTGAAGACCGTTTTGTTCACCCAAGCCTTTTAAAAAACTCATTTCATAGTTTAGGTCTGACAGTTGTCAAATTGGTATTCTTTAACCAATTTATTTGTTTTTATTATGCTATTTATTTATTGTATTTAAAACATTTCTATGCCGCCCCCATTGCAACAAAGCCTCGGGGCGGCTCACAAAGAATACATAAAAACATACATAAATAATAATAATATAACAATTTAAAAGAAGAAAAAAACATTAAAAAACCCCCAGTGCATTCTCAGCTAAAATTTTTAAAATCCTAATTAATTCAATAATTTAGCAATTAAAATAAGTTTTAAATAAAAAGGTTTTAGCCTGGTGCCAAAAAACAAATAACAACGGCGCCAGGCTATATTGTGTTTTAATGTTGTGTTTGTTTTCTGAAATGCCTAGATAACTTACATTATAAGGAAAATATATAAAATATAATAACAGTACGATCTTGTGTATAACTGCTTGGATTGTCCATTGAGTTTAGTGATGTTAACTCCCACATAAGTGGACAGAGAATTGCAGCCCAAGTAAGTTAAATGTCTTGCAAATGGTACTGGTATTCCCAGTACCATTGTAGTTGAATTAGTGTTGAGAAGAAACTTATACTAGTCATAAGAAGTATTCCTATTATGTTTTATAGTTTACTAGAAGCAACCAGAGGAAAGAACAAACTTCTCTGATATTACACACGAGGACTGACATGTTAAAATATATCTAAGGATATAAAGTATGTCACTTATTAGCATGCAAATGTCTCTGAAAATCAGATATCCTGAATTACTATGAATGTATCTTTTTCAGATTCTGATAATTTCAAACTAGAATATAGTTAAAAGTATAGATTTTACTGCGTGTAATTGATTTTAATTTATAATGGATTTTAGTGATGAGAACCAACATTTAGTAGTAGCTTAGACATGTCATCAACCTGTTTTTCTAAGGAAGATTAAATATGAACAAGCTGAAAATGTACATCAAATTGTTAGTGAAACATCATTTACATGTGCTTCCAGGTGCAACATTTGCAGAAAGAAATAAAATTAAAAAATGACAATCTTCAGTCCACTGCAGAACAAAACTTTCTACTACAGCAAACCCTGCAGCAGCAGCAACAGATGTTACATGAGGAAACCATTCGGAACAGTGAATTAGAAGACAGCCAAACAAAGCTTCAAAAGCAGGTGCATTATATGTAATAAATACTTTAAATCAATTTTATTGGATTACTTGACTTCATATTCCTTTTGACATGCTTTCATTTAAGAAGTACATTTGGAAAATAAAATTTAAAACTTTGGCTGGGGACTGGAGAGCTACTTCAGGTATACCCAAAAGTTTGGACATAACCTGTGGAACTTGACTGTTTCTCTTTGACCAGAAGATTTCCATGGTATGTCACAAGTTAATCTTAAAAATCCCATCAATTGCACTAGTTTTTGCTCTGTGCTATGAGAAGCTACTGTTGAAGGAATACAAAACACTGTGCTGAACATATCGAAGTAGCTTGGTTTGGGTTTCTTGGAACCTGCCTGTTGCCTGTGGTCCAAAAAGCATAGGCCTGTGATAAGACACTGTTCTGCAATCAGAGGTGCAAACTCATTTGCAGAGGATCATGATTTTGTTGCTTTCTGAAGCCTGTTTCCATATTTCCTGCATGAACTTATGAATTGTTGCTTGGACACTCCTATGTGTTCACTGAGGCATATTCCCTAATAAATGTGTTAAGGATTGTGCAGATAAGGCCTTCCATGCTTCATTGGCTTAGCGACCTGATTTAGACAGTGACTGTTACCTGAAAGTAAGTTAAATAAATAATGGGACTGACTTCCACTAAAATAGTGTTGCCTGGCTACAGTCCCTAAGCAATTAATTTCACAGCAGACTTGTTAAATTTAATGAATTTTGTCCAGAGTAACTGGCTTCTGGTGTAATTCTTGAGGAGCTCTATGGCTTTGTTGCTCCTTCATTGGGGAAATTAAATATTTAACACCTGTATGTCAGAACTTTTAATTTAAAAGCAATAAAGATAGTTATATTTCAAGTCTGTTACACTTTTTATGAAAACAATGATTTTCAGGAAATGAGGGATCATATCCTTTAGATAAAGAGTAATGAAATGTACTTAGTGTGTATGTGATACAAATTATTAAACTATTTACAGCTGTTGTTTACCTGAGAAGCTGTATATAAATGGTTAATACCAATACATAATGAAATAACAGAAAATAGTGGAATCTTATTAATAATTAGGATAAATAATTATTCTAAATTTATATCCCCCCTTTCTTCCTTTCAAAGAACACAAAGCAGCTTTACATAATTCTCCTCTCAATTTATCCTCACAACAACCACCCTGTGAGGTAGGTTGGGTTGAGAATCTGTGACTGGCTGAAAGTTATCCAGTGAGCTTCATGACCAAGTGGGAACTAGAACCCAGATCTCCTGGATCCCCACCTCAGCAGTAACCACCGCATAACACTGCCTGGTTTCTGAGTGAGCATATGCAGAGTTATGTTGTCAGGCTCCAATCTGAAGTCACTGGAATTCATTCCTGAGTAAACCATGTTTAGATTGAGCTGCGCTGCATATTAACAGCACAATCCTAGCTGCATTTATGCAGAATTAATTGCAGTTTAATTCAGTGAGGCTCACTTCCTAATGTGTGTTTGGTATTGCAATTTAAATCTGTTACTTTTTCATATAGGTAGCAAAACTAGAGCAAGATCTTCAAAAGCAGAAGGAAAATCTGGAAGAAGAATTGAAGAAAACAACTGAGAAACTCCATTTAGCCTCTGAAGAAACTGATTTGAAAAGACAAAAAGTAATGGAACTTACTGGAACAATCAGGTATGTTCCAAAGGAATTTTGCTTTCTATTGAATGCAGTTTAAAAAAAAAAACTCAGGTTCTTTCTGTTCCAAGCAGGAACAAAATTTTCACTTGTTCCTAATCTGTTTTTTCTATGGATGGGTTGTTCAAGCTCATATTATGAATCATTCTAAAATTCTAAAGCATGGGTATTTTCTTGAATGTTCGGTGTTTTGAAGGAAGAGTTTTCAGAACAGAACTTTTACAGCATAATCCCATCTATGTCACTTCAGAAGTAAGCTCCATAAAATTAAGTGGCATTTACTCCTAGATATATGTATAGGACTGTGGTCTTAAGCAAGTTATTTTAGTTCTAAAGGCCCAGTATTTTGTGAGTTCAAGTCTACTTTTATCTGAACCTTATACACAGTTACAGAGCCTTTAAATTCTTAGGAGGCTTAAACTGCATGTGATGCAGATTAATGGAAAAGAGTTATTTTACTCAAGATAAGATGTCTTCATAACATATATTTTAGTTACCTATCAGGACTCTCTAATTCTGTTTGTTTAGACAGATTAAAATAGAGATGGATCAGTGTAAAGATGAATTAATAGACATGGAGAAAGAATTAGTGCACTTACGACGTGATGGTCATAGTAAAGCTCTAAAGCTGGGCCACTTGGAAATGACTTTGGAGCAGAAAGTCTCAGAACTACATAAAAAGACAAATCAAGGTAGGCTCTCTACTGTGCTTTTTAATAATGCTCTTGTGAAGATGATACATAAGCTACATTGAAATGAGGGTGGTATTTCTAATACATTCCCTTTACATTGGAGTGGTAAAGTGAGATAAAAGCAGAGATATGGGACTGTATGTGAAGAGCTACATTCTTGGCAGAAAACATTTTGCATGCATGTTTATCCTACATACAGTAAACATTATCCAGTCATAGTATTCTGCTAGCTCATATGATGTTGCAGTAGCAGAAAACAGATTCCAAACTGTGTGTAAGAGGAAAATAAAGTTACCTTTCCACAAGTGCAGTTATACAGCTGCTTGCACTTGTTCAGTGCACAAATGCTTATGCAATGGAAAGATTTGGTGGAGTTTCACAGGCACAGTTTTTAGAGAATGACACTGTCGGATACTGCCCAATGCATCAGTGTGAAAATGCTTTTCCATTCTCGTTAGCTGCTGTGGAAGTCTGCGCCAAAGATTAGGATAAATATCCTAAATTAATGTAAATTGTATGTTGTTATCGGATGTCAAGTTGTCTCTGATTTATGTCAACCCTATGGATGAAAGCCCTCCAAAATGGTTCTGTTCAGCATTTCTAAGTTCAAGGCTGTGACTTCCTTCATGAATTCAATCCATCTCATATTTGGTCTTCCCTTTTGTCTTCTGCAGTCAACCTTTCCTAACATGATTGTCTTCTCCAGTGAGTCTTGCCTTCTCATGATGTGTCCAAAGTATGACAGCCTCAGTTTTGTCATTCTTGCTTCTAGAGAAAGCTCTGGCTTGATTTGATCCAGGGCCCACTTGTTTCTCTTTCTTTTGGTCCAGCGTATTCTCAAAGCTCTCTTCCAGCACCATGTTTTGAATGTATCCGTTTTCTTCCTGTCAGCTTTCTTCACTGACCAGCTTTTACACCCTTGCATTGCAATTGGGAATACAATAGTTTGGATGATCTTGACCTTGGTTTCCAGTAAAATGTCCTTACACTTTGAGTGTCTTTTCTAGTAGCTTCATTGCTGCCCTTCCAATTATTAGTCTTCTTCAAATTTCTTGTCTGCCTTCTCCCTTCGAATTGATGACTGAGCCATGGTATGTGAAATCTTTCACAATTTCAATTTCTTCATTATTAACAGTAAAGTTCTGTGATTCTTCTGTGGGCATAATTTTTGTTTTTTTAATTTTCAGCTGCATTCCTGCTTTTGTATTTTCTTTTTCCACTTTTATCAGGAGTTATTTAAGTAATTGCTGCTTTCTGCCAGTAGTATGGTATTGTTGTTATCATTTCATTTCTGTACTTCGCCACAGCCACAGCTCTCTGGGTGGTATCATCTGCTTATCTTAAATTAGTGATATTTCTTCCTCCAGTTTTCACTGCTCCCTTTGATTCTAATCCAGCTTTCCTTACAATATGTTCTGTGTACAGATTGAACAGATAAGGAGAGAAAATACATCCTTGTCTGACAGCTTTGCCTATGGGAAACCATTCTGGTTTTCTTCATCCTGTCCTAATTGTAGCTTCTTGTTTATATAACAGGTTTATATAACACCTCAGGACAGTCAAGTGCTGAGGCACACCCATTTCTTTCAGGACCATCCAGATCTTCTTCTGATCCACACATTCACACATACTTCAGAGTAGTCTATAAAGCATAGGCTAAATCTTTTTCTGAAATTCTTTGGTGCACTCCATTATATTTGCAATATATCGTGCATCTTCTTTTCAGAATCCAGCCTGGACATCTAGGTAGTATTCTTTGTTGTAACACTTCGAATATCACTTGGTTTGCATGGGAGATAAATGCAATGGTCCTATGATTGCTGCACTCTTTTGCATCTCCTTTCTTGGGGATTGGAATATATATTGAATGCTTCTAGTCCGTGGGCCATTGTTTTGTTTTCCACAATTTTCCATGTTTTTGCTAGAATTGAACTGATTTGTTTCTGCAGCTTGGAATAGTTCTGTTGGTATTCTGTCTACTCCAGGTGCTTTATTCCTTGGATCTGCTTTCAGAGCAGATCTTGCTTCATTTTCTAACACTGCATTCTTGTCTTCATAGGATTCCACTTTGAAGAAATCTGTCATCCTTCCATCTCTTTTGTATAGTTCTGTCTATTCTTTCCACCTTCTCTTTATTTTCTCCTGGTCAGCTAGTATATTCCCTTGTTTGTCTGTTAGCATTCCTGATCTAGGGCTGAATTTCCCTTTGATTTCTTGGAACTTCTGGAAGAGGTCTGTTGTTTTTCCTCTTTTGTTGCTCTCTTCTGTTTCTTTGCAGTGATCATTGTATTAGTTCTTTTTGTCTCGGTGGGTTGGTTGTTGAAAGTTGCATTCAGGTTTCTCACCCTATTTCTGTCACTGTTTGCTTTTTGCTTCTTGCCTGTATTTTGCAACTATGTTTCCTCTGTCATCCATATAGGCTTTGTCTTTCTTGTTGTTACAGGAATTGTCTTTTGACATCCTTCCCTAATAATGTCTCTGATTTCAGTCCAGAATTCTTCTGCCTCATGGCCAGTTAATTGAGCAATGCAAATCTGTTCTTTTTGTGGACTTATATTCTTCAGACAGGTTACTCAAGTTATATTTTGGCACTACAATTCCATAGGCGATCTTTTTTTTAGCTAGATTCTGATTTTTGAAAATAGGAGCTGATAGTAACTACCACAGCCTGCTCCTGGTCTTATTTAGGAGCAAAAATTCAGCTGTTCCACCTTCTGCTTACAATTACATAATCTATTTGCTTTCTTTATTGACCATCTGGTAAAGTCCAAGTATACAATTGTCTGGGCAGTTGCTTGAAGTATGTGCTTGCAATGAACAGGTTGTTGGGTGTTTTTTATTAATATACAAATTGTTCTCATGCTTCATTTCTTACTCCTAGGCCAAATTGTCGTACAAAATTGGATTTGCTTTGTTTCCTGCTTTTGCATTCCAGGCACGTAGGATCAGCAGCATGTCTTCTTTTGGTGTGTTATCAATTTCCTCTTGAACACCTGCATAAAAGATTTCTTCTTCAGCATCTGTTGTTGGAGCATAGACTTGAATGATGGTTGTATTGATAGGTTTTCCACTCATTCTGATAGATATTATTTGTTGTCTCTTACTGCCTGTGCTTCATCTTGCCTCAATATTAGAGCCACTCCATTTCTTCTGAGTTTGTCATTTCAGAGTAAAACAATTCGTATTTGTCTGATTGGAAATGTCCCATTCTAGTCCAGTTTCATTCTCTCACACCAAGTACTGCAGTGTTCATTCTTTACATTTCTTGCTTTATGATTTCCAGTTTGCCTTGATTCATACTTCTTATGTTCCATATCCCAATTTGTATGTGTTGTGTAGCATTGGACTTTCCTTTCACTTTTGTGCATGTTGGCCCCAGACTTCCTTTAGGCTTTACTCTAGTAGCATCATTAGAGACAGCACTACTAGTATTTGGCCTTTGCTCTTCCCCAGCAGCTCATATAGTGCCTTTCAATCTGGGGTCTCATATTTTGGCACTATCTCTCTTTTAGGAGGATAAACATGTTTCTTTGTTTACTTTCTATGTGCACTTAAGTGAAAGAGTTAGAAGACAAGCTACTTGTTAGTGAGACAAAGCAAAAAGATGCTGTACAACAAGTAGAAACACTAGAGACTGACCTGCAAAGTGCCAGTGAGGAGCTAAAAAGTGCTTTGCGACAACAACAAGAACTTCAGGACATGCTGCAGAAGGCACAGATGTCTCTGGAAGAGAAGTATGCTGCTATTCAGGAATTAACAGAGGAACTAAGGTAGGTTAACCCCCTTGCTGAACAACATCACTGTTACAAACTAGCAAACTGAAAATCTGATTGCAGATACTTTTTTCAAAGCCTTGTCGACCAAGGACTACGTATTGAACTTACTTTTATTTTTTTAGCAGAGAAAATGGTAGCATTTGTAATTTTATTATAAATTGCTGTACTCTAGCTACAAAAGCACTGCACTGCAAAGTTGAAAAATAAAACAGATTAACCTCTTTGCTAATCTGTCTCCATTTGCTGGAGACTGATAGTGGAGACTATTAAAATAAAACCTCATAAAACCCCAGCATGAACTAGGCCTTGCCTTCCTCCCTCTTGTCTCCTTTATCTGTATACGAACAGAGGCTGGAAAAGAGTGTGTGGGTAGGAAGAAGGCCTCTGTTGCAACTCCCTTTTGACATCTTCCACTATGCTGAAGTAATCCTGGTAAGGGGAAACAAAATAGTGCCCCAGACACTAGCTAATCTTCCTTTTTGCTTCTTCTGAATATGGATGACAAACAGATGATATCTATGAGAACAATGCTTAATTTTGCTGGGGGGGAGAGAACACAGCTCTGCTGTAGCAGAACTGTACAGTTATCAGAAGAACCTTATTCTGGCCTTTATGCCACAAACTCCCAATGATTTAATTTTATAACCCACTGCCAAACTTTCAAGGGGTTTTAGTATGATCATATAGTTTTAATATGTGTACAATTTGATGAGAAATCAATGAAATGTTGATACAGGTATGACAATTATTTTTCTTAAAAAGAAGGTACTGGAAAATAGACCAATAGACTGGCATTCAGATTTTTAAAAATCAAGATAGCAGTTTATCAAAAGCTTTAAAACTTTTCTGTTAAACTACAAGGCATGTTCCCAGAAGTCAACATATTGTTGTGTAGCTGCAAAGTCATGCCTGACCCATCACGACCCCATGGACAACATTCCTCTAGGCTGTCCTGTTCACCACCATCCCTTGAAGTCCACCCAACTCCACACCCACTGCCCCAGTGACTCCATCTAGCCACCTCACCCTCTGCCTTCCCCTTCTCCTTTTGCCATCGGTCATTCTGCATCAGGGTCTTCTCCAGGGAGTCCTTCCTTCTCATTAGGTGGCCGAAGTGTTTGAGTTTCTTCTTCAGTATCTGGCCTTCTAAAAAGCAGTCAGGGTTGATTTCCTTTAAGATTGACTAGTTTGATCTCTTTGCAGTCCAAGGGACTCTCAGGAGTCTTCTTCAGCACCACAATTCAAAGGCCTCAATTCTTCAGTGCTCAGTCTTCCTTATGGTCCAACTTTCACAGTCATACATTGCAACTGGGAAAACATAGCTTGACTAAATGCACTTTTGCCAGCAGGGTGATGTCTCTGCTTTTTAGTATGCTGTCTAGATTTGCCATAGCTTTCCTCCGAAGGAGCAAGCGTTTTTTAATTTCTTGGCTTCAGTCACCATCTGCAGTGATCGTGGAGCCCAGGAAAATAAAATCTGTCACTACCTCCATTTCTTCCCCATCTATTTGCCAGGAAGTGAGAGGACCGGATGCCATGATCTTAGTTCTCTTAATGTTGAGTTTCAAGCCAACTTTTGCACTCTCCTCCTTCACTTGCATCAAGAGGCTCTTTAGTTCCTCTTCACTTTCTGCCATTAGAGTGGTATCCTCAATGTATATTTATCCTTAATTATGTGAGATAATTAAGTGATGCTTACATGCAAGAAATTAGCCACCATGTTTTATGCATGCTTATTTAAAAAAACACTTAGTCTCATAGAGGACTGAAGTAACCCATCCAGGTAAGTGTGCATAGGATTGAAGCCTGTGCCTACAGGCTGATTTAGTTGAGAGTAAGCCCCATTGAATGAGACCTGCTTTTGAATAAACGTAGATCAGGATGTGGGTGAAAGCCATAATTTGGCTTCCTTAACAAAAGAAAATGTGCTTTATTTTTAAATGAAAATTACAGAGAATGCAAGGATGAACTTGAGGATAAAAAGCAAGAACTTCTTGACATGGACAAGGCTTTGAAAGAAAGAAATTGGGATTTGAAACAAAGAGCAGTTCAGGTTAGATCTTTTTCAGAATAATTTACTTAAGTATAATAATTTGTGTATGTATTATTGGGACTTAAGTGGTAGCTACATAGTTGTAGGTATACCGATTTGTTGTGTTGTGTGTTGACTTTCTGTCTCTTTTTTAAAAAGCTTACCCAGTTGGATATGTCAATCCGTGAGCACAAGGGAGAAATGGAACAAAGAATCATTACGTTAGAAGCAAGTTTGGAAAAAGCAGAGCTGCAGATCACAGAATTTAATAAACAGGTGCATTAACTGTTTAAAATACTATCACAGATAATTGTTACCAACTGTATATTTTCAACAGAAAAGAAAATCTCTATGTCTAAATTATACTGCAAATATTCTTAATGGTCCTAAGAATTTATCTTGTGGCCTGTACCATGTTTTCAGATTGAGAATTTAGAGAACAAGTTGCAGCATTCAAAAGATGAGCTTCATGAGAAAGAGTTTAAAATACTTCAACAAGATCAAGAGATAAATTGTCTTAAAAAAGAAACTGAAAGAAAAGTGCAAAGAATATCAGATATTGAAAAAGTAAGTTTTTTATTTCATAAATATGTTTGCCTGGATCTCTGAACATGCTGTATTTTTATTAACTATTTTAAATCACTAAGCAATGAAAAGGAAGAAATATACTCTTCTTTTTAATAGTATAGTCCTAATATGTCTGCTTAGAAGTCCCATTAAAATTACTAGGGCTACTCCCAGGTAAATATGCATAGGATTGCAGCCTCAATTTGTGTGTTTCATCTCACAGTGCTCTTTAACAAGGTAAATCATTTAACCTAAATAGGACAGAAGGATACATAAATAACCAGTTTCAAAGGGTCATCTATTTATACTGTGTGAGTAAACACAATACAGAGTTTTGTGGCACCTTGAAGACTAAGACAATGATTATGGCATAAGCTTAAGTGCATGCATGTGGTGTTAACCTGGGTTGGCAGACACATGCACATATAACTAAGAATTATTACCTGATTTTGTTTTTTCCTACTTCCTTACAATCCCTTTCCTTTTTGTATTGTGTCTGTTAGCCTGTAAGCCTGAGGACAGACAGTGTTTTATTTCTGATCTTTTATAAGTTGCTCTGCATGCTTTAAATACAGTTAAATGCTTTAAATAAAGAAATGAGTGTGAGGAGGAAAAAATGAGTTAAGAGAGGAATGAAATGCAAGAATTTAGAAGCTATTGTATAGCTCAATTGTAATAATAATTACAAAGATAAAGGTTCACACTCCTAAGATGCTGTGCCATTGATCTTACAGTAGCCATACTTGAACAGAAGAAATTCAGAGAGAGATGCTTCATGAATTACATTTTATTGGGCAATCCAATTGAATCTGTTACGCCACTCATGGTTACTATTTTATCCTACTAGTAGTGTTGGACTACGAACATCAAGATGTCTCTATTATCATCAATGCTGCATTGAAAAAAGTTACTACAAATAGCTTTATGTTTAAGCTGTACTATGTTTTTTACAGTCTGTGGGAAAATTCAAATAGAAGTGTAAGTCACTTAAGGTGAATCATGGCTTTCCATGAATGCAGTGTGTGCTGGTGCCTGCAGCTCATTCACTCCTGCTTGGCCACTCCCAGTACTGTGAGCTGCTAAACCAGTCAGTTGGTTTCTTTAGCATGTCATCCAAATTTGGGATTCTGACTTGTTGCTCACTGTACAAGTCAGTCTTTGTAAGCCAAAACAAACCCTGGTTTACAATCCTAGCATATAAAGGAATAAAGAGACCTTGATACCTGGTTTGGAGAAACCATTTCTCAATTGTTTTGCTGCTCATGCTCTTGGGAGGAACCAAATGGATGCAAGCAGTAGAATGTAGCTCATAACACTAAACCAAGATTCACAGGAATTCTGGTTTAGAATTCTGTGCAAATGTGGCCTGCATTTCTTGCCTTTAATGTTTCACTGACCTTGTTCCCAGCTCTTTGTTTTTTGATGAAGTAGTCCAAGATAACCTATGTCAAACTAAATTTCTTGTCCTTTAGGGTGCTATAAGGCTGTCTGTTGTTTTTAGAGATCAAACCTGGTCTTACATGGCAACAGAAAGGAACATTACAAATAAAAAAATGGAATACAAAACTGTCTCTACTTTTGTTAATGCTAAGTGTTTACACCTTTTAGAAGATGAAAGAACAAGAAAACTACATTGCAGAACAGTACAAAGAAGTACTTGATTTGGGTCAGCAGCTGAGGCTAGAACGTGAACAGATGAAACGCATCCATGTGGACCTACTAGAGAGTCGCCGTTTGCAGGCTCAAGCTCAGAGAGATGTGGAGAGGATCTCTCTTGAACTGGAAGAAATGAACCATCTTGCTCATGAAAAAGTAACCACAGTTTTTTAAAAAGAAAACTTACATGTGAATCTAATTGGCCTAATTGAGGACTGTTCCCATGGCCAGTTGAATGCATATTTGACAATAGTAACTCCTTGTTTGAATGAGGGATCCTTTGTGCCCTCTATTGTAGGTCAGTCCCATTTCACAGAATGAAAGAGTTCCAACGATGCTTTTTCATAGTTCCTAACACATTCACCCTTAAGCAGTCATTTAACCTTCGTTGCTTTAATAATTTCACTGTGGCTTCTCAATTTTTTAATATTTGTTGAGTTTTTGTAATGTTTAATGTTGTCTTATTTTGATACTTATATTGTTGTATTGTTCTTTTGTGTTGGTGGATATTTTGTTACTGCTGTTTGGTTTTATGACTGTAAACCCTCCTGAGGGCATTTGCCACTTGGGCACTAACCATAACTTGCAGTATCACTTTTCCAAGGAAAAAGCTTTAAAAGGCTACATATTTTCATATTTTAGTCTCTAAGTACTATTAGAAATATTCGTCCATAATTTACTTTAGAAAATTGGTGGTTGCTTCCTGTTTGTCACACGAACAGAACTCATACAGACTTCATTGGGCAAACATTTATTATGAGATGTCCTTTTTTACTGTAACCTAATTTTAAATTTAGGGGAAAATATCATTTTTTAATATGTTGGTGTTGGTGATGACCTATAAAGCCCTAAACGGCTTGGGTCCTGGTTACCTGAAGGAGCACTTACATCCATATGTGCCCGGCCGCCCCTTGAGATCTGCGGGAGAGGCCCTTCTCCGGGAACCCTCCGTGAAAGAAATCAGGAGGGTGGGGACTCGGAGGAGGGCTTTCTCTGTGGTGGCGCCTAAGTTATGGAATGCGCTCCCCAGAGAGGTCCGCCTGGCGCCGTCGTTATTTGTTTTTCGGCGCCAGGCGAAGACCTTTTTATTTAAGCAGCATTTTAATTGTTAATATTATTGGATTTTATCTGGCCAGGGCGGCTTATTTTATATTGTTATTTTTGTGTTTTTAATTTTAATGTTTTTATTTTTAATGTTATTTATTTTTAACTTATTGTTGTAAGCCGCCCCGAGGCTTCGGTGAATGGGGCGGCATAAAAATGTTTTAATAAATAAATAAATAAATAATAAGCTAGGAGGAGAAATGCCATATAAAGAAATGATGAGGTGTTTTTTGTTTTTTCCCTTTCAGGAAAGCCATGCAAATGTTTTGGCAGAACAACTGGGGGCTTGTCAGGCACGGGAAACCCAGTTAGAAGCAAGGATGGAGGCAGAGGCCAAGAGGCTGTCCACAGAAATTCATTTGCTAAAACAGTCTTATATGTCAGAGGTGAAATCAAAATGACCTTTCCTAATTAGAGTTGCATTATTATATGTATGAGAACTGGGCCATTCCTATTTTTCTTGGTTCTTTAAAAACTTTCCTTAGGATTGGCACAATAACTTATTTTAAAAGAAAAAAATGCCTCTAGCACTGCAAATACTCTTAAGACATTCAACTTGCCTTTCCAAAATTTAAGCACAAAATGTAAGCACACCTCCACTTCTTTTTTAAATGCCAGTTTCTCAGTTTTGCTGGCATATTTGCTGAATACACTGCCAACAAAATGCCTACCATTTTTATTTTATTTCTTTATTTAGCAAACTTCTATGCCGCCCCATTCGCTGAAGCCTCGGGGCGGCTCACAACAATAAATAGATACACAATTAACCATATAAAACAACCTTTTTAATTAAGGTTGTAATCATATCACAGTGCCCAAAAAGCCCTGAACTTAGCTGAATTACCAGAATGAGATATGTTTTGAGTTTGAAATGACAGTTAATTAAGTGTTAGATATGATTTCTCAACTTACCTTATTCTTCAGAAACTCTCACATGAAACACAGCAGACAAAATGGAAGCAGTCACTATCAGCATCTCATCATGTTCATGAACAGTTACAACAGGTGAAGCTGGAGCTGGATGATGCTCAAAGCACTGTTCATAATCTGCAGCAACAGCTTCAGTCAAGAAATGAGATGATTCAAGCAGCAAATGAAGCTCTGCTTCTCAAAGTAAGTTAACATAGCAGTATTTCATCTTGTGCTGGACTGCGGTTTAAAATTGCTTGTGCAAAGACAATTAACTGAATTCTCCAACTACATTGATTAACGAAGGAACCTAAATTAGGCTTGCACATCTAGTAGTTCCTAATTTAGTTTCTAACCAGATGTTCCCCATGTATTTCTACCGTCACATCCAGAATAAGGCGTGTGTGACTTGTTCATGCTCCGTCTTTCCCTGCCCTGTGTCTGTGTTATCCAGTGAAATTGGTTAAGGTAACACCAAAACCAATGTCATTGGATATGCTGCATAAATTTATATTGGGAATTTAATGTAATAAACTACTCTTGAGTGACATTTTATCTCTAGTTTTAGGATTTCTGAATGTTGTAGTGACTATTGTACTCCTTTATAACTGTGCAAAGCCATTAGGTTTTATAATTTATTTGGCATTTACAAGATATGTGAAAAGAATGGTAGAGTACAGCCAATGAGGATCCCAGTTCAAATTCTTGGAAGATCCTGACAATGATCGTTCAAAGACGACCCCAGGGTTCCACTAGCTCTTTGTCAGAGCTTTATATAGTCTGGTCAGAACAGATAACATAGGTAGCTCATCTGTAATCATTTATGGGCACTATCCAATATGTATCTATGATACTTGGACATCTGCATTCCAGGCCATACTCTCTCAGAAATAGTAGAAACACTGGCTGGAGTTGAGAGAAAAATAATACGAAATAAATTTACAAAGTTGTAGAGTATTGTTTAGGAGAAGTTGGCCTTGCTTTTAGAGGTCCATTTTGGCTTTGCTATTAAGGGCTTCTGAATTTTGTTCTTAAGTTTTTAAAGACTTCTCAACTTTTAAAGAAAAAGTAGTTACAAGGGTATAGTGTAAATGTTGTGATGCCAGGATTAATACTGAAATTTCCGTTCAAGTGCTGGAAAAACATGGTTTTCTTGTAAGAGATACGTTAGCTTGATAAAAGCTGTCTGGATTCCGTGCAGCAACCATCTGCCAGCTACACAGTCTATTTCACAATTAGATTTCCATACTACTGATGGGTAAATGTGAGGGAGAGATTGACCTGGTTTGCATGACACAGTTCTTTATCTCATGATGAGCTGTCTCACCCATAAGCATCAATTTGTATATCCATCCCCTGCTTGGATATTATCATATTGTGAAAACTTGGCAAATGTGGGTTATGTGAGGGTGAAACAGCTCTCACATAACCCATGTGCATCAGGTTCACATGACATGACAACGTCAAACTGAGAACTGGTTATGGAAAATGGCAGCAACAAACACTGTCCATTGTGCAGTTACACTGGGTGTCATTTCCTTAAGCTCCCTCATTTAGAAAACTGGGTATGCATTAGATCACTAAGTAGCAGTGGAGCAATTAGACAGAGGACAAGGTAGGAATGAAACCTTACCAGGAGTACTAATCCTAACCTTTGCAAAAAAATATATTGGAGATTGAATTATTTCTATTTTTATTTTATTGTATTAATCTGTTCTAAACCATCCTGAGACATCTGTGATAGGACAGTATACAAAATACATGAATAAATAACCCTTTTCTGCTTTCTTTTTCCAAGCCAGCAAGAGCTGAGAGCTCAGCATGTGTATTGCTCTCTTAGTGCTGGGTACTCTTTGTGGCTGAGAGCAGTTTGCAGGTGCAAGGCAGAAGTTATGCTGAAGTGAAGCAAGCATCCTATGGCTTGCCTACCTTTGGTATGCCAAATTCAGCCCTCCCACCCCAAGAGCCTTTCAGCTGCAAGAGGAACTGCTGCCTGGCAACTAAAGAGAAAATTGGTCTTGGAGAGCACACTAATCCAGTTTGCAGTCCCCATCTGGATCCTTTGAGCTACAAACAGAATGCCCCTTCACATTTTAAAAAACCATCAAGTCAGGGTAGCACTGGCAGACATAGAAAGTAAAGTTGGGAGAGGCCCATAAGGACATCAGATCCAGTTCTCTACTCAGTACAGGCCTCCAAGGGGGACGGCAGGCATGTTCTGAGGCCAATTCTTCCCCTCTTCCTTTAACACCCTTCCATTGTGTGCTTTATCAGTTTACTGTATATATAAGCATCTTGATTTTCTGCTATGTAAGAATACTCCTCTAGTCCCCTCTCCCTTCACACAGGAGTCATTGTCAGCCGAATATAATCTAATGTCTGTTGAAGTATTAAATTGTGGTTGGTTTTTTCATTGCACTATAGGAATCTGAAGTAACAAGATTACAAACTAGAATTGCAGGTCATGAAAGAACACAAGGTATCAAGCAACTATCAGGCCCACCAAACCTGTCTACGTGTCAGTGGCTTGATCAAGAACTGGACTTTGCCAAGAATTCTCAGATTTCCTGCTCAGCTCCCAGAAAGTTGGGTCGCTCTACAAGCAACAACAATTTGAATGTTAAAGATAATGGGAAAGTATTCGATCAGAACAAGATATTTACATTAGAGTCGTCAGTGATTTCTGGGAAACTAAAAGGCTTAACTCATGCTTCACCAAAAAACCCGAATGAATCTTCTTTTGATCCTTTGACACACATTGTAGATGAAGATTCAACTTGTGACAGTGATGATTTCCACACTCTTAGTGGTATGTTAAAATATATCAACAGAGAGGTGAAGAATTCTGAAAGTTCTTCCTCATGATTTTCAACTGCTGCAGAGGAAAATCAAGTATGTACTTCTCTACTATAGTGCAAGAATTGCATTGGTTGCCAGTTTCTTTCTGGGCTCAGTTCAAAATGTTTCCTTTAAACTTTTAAAGTCCCAAATGGATTAGGACCTAGCTATCTAAGGACCCACCTGTCTCCTTAAGAACCTGTCATATTACTAGGATTTGTAGGAGAGGCCCTGCTGAGGGTGCCATTACCCATTTGTCAGGGTTGTTCTGTCCTAAACTGTGGAATTCACTCTATGAAGAATTACACTTGGCTTTAAGAAAGCATGTGAAGACATGTATCTCTAACAGCCTTTTAAACTATTCTTAATTTGTTGTGCACAGTCTTGATAAGTTTTTAGCAAAGAGCAATTTATAATATTATTATTACTACAAATAACAATAACAGGAATACATCACAATGAAAAGCTTTGAAATAACTATATTTTGGGGAAGGCTCTGCCAGTGAGGAATTGCCATGCAAAATATCTTGGGGACACCTGTTTGCTCTCCTTGCTGTAACTGAAGAATAAATTCAATTGAGAAAATTAATTACTAATCATCTGCTGATTTATATTGACCATGAAGCTATCTTACTGGTATCCAGAGGTGGTAGCTTGTTGCTGTGTCCAGCAGTTCAAAATGCAAATGGCCCGCCCTCACTGCCATTTCTTCCACTTGCACAGTTAGCAATGCTGGTATAGGACTCAATGGTCCTATTGAATGCCAAACCATCGAAGAGATGCAAAAGGTGATGGATGCAAACTCAGTCAAAGTAAAAAAAATGATCTTATGCTTGCTAACTCAGAGTAAGTTCCAGTGTGTTCAGTAGAACTTGCTTCCATGTAAATGTGCATAGGATTGTGGCCTAAATGTGAAATGGGCCACATTTTAATAGATTATATTCTATATTATATATCCACTCATAAGAGGAGATTTACTGTGGCTTCTCTAATCCAGTTGCAGCAATTTCAAGGGTCCTTAGACATGCCTATGGTGTGCTTTGGCCTCCTGCACCCAGGGAAGAATTGCTGCAGGGTAGAATTGCAGATCTTATCCTTTGAACACTTCCTGTTGTCAGGATGATTTCATGTTAAGCGTTTCAAAACTAACTGTAGGATTTGAGGTTCTGTCATGTTCTAAGAAAAATATCAAGGAGGAAAACATTACACGTCCAGTAATACACTTTAAATCATTTGAGTGAGTCTCATTACAGGCTTTAACGGACAAATGTGTCTATTTCAGGAACAATGGTTGTGAAGAAACAGCGTGTTGGCAAGAAATAAACAGCAGATGGATCTCTTGGCACACCCTCATGCTTATGGGGACATTTTATAGAAAGCATTTACAGAGTTATTTAAATCTCTGCTTACTTTTTAATTCTATTTTTATGATTATTGCTTTTAAATGATTTGTACAGTAATGCTACTATTTTGTTACATTGACTCTTAAAGAGAAAGCAAAAGCTAGAGTTTTTAGAAATTGTCCTGATCCTTTGATATTTCAGCTAAATATATTACTGAATTAATAAACAAATAAGGCAAGTTGTGTTGTTCATTTTCACCACTGTAACCAAATTCATGACTCAGTAGCACATGGGATGATAAGCGTGCATGTGTATAATGTAGAGTTAAGTCTTGCATGTCTCAAGGACTCTGAAAAGAGGGATTACGCTCTGTGCCACACATACAGATACGAGCACTGCTACCCCTCTGTCCCTTCAGATCAGTGTCATTGGCTGGACTATCAAATATGCAAGACAGATCTTTCTCTCATCTTCTCAGGTGCTTGTCTCTTCCCAAGATAACTGCATAGGAACCATTCACATATATTCAAAAAAAGTAATAGAATGTACTTGGGGATTCCACTGGGAGGACGCTAAATCTGCTTGTGGTGATCCAGCCATTGTGCATCAGATTTGCTTCCACCTGTTACCATTTGGCCTAGGTTCTGATTCTTGGTTGTACTAACTGTGGGTAGATTATGAGAGACTGGGAACAGAACACTGGGTAGCAATTTTCAAGAAGCAGAGTGAGTATTTAACAGACATAATGGTTTGGTTTCTGTGATCCTCATAGCTTGCAGTCGAGGGTCTTGGTGTCACCCCCTAAAGCATTTGTGTATTTTGAAACATGCAGTACCCTTGAAATTGTATGCATATTGGATTCAACTTCAATAAGGAGCAAGCTGAAGGAGCAGCTTTCAGCTAAGCATGGTAATAGGTTTAACTGGGGCCCTGGGCAAGGGATCCTCCAGTGAGCTGTGCTAAGAAGGTTAGCGCTCTCCCTTCCTGGTAGTGCTGTAAAGAGGAGGAGTAGCTGAGGCAACTGGACCATCTTAAAGAGGAAAATGTGTTTAAAAGGTTGCTGCTTTCAGCTGTGCTGGGTTCTGCCCTTACCACATCTTCCTGGGTGTTCATCCGAAGCCTGTTTGCAGCCAGTGCTGGCTCCTGGTTTCTTTGGCAAGACATTCTCAATAAGCTCCCTTCCTAGTGAGACTACCTGCTCACTGCCATTGCCCCTAACTGCTTTTGCTCCCCCCGCATTTCTCATCACTACTACCACTTGCTTGAAAGGCCAAGAGCCAAAGAACAAGCAGGCAGTGGCATCCACACCATCACCACCGCCATTGCCCGGGCCAGAGTGAGAAGCAGGGGAACAAGCCGGTTGCAACGGTGAAATGGAGGAGCAAGTCCACAGGACGCTTGTCTGTGTAGCCCTGCCAAGATGCAGATGCAGCAGGATCCCTTCCTTGCCCACCCTGCTTTCAGTTTATTCCCACTGGAAGTTAATTTAAAATCAATTTAAATAAGGTATTCCTTGAGTACTTGGATTGCAACAACAAGAGTTTACTCACTTTAAAGCCATTCAGGATCCCCTTCTTTCCCAGCTCCACTCCCATATTTGATGCTGGTGCAGAAGTATGGAGCAGTCCGATGTCCTTCCTGTTAGTGAAGTCGGGTGGGGATGGAGTGAGTGCGCCCAATGCAATCTAATATTTTGTATCATAATAACAAAAATATCAGTGCATGTTCAGTCAGAAAGATAATGCACACTCTTTTCAAGTACTAGTTGTAAATATATGAACTGGAGTAAAATTTAACAAAACTTGCAAACTTCTGTTACTATGTTGCAGTGTCAAAGCCAGTTCTTCAAGCAAGAAAGTTCCTGTGGTGGTATTTTAAAATGGCCTTGTGAGTAGTACTAAATAAATTGTTTTAACAAATAGACACCATTACATTCTGCAAGGGAAACTAACTTGCTGTTTTAGCACATACACCAGTAATGATGTGTTTTTTTTTTCCAACAATGTTTTAACAAGCTGAACATTGTTACTAAAATAACTTTCTCCCTGTTGCATGCGCCTAAATTTGGATCCAAACCTGTGAATAATTGGCTCTTAAGAGATCTTTAGCAAGTATAGAATACTGCACTAACTAAAGCTTTATATTTTTCCAACGTTTGTTATCAGGCTGAAAGCTAATGCTCTTCTAATTTACATAGGTGGGGGAGGAGGTGCAGTTGACAAGTTGATCTTTGTAGGCACCATACTGCAGTCCTTTCTGCTGTGTCTACAACCCAGATCCTGACTATTAGCCGTGTGAGTTAGTGATCATGGAAATTATAGCCCAAAACATCTGAGAATACAAGATTAGGAACCACTACCAGACCAACAAGAGTGACCATTCAGATAGCTCTAGAAATTCATAAGCAAGGCATGAAATGTTGGCCATCTGCTGTTGTTTTTCCCTAGCATTTATTTGGAACCCAGTGGTGTACTGCCTTTATATATTTTGGTTCAATTTAGCAATCGTGGTTAAATCATCCTCTAAATGTTTGTCTAATGTTTGAAAAAGCAAGAGGTGACCACCACTTTTTCTACTGTTGAATTCCAGGAGCGTCCTGAGTGAAGCAATGGTTCTTTTTGTCTGTTTTTATCATAATGCAAATAAACTTTATTGGGTTAACCAGGTGTATAAGAAAGAGATTAAAATGTGTCTCTGTTCACCCTATTCATAACTGTCATAAGCTGCTATCCTATTCTCCATTCCTCAGCCGTCCCTTATTCATGGCAGCATTTCAGTTTGTCCTGATGTTCAAAAATTGAATTTGAAAACTGATGGAATTTTGAAGCTTCCCTACAATGCATCATTGATTCAGATTATGTAACCTTAGTAAATAAGCATCTGTTTTTGTTTGCCACTCATATAAAGAGATTATCAGCTTAGCTCTGTAATGTCCAGATATGCATCTTTAGATTTGCTGACTCCTTAAAAATCTGGGGATAAAAGCATTCAAGGTTGATAATGTTAAGCACTTGTCTAAAGCTACTTCCACAGGCAATCTGAAGAGGTCTTGCCAGTTTGTCTGTCACCATCTGTAATGGCTCAAAAAACAGTGCTTGTCACAGGTTGTTCCTCAGGAATTGGACTGGCATTGGCTGTCAAAATGGCCACAGATGAACAGAAAAGATTCAAAGGTAATACCTATGTTTCCAAATGTTGCAGGTTGCCTTGCTGGCTGGGGACGGTGGGGGGGATGAAGTCAGGGGGGCTATAGGATGTCATGTTTTGAAGGCTGAACTAGAGATGACGTCTACAGATGATGGAAATTTTACATTTGCATGACTTGGAAGTACTTCAAGCTACTTTCAGCTACTTTCCTACCCGAAGAAAATTACAGGCAGAGTTTGAGATCTTGCAGGGACATTGCTGGCAAATGTAACATGACCGTAACAGTATTCTAAATATGATCCTTTCAAAAGGAGATATCCAGAATAATTTTTTTCAAAGCTAAGAACCCAAATTCTATCCACACTGATCAGATCTGTCAAATCTAGGTATTATGGTGTGGGTGGCTTAGGAGGAACACAGTAACGGCACAGTCCTATGGTGATGGCTCTAAGCTCTGGGCTCGGAGACTTCTGGTGAACCAGTGCATAGTACGTAGGAGGGCAGGAGCAGAGGTGACCTCCACCTCCCTGATCTTGCACCCTACATGGGCTTTTTTGACTCTCTGGTGGGAGTGGTTTAGAGGGAGAAAAGGACTTGGGGAAGGCATCGGGGGAGCACATCCTGGCCTTTCCCAGTGCTCTCCATTCCCTATCCACCAAAACATTCCTTTTCTCCTCTCCAAATTCACTTTCCCAGCTGTGGAGAGCAGCGGGCATGGTTCTTTACACGTTGGCTGCATGGGGGAGAAGGAGCAGAGCTCCAATTCCTAACTCCAAGGTCAGTGAGTGGTGCAGCTGGCTGATTCTCACCTTTCCCACTCACAAGGGTCTTCCATCCCCCCCCCCGGGGGGGCGACAGAATGGAAATCAGGTAAGCAGTGCTGCTTCTTTCCCTGTGCCAACCAGCTGATCACCTGCTCCTAGCCCAAAGAGCAGGGATGCTTCCAACAGCTGTACGAAATGGCAACCATAAGTAGAACTCTCTGACTAGCTGCTTGGCAAAAGTGGCCGTGGATGGTTCATGCTAAGAGGCTCCCTGAATCTGTCCTTGGTACCATGATGAGTTTTGTTTTCTGAGTTTAGATGACATAATGCATCATCATATACTAAGGGATCATAGAACAGACCACTGTTTTCTGCCGTGATTTCTAAAAATCGTATGTACCACTGTGAAATACCACAATGGGTTTTGAATGACACAACAGGCCAGTAATGGTTAACACACACACATGCGCGCGCGCGCGCGGTTTATCATGTTGTACAAAGCTGCCCATTGTGTCTCTCTGGTGCTTCATAATAAGTACACCTCCATACAAAGGCAAGCTCTAGGCACCACTAAGTAATTTAAATCCAACCAAATTAGGGCACAATCCTGTGTGTCTTCAGACAAAGAAAGTTTTCCAGTTCCTGGTATGAATGCCTACATGCAGTAGATCATGTCTTTCCTCTTTTTCTTTTCCATATAATCATAAAAGAGTTGGGTCATTGTGTGCAACCCCCTTCTCAGTGATGGCCTCCAAGTTAAAACATGTCTAGCAGAAGACTGTTCAGCTGCATGTTGAATATACTTGGCTTAACTGTAGTATTTCGTAGCATACCTTAAGTAAAAGCAGTGTTTTGAATGAATGAATGAATGATTTTCTTGTTGTGGAATACTTATTCAATCAACTTGGGGATGCTTAGCATCTCTTAAGCTGAGTGCTAAAAAGTGGATCTTAAACAGTACGAGCATTTTAAGGCACAATCCTATGCAAATTTAGACAGAAAAACGGTCTACAGCTCCCAGCAGAACAGCTGCTTCACATAAAAACCTTTCAGTATGTTGACTCCAGAATATAAAAGTTTCATAAATGATAATCAGCACCCTAAACAACAGCAATAGAGAGTCAGCTGCTGAAATACCCTTCTTGGGAATACTAAAGGAATGTGCTAGTATTCTGTAATTGACGCACATACTCTTTTATCAGTGGAAGTTGGCCCATAAATGGTTTTCAAGCCTTTTTAGCCACTTGCCAGGAACAAGTAACCTTTTTATCAAGCAAGCCATTTGTTACATTCCACCACTCAAAACATCCTTATTATGACCATATATAAGCTTTTAGGCTGACAAATATTACACACATCTGTCAGAAAGACTTGCATCTCTTCAGACTTCATGGTTTCATGAACTAAAATGTCATTAGGAGAAATGGAGTATAGTGGGCAGCTCCAGAAATATATTGCTGTTTTGACTATGAATCCAGGAAAAGCTTGATGGAAAACCATTTTCTAGTTTGACAGCTGCTTAAAGGCACAATTATGTGCAGGTCTGGAGGAAAATGGCCCACAATGCTCAACTTTGCTGACTGAGGCATTGTGGGCCTTTTTCTGTCAAAATGGTTATAGGAATGAAGGCTTAGTAAATTAAAACTGCTTATCCTTACTTACTGGTATTTACAGAACGTCAGACTATTTTGACAAAATAGATAAAATGACCTCTAAGCTTCAGTCCTCTGGTTGCACTGACAGAAGAATTTAAATTAATTTCACATATGTTGTAAATTTTGATTTTCTGATCAAAACCAGTTCAGTCTTTGGTTTCACTGGACTGTTGTCATACAATTGTGTGTGTGTGCTTCATCTATGGCCTCTCTAAGTTTGAACGTTGAATACGTATCACTTTAGAGAGAGGATATGCATCCAAATGTTTTGGGCTACAACTCCTGTCTGCCCCAGTCAATATAGTCCAATATGGGTGTTGTAATCTAGGATATATGGAGGGTAGCATGTTGTCGATCCTTGCCTTAAAGTATGGTCATGAATGCTGTAGTAATTGGTGTTCTCATTTTACTAATTATCAAATGAAGGCCTGCTGACAATGGTTTGTGGTTACTCATTTTACAGTGTATGCTACAATGCGGAACCTGGCCAAAAAGGACAACCTTATAGAAGCTGCAGGTGGCACTCTTGGGAACACCTTGGAGGTTAAACAATTGGATGTCTGCAGTGAAGAATCTATTAGAATGTGTATCAGTAGCATCCCCGATAGGAGGATTGATATCCTAGGCAAGTAATTGATACAGACAGAAGCTAGATTGCATGCATGTCTTTTAAAGTTCATTTTAAAATTAAGTAGTATTTAATAACTATTAAGTAGATAGGTATCTAGAAGAGATTCCAGAAATCTACATTTTCTGCAACAGTGCCTTATATGCAAATGTATTTCTAAATACAACAGTAAATCTGCACCAATCGCTTCAGCTCAATGCTACTAAATGCCCTAATCTGTACTAGGGCAACAGCAGGCAATTTGTGGCCCTCTGAATGTTTTAGCCTGTAACTCAGCCTTGCCATTGGTTATGCTGGCTGGGGCTGATGCGAGTGGGAAGGCAGCATATCAGGAGGGCCACAAATTGCTCACACCTGCCATAGGGATGCACGCATATTGTAACCCAATGATGCAAGCTGTGGTCAAAAAACAAAACCCTGTTGGGGGCAAGTAATTTAAAATGTATGACATGATGATGGAAAAACCATCTTCTTCCAGCCAGTTCCAGTGTTGGGGGAAGAAGCACCTCAGTTTCTTCTTCCATTCTTTATCTTCTGCTCCAAACGTGCATAGAAGCTAGCAAGATCAGAACCTCACCACAACTAGTTAGAATATGTTTCCACCCTCTCATGGATGGCGCCATTCGCTCCTATGCCTGAAGCTGGCCATGGCATCACAGCCAGACCTTCAAACCACCTGCCCACAGACTCTGGCTTCACAGGCTTAGGAAGAGGGCTCTCTGAGCTTAAAACTTCTCTCACCATACCGCACAACAGTAGAAAGCGCTGTAGCATGTATGCATTGCATCTCTTTCCTGCATGTAGACAGAAATATTCCATGTTCCCAGATAGGACCAGATTCTAACCTAAGGGCAAGCAACGCAGTGTCCTCCAGATATTTTAGACTACAAATCCCATAAACCCCAACCAATAGCAAGGATTATTTTTATTTATGGAAAGTATTTCTTTACCTCCTCGGTGAAACCAACTACCACAGTGTCCACACGCACAAACTCAGATAAAACACAAGCTATAAAAACCACATCAAAACTCATAAAGACCATTTCCAAAGCCAAATTAAAAAGGGGTGTGTTGACTCCCATCCTGAATGAACAGAGACCGGGCACTAGTCGCAACTCTGAAGGTAGTCCCAGACCCAGAGTTTGGAAGCAACATAGGAAAGAGGGCCTTTTCCCGCACCCCTGACAAGTGGACCACTGGCAATGGGATATCTGCAGATCTTAATAACTGAGCAAGTCTCTACCAAGAGAGAAATTGTCATCCAAAACATCTGGAGGACATGGTTTGCTCTACTTGCTGTAACTGAAGAATAAATTCAATTAAATCCAAATTCAATTCAGTTACTAATCATCTGTTGATTTATATTGACTATGATGATACCTTGATGGTATCCATTGCTGGTAGCTTGTTGCTGTGTCCAGTAGTTCAAAATGTGAATGATCCACCCTATCATTTCTCCCATTTATACAGTTAGCAATGCTGGTATAGGACTCATTGGACCCATTGAATGCCAAACCATTGAAGAGATGCAAAAGGTGATGGATACAAACTTCTTTGGGCTGGTCCGACTGCTGAAGGAGGTTTTGCCTGACATGAAGAAGAGGAAGAGTGGCCATATCGTCATTATTAGCAGTGTCATGGGAATCCAAGGCAAAGTGATATCTAACATATAACTGCTTATTGCACTGTGTTTGTAGTTCAAAGGGCCATCTGCCCCTACAATTTGATCCGTTTTTAGTGGTATAATTTCCCTTGGCAACAACCTTTACTGTGACATCCATGTTGACTCAGAATTAATTATCTCAGCTGAATGCTAATCCTAAAACATTCAGCACTTGTTACTTGTGCTCCTGATTTAGTAGAAAGTGAATGTTGTCTGTTTTCCCTAATTTCCTTCCTTTTTTATTCAAGAAAAAGGATTGTGGGATTTCCATTAGCTTGTGTGTGCATTTTAGGCAAAGGAGAACAGTAGTTCAGTGCTGTGAGCCACTGAGGTGGAATTTGCACCTAACTATGTTGGATCAAGAACAAAGTCGGCCTTGTCAACCCAGTATAATTATTTGTGGCATTGTGACCCAGGAGACCGTGTCAATGTAAAAATGTTACAGCATGTGGTAACAACAAATGGCACTGGACTGGGCCAAAGATTTATGGTGAGACAGTGGCAAAACTGTTGCATTTTTTTTCTGACCAGAATTGAAAGGAGGATAAAATGTATGTCCATGTCCCCAGTTTTGTGAATGTGAACCCCGAGGGACGCAAGCACTCTCTCCAACACCTTTCTCCTCTCTTAAAAGCTTGTGTTTGTGTCCCACTCCCCACTTTATGGATCTGGCATGTCACATAACTAGAGTTAAAAAGCATTTTATGGCCAGCAAAACAGACCTATCAAACCAGGTACACGAACCTCAGTTAACTGTGCTTTCCACCATATCTATTAGTTAGAGGACAGAGACACCCATTAAGGAAATATGCAATTTTATGTTTCATCCAATATTAATCTAGCTTGTGTTCATTTTAATGGGTTTAATCCAAGTAGGATCAACATTGTATAGAACAATTCATAGTGGCCTACAGATGAAATGCAAGGATGCAGTTAGTATTGGGAAGGAAAAGTGGAGTTGCAGGCAAAAATCAAAAATTTCAAGCAAAACAATGAACTGGTTCACACATAATGGCAGGGAAGTACAGGTTTATTAATTAAATAGTTGCCAGGTTGCATGCCATGCATCTATTAAGGTGCAGTCTCCAATTAATCCAGTCCTAGGTTGCTCCATGACATGCAAACATGGACATCATGGATTATGCAGGGGTTAAGCACTAATTGTACCCCTGGTGTCTGGGTTCACATGTTAGACAATATACAGTCAGCCCAGTGCATCCCAGCAAATCACGGGTTAGTTAACTCATGATTTGCTGTCATTATGCATGAAAGGGCCCAGACTGTGTTTGGACACCACATCATTATAGAAGCTAAGCAATGATGTAACATGATATGATCAAGACTAGCCTCCTCCCTGTCTTACTCATAATCCTTGCCTCTCCCTTGTCCTACGTATCTGATAGGAAGAGTTTAGAAACTTCAGGTTTTAGTCAACCATACCTTCCAAACTAGGAAATGGAATCATCTGAATCAGGAATGCTTGTTAAATTAACTATGGTTTATTTAAATTTAACTATGGTTAATTTATGGTTAAATTAACTATGGTTAATTTTCACAAGCCAGCCTCTGAAATCATGGTTTAATAGTATTTTGTTTGAAGCTAACAGTAGTTCATTTTAACAGTATTTTTTACCCCATATGAAATGACATACTGGGTAAAAAATGCAGAAACATCTCAACTCCTCCAGACCATGTGGGAAGAGAAAGGAGTGATTCACAATGTTGAATTAAATACATTGGAAAGGGGATATTTAAAACTCTGTAGGCCTACAATTATGTTGAACTGACTATATATATGTTAGATGGGAAACTTTTTCCTGATGCTTTCATTGGTGTAAATTCAGGAAACCTAGATATATTAAGGTTAACAAGTGACCAGTATTTCTTCTTTTTTGCATAGGCATTTTGTTCAATGATGTTTATGCAGCATCTAAATTTGCAGTGGAAGGATTCTGTGAAAGTTTAGCCATACAAGCACTCAAATTTAAACTTCAGTAAGTATCACTCTGTCTCAGGTACGGTTTTAAAAGTTGCTAGATATGGGAACAACTTGTTTCTGTGATAGCAGCCAAACAGCAGATTGAACAAATATTAGCTACACAGTCACAAAAGGACAATTTGAACTTCCCCTTACAAAAGGTTTCTTGCTTTCTCTAGAAAACAAAGGAAAGGATCAGGTAATAAAACTCTGGTGTACAGTGTAATATCTGTAACAACCTCCCCCAACCTGGTGCCCTCAAGATTACAATTTCAGCTGGTTGGGGATGATGGTCATTTAGCACAGCTAGAGGATGCCAGATTGGTGAAAGCTGATTCATTGTAATGAGAAAATCCAGTGACTAATGTGTGGGGGAAATGTGCTTTGTTTAGACATGCACAGCATGTGGAAACACAAATAACCCATCTCAATTACGATCATGCTGACAATTTTGACATGTTATACATGCCTCTGATCATACTTTTGTGTGACATCAAATCTTGTCCTGAATTAACCCCTCTTAAGAACTTAATCTGGTTATTTAATTCTCAGGTTTTTAACAATAGCAGTAACAAAACGACCCCACTGCCCTAAATTTATATGGTGAAAAAAAGGAGTAGTTTTTATATGGATGGACTAGGAACTCCACTCTGTTCTGATAGTGAAAACAAATCCCTCAGCTCAAAGTTAATGCCACACATATTTTTTTACACCAGACTCCTGAGGGTGAATCTTAATGCTCTATTAAAAGTGATTGCACAATTCTGAGGTCTGTCCACCCCAGAATAAATGATCAAACTGAGCACTATTACTTTCTTCTTGGCCTGTTTATGCAGAATTACCCCACTGTGAAAGATAGTTACCTATCCAACTTCTATGCATCCCAAATATAACATATGTTTTCTTTCTTTCTCCACAAAAACAGTCTAACTCTGGTAGAACCAGGTCCAGTTGTAACAGAGTTTGAAAAGAAGGTTTTTGAGGATGGAATGAAAATGGATCTTTCTGCCGCAGATGAGGAAACAGCCGACATGTTTGTAAATATTTACCTGAAAAATTACAAGCAGATTTTCCAGACACTGGGACAAGCTGCTGAGGATATAGCTGAGGTAATATGTTGAAGGCTATTGTGTAATTTAAGGGTGCGCTGTACACTGTTACTGCACCAGGAATGAGACAGAACAGCTTGCTCAGCCTGTGAGCCATGGAGTAACTGCCGCTCCAACATGGCCGGGGTTTTCTGGGACTCAGCTGCCCATGGTGAGAACTTGGTGTGTTTAGCTTCTGAGATATGATAACACTCTACATGTACTTAAAAGGCTGTCACAAAAAGGAAGGACAGGATCCCTTCTCAATTGTGCCAGAGTGCAGGACATGAAATAATAGGCTTAAATTAGAGAGCCAGATTATCAGGAAAAAATCTGTTAGAGCAGTACAATGCAACCAGTTTTCCTGCCAGGTTGTTGACTTTACCACACTAGAGGCATTCAGGATGCAACTGGGCAGCCATCTCAGAGGGATGGTTTAACTTGGAAGTCCTGCACTTAGCAGGCGTTGGACCCAATGCCCTCTCACTCCTACCTCCTCTACTATTCTGTGCTTCTATGCTGACATGGTGAGGGCAGTGACTGTGCAGTGGACCTTGCCTCTTTTCTTTGGACCAAGACCTAAGAATGCAATAGCTTCTTCCTTGTAACAGTGTGATCATTCATTTAAAATTGCATTCTTCTCTGACTTTTCAGTTATGTGCAGCTAAAGAAATCCCATTTTTTATTGGCCTAACCGGTGAAACTGCAATCCAGTTAAAGTTAGAAAGCTGATACGCATGTCTAAAAAGACCAGTATTCATAAGAAGCTGGTCATTTGAGGAATAACATTTTATACAGCAAGCACCTAGCCAGTTTTCCACATGTAACCAGGCAATGGACCAAAAATCATTGGTGTCTCTTATGAGTTCACAATAGGACTGAAGAGCTCCAGGATACTTTAAAGCAGGGAAGAGCTAAAAGCAGATCTTCAGACATTCTAGGCTTTAGCTCCCAGCATTCCTCATCATTGGTCATGTAGGTTGGGGATTGTGGAAGCTAAACTTCAAAACATCTGGAGAGCTCTTTTCTGCCTTCTTACTCTGAAGCAGTGGTTGCTGGATGGGATTTATAGGTGTGCTTATAGAGAACACATATATGGTGGCCACAAGAATGGCCTTCACCAACTGTTACACTGCTGAACTCCATGCTCCTGTCCAAAAAGATTTGTTGGGCTCAGGAGAAAGTAAAGTTTTCCTTCTCTGAATCCTTTTTTCCCGGTACCTTCAGCAACTAAGATATGTTCCTTGCCATAGCTGCTGCTGCTGCCGTTAGCAACACCACCATGCCACTTTTCGTTCTTTTATTGCCACTACAACAACGTTGTTACATATCTTGAATTCAGTCCCTGAAGTTCTTATCTTGCTACCAGGAAGTTCAGAATTCTACAGTGATAAATTGTAGATAAGCCAAACATGCACACACTTGAATTGATTATTTTAAAGTGGCTGGCACTGTTCTCTTTTTAGCATGTTGCTATTATTTAATAGTAACATAAAATGTTATTTACTTAATGTGGGGTGTTGGGTAGATATTTTATGAATGGCACCCATTCAGATACTCATGCGCTGGGTTAAGACAGCATAATAACCTGCACTGAAACAGTGGAGTATGGGTTGTTACCAAACCATGAGTGGTTGCTGAAACATGGGTAATCATGTTTTTCTGAACCCTGTCATGCTAACAAATCATGGTTTGTTAACTACTAATAACCTATGGATTGTTGTTGGGTGGCAAACTATGTTATTCATGGTTAACAAACCATGGTTTGTTAGCACAGCTGGGTTTAGACAACCTGATAACCCATGTTATATTGTTAATTTCTCTGGTAAACACCAATTAAACATGTCATTGTTGGAACAGCTTAAGTAAGCCAAAATGCAAAAAAGGGTTAAGGCATTGATTATATTTCCTGAAGATATTTCCTCTTGTATGCTCTTGCCCTACTCTCAAATTTATTGATAGACCTTTATACTTAATCTGATGTGATTCTATAATGCTCATTGGTATTACTGGCTGACACAACTTATATCTAATTCTCATTTTTCATTCTAACAGCATACAATAAAGATAATTCTGGCAGAAAACCCCCCTTTTCGACACCAGACCAATTCTTTATATGCTCCAATTACAACACTGAAGTATGCTGACCCCAGTGGAGACCTGCCTATTGATACTTTCTATAAAATGGTTTTTCAGCACAATAAGATTTTCAATGCTAGTCTCAACTTTATTAAATTGTTGAGATGGAGAAGCAGAAAAAGCCTTGATTTAGGGGAAAGCTCCTTCCAATGAAGGACGCCAGTGGGCTGTTTCAGATGTTGCACACTCCCTGTGTGGAAGGACTGTGCAGAGAAACAAAACCTATGAAATGGCCCTGACTGAACCTCTATTTCAGAACATATTTCTAGATAATCCACCTCAACCCCATTTAGTCTGATGGCTCCTCTCATGAACATAAATATGTATCCCTGACAACCTACATAATGTTTCAAGTAAACACTTTTATTCATTTGCTAGTAGGATTATGAGCCCTACACCTATATTTAATGACAGCTTTTTCAGCAGCAGGACTCTAGAAATGCACACAGTAGGTCTTGTGAGGCCCTTTGGATGCTAGTATGTATCTTTCACTTACTCAATATGACTCTTACAAGTAACACCACAGGTCACTGGTCTACTTCCAGGGTAAGTAACTCAGTACACTCTAGATGTTTTTGACTCCAACTCCCATAAACCCCAGTGATCAGCCAGCAGTCAGGGATTATGGTAATCACAGTCCAAAACTTCTGGAGGACACCAGATTGCCCACCTCATGCCTGACTCCAACATATCATCAAGTTAAGTCACACATTCTCATCTGATATACAGAGCTATCCCAAATATTACCTACCCCCATTGTTTTCATGTATTTACTATATGTACCTTGAGGGCAGCAAAAAGGAAGAGTTCTATTTCTGAAAAGCTTTCTTTGAGGAGGGGGCACATTCCATTGGCAAAAATAAGGGTTAAAAGAACCAGCATATTTAGCTTCAAAGCTGTCAGTAATTAAGTACTGGGAGAGCCATTTCAGCCTTCTCTGGTAGAGGAAAATAATCAAACATCAGTGTATGGGAGGAACTGCACAGGGCCAGATGTAGCTTCCAGTCCTGAGTTTATTGAATTTATTTCTCTTCAATTGTAAGGGAACATGCAGTATTTGAACACAGCAATTTAAAAGGTAAATGTCACATATACAGGGTCCAGCAAATACAGGTCAGCCTTTCAAGTATAAGCAGTTTTTCTGTGAACACACAGATATGACAATGATAGACTGGGAAGCACTCTTCCAGAGGATGCAGAAATTCTGAAATTCTTCTCTGAATTATCCATGAACCAATTTTTCATTAAAAGATTATACAATATTACAAACTGATATGGGGGGAATACATGCTACGAGGTTTATGTATCTCAAGTATACAATATGAAAAAGCAGGGCTATTAATCCAAGTAAGGCCTCTTCCACACATGGGATCCTTCAAAACATTACAGTATAGGGGTTGCTACATGTCTTTGTGAAATAGTTCATTCTGTCCTGTCCCTTTCCCATGGCACTAGCATCCCCCACCTGCTACTACACATTCTTACTGTGGTTGCTTGGGGAAAATCTTTATAATCATTAGCATGGAGATATTCACAAACAGCCTGCCACATGAATGCAAACACACTGTAGCATTTTGAGTGGCAATACCACTTTTATTGTTAAAACATTTGACATGAACTCTTTTGTGTAAAATAGCTTACTCCATGCTGTAGGGCAAAGCAAATGACTGTACAGAAAATGATGCCAGAATAGAATTTTAAATGCTACAAGCCTGAATTGTTCAGGAAAAAGCATGAATTAACAGTGTTAACATAAAATCTTTGACTTCTTGTTGTTCCTGCAGCTTGAGTAGACTGTAATTCTCTGTAATTTAAAGCATGTAACTGAACTGTTAAAACAACAAATAAAGGATACAATTTGCCTAATGACTTAATTTTAGTTTTGATAACAGTAATGTTCACATGCCTTACTTCTGTAAAAGATGTCTGGCACTAGTTATGTACCTTTTGAATTTAAAAGTATTTTTATAGAGAGATACAAGGAAGGAAACACAAGGCAGTAAAAATATTTCATTGTAACATCAATTACAATGAAACACCAACAATTTGTAGCTCCTTTCTTTCAAATGCTCAGGGTGAGGTTTTATTTCTTCTCCATTCTCCAGTTTATCCTGCTAACAATGCTGTGTGAGATGGTTTTGGTGAGTGACACATTCCCTTGGGGTACTTTATGGCTTTTGATATATGCTAAAGTCTCATTCACCTTTACTTGAGAATAAATTCCACTGAACAGACTGCATTTAGCTCTCGCTTTTCTAAGCCTGAAGCAAAACCAATCCAGGTCAAGTTTTTGTATCTGCCCACATCTTTATTTTAAACTTTTTATCTCGCTCCTCAGCCACAAAAGGCTCCCGGGTACAGCTTACAAGCAATAAGCAAAAAAGCTAACTCCTGCCCGCAAGCTTACAGTCTAAAATGAGAAGACACACAAAGAAGAAATGGGGAGAGAAGAGGGAAGCATATATTTCCACAGTGCAGGAAAGCGCCTTTCATAGTGAAATCTTAAGATCCACCGGCCGAATGTCTGCCTATGCCAAAGCTGAAGCACAGGCAATCAGCTGGAATGGAGAGTATCTGTCGGCTCCCGACCGAACGCGGTTCGGGGCTAGATAGACATGCCCTGTCTCAAGAAAATCACCATTAGCATTAACTGCAGGAACCTCCCGACACCACATAAATGGAAACGAGAAGCCCCGACTAACCCAAGTGCAATCCAAAGATGAGGCCACTACGCACGCGCAGGTCGCCATGCCGCTGGCGCGCGTCCTTTGCCTTCCCTGGAGGGCCGTTCTCGCGCGGCAACGGGAGGCGGAGTAAAACCGCAACGGAACCGGCCACGTACGGCAGGGCTACCGGGCCTCGCGCGCCGTCACTCCACTGACCGAAGGCCCGCCGCCGCCATCATACCCACCCGCGTCTGCCAAGACGGGAAAGTTGCCGTTTCCTGCCGAAGCCGGAAGCAGAATTAGTGGGGCGGCAAGGAAGCGCTTCCTGCGGAAGTGACGCGCGAGCGCAGCCTGGGCTGGCTTCCCTATCGCGAGCCCTCTCCTTGTTTCCGGCAGTTCATTACGCGTTGTGAGAGAGCGAGCGAGCGAGCGAGAGAAAGGCAGGAAAGAAAGAGAGCGGCGGGGAGGCGCGTTCTTCTCTGGTCGCCCGTTCCTGGAGGCGGCAGCACTGACAGGATAGCAGCAGAGCCTGAAGGGATGTGGCGGCGCCGGCGCCGGTGGCTGCTGTTGTAACGCTGGTGGCTGTGGAGGAACCCGAGTGCGGTCTCCGCCGACAGTCCCCCGCTCCGCTCTGTCCGCCGCTAGCCCTGCAGCGTGGGGGACAGCAGCGCTCCCGGTTCCGGCGCCGCTTGGCCCGGCCCAGCCAGCCTCCACTGGTTCCGCCCCCTTCCAGTTCCCCTCAAGCCGGAGTTTGGGGTGACGGGCTCTGACCGTTAACGAGGCCTGCGCCCATAGCAGCCCAGAATGGCTTCGTCGTCCGGCAACGACGACGATCTGACCATCCCCCGGGCGGCGATCAATAAGATGATCAAGGAGACGCTGCCGAACGTGCGGGTGGCCAACGATGCCCGAGAGCTGGTGGTGAACTGCTGCACCGAGTTCATCCACCTCATCTCCTCCGAGGCCAACGAGATCTGCAACAAGTCCGAAAAGAAAACGATCTCGCCGGAGCACGTCATCCAAGGCAAGAACCTCCGCCTGGTCGCTTATTTACTCTTGACAGCCACCCATTCCTGGTAGCCACTTCGTTGCTGCCCTCTGTAGGGTTCAAGATCGTAACTTTTGTTTCTGCAACCTCCCAAATACTAAGCTGCAACTTAAACTCAAATCAACGTCTCTACCAATTTTAATTTTAGCATTTGCTTTTTAAATGTCATGAAAACGTGTAGATTACTAGAAAAATTGTAGTGAGCTACAACTCCCTGCTGTTAAACAAGCTATTCTGATGTGCATTTCACTCCTTCAGTCAGCTTAGTAATAGTCTTTGATTGTAAAATTGATTTTCATGGGAAAAACGAGCAAAAGCTGTTTGTTTAGATACCTCTTACATCTTAATCCTGACCTTTAGGATTAATCTTCTACTGAACTTGAAAGATACAGCTTCAATTTCCTAATGTTAAAATGAATGCTCTTTGTGTTTATTTTGTAGAAAGGCAAGAGGTATTAATTCCAACACAAGAAGCTGGTTGATTACTTTTGTGATAATATAAGGGAGGAGGATTAGCATCTACATGGTCTTGGGTGGAAGTAGCTCAACAAATGAAACAGTCACATTCAACAGTCATGATTTCTACTTAAGGGATTAGTTTGTTTCATTAGAGAAGAGAATCTCTCTTGCACTTGTTCTTTTTCTTGTAGCTGGCTGGAAAAGCTCTTTATTTCCTCATTTGCTTGCCTTTTAAATGAAACAGGAGGTTTCTAGTAAAGGGACAGCAGTCGTGTTTGTTACTTAGTGGCTTTTCACAAAAATAAGGTGAATTTGATTTGGTCTTTACTTTCTTTCCTGTGGCTTTTCTACAGAACTTAAGTGCTTATGGTTGTTTCCATGTTGTAGTCACTATTCAGGACAGCAACAGTGAAAGTAACCCAAGTCTTGGTTTCATTCATCTGTTGCTTGATCATTCTGCTTGCACATTCAAGGCATATTTGCTGATGTAAATATGAAAAAAATGTAAACACTGCCTAAGAAAATGGATCAGACCATGGACCTGTGTAGCCCAGTATGTTGTTTCCCACATTAACCAGCCACATGTGCCTAGGAAGCCCACACTTAGCACAGGAGTGCAGTAGCACGTGCCCACTATTGTTTCCTGACATGTTGGCTTTGAAAGATATGCTGCCTCTGATCGTGATGGTAGTGTATCGATTATCATGACCAGTAGCTGTTGCTAGACTAATCCCTACATATCAGGTGAGGACACATGGCTTTCCAGATGTTGTCATTCTGCAGTTCTCAACATCCATAACCATTGGCTTTGTTAGCTGGGTCTGATAGGAGTTGGCATCCACCCATAGCTGAAGGGCTACACATCCTTCATCTGTTACATATCCTTGTAGTATACTTGCTTCACTTAAGGTAAATCTGGGCAGCTGCCAAGTCGAGAACTGTATCACTGGTGCAAAAACTAAGCAGGGACCAGTCTTAAGAACAACTGGATTCTCTGGCACAAGAATTCTGTCAGTTGAAAGACCTGCAATTCATCTTGCTTGGGAAGAGGCATGGAGACATGGTAGACATTGAAATGTTGACTGCTGGAAATGATACTTAATCTTGTTTGGCTTAAGAGAGTTCATCAGCCTAGAAATGTGTGTCCAGTATAGCTTTGTAACTACAGCCTTGACTGGCTTTTAAAAATCATGCCCCAAAATGGAAGCAGAAGTTGTGATCTTTACCAAATTATGCATTCATTCTGTGGCTTCACAGAATAGTGGAATACACCATGTCCTGGCTGTGTTTCGGCACATACCAAGCTCTGACTTTCCCTGAACACTTGTTTTCTCACAGAGTTCATAGATCTGTAGAAAATTACACAAATACCCTTCTTCAATAAATACATTCCTCAGACTGAACATTTTATGCTGGTTGGATAGTAGGAGACTAGAATTTGCTGGCTAATTCAGACTAAAATATTCCTCTGTTCACTTCCTTCAAGGAGCCCAACGCAGCACACATAATCCGCCTCCCCAGCACACGTAATCCGCCAACATGTCATAATGGTTCTATACCTAGGGTTCTTACTAGTGGAGGTCTTATATTTAGGGTAGGAGAAGACCAAGCTTGCTTTAAATCTTTTTCCCTTTTCTAACCACCAGAAGATTATTATCCAGCCATTTATGAGGCTCAGGAGACAGGGCTGCTTGCTGCAAAGTTTGCCTGTGCACTGAACAAGGCTATTAGGGCACAGTGATCCCAACCACCACTGGGCTCTCAGTTTCAAGGCAACTGTAGGACAGTTAGCAGATGGATGGGAAAGAGAGGCATCAGGGATGTAAAGCAGTTGAACTATACCCTGAATAGTTTCTTGTCAATTAGGGAATACTGTATATTATGCTGTGTTGGATCTCAGTTGTTAAATTGGTTCAATAACTTGAGATATTTTGTAATTTCTTTGCACTTAGAACATTTTGTAGTTAACTAATGCCCAATTATTTATATATTTGTTATCATTGTATTGCATCTTTCCATGAATGATCTTTGTGAAGTGAAGGTTGTTGGTCACTAACTAATCAATCACTGTACTTTCATTTTTTATGCTTGGACTTTTAAAAAATATCCTTTATACCTGGCTTAAAACACCAAGATGTAAGCTAAGCATGTGTCTTTGTAAAAATGGAACTTGGTGTTTCTCTTTCTTATAAATGGTACCGTGTGTTGAATTCTGTGCCATCTTTGCCAAATTCAGTCTGCATCTAGTTCAAACAGCCATTTTGTTACATTTCTCTGTGATAAACTAGTTTAAGTTGAACAAAACTAAAAGTCATTGTTTCAGCTTTCTACCATTAAGTCCTTCAGAACTGTATTTAGTGTTCAATATAATGTGCATTTATTGATTAAATGTGTATTCTGCTTCTTTGGTGGGAATGACACTCAAAATAAATGGCATGGTGTCAATGTGACCCATCTATTCAGCAGAGTACATTTTTTCATTTTTCTGATTAGAAAAAAATATTATATGAAGCTGAGACCCAGTGGTATGCATTCAGTCTTTTGGATTGGATCTGTATCTGCTTAGGTTCAGTGCTACAGCATCTGGAGCTCTTGGACCATTCATATGTTTGCATGAATTTAAAAAACTTGTATATGAATGCTAATATAATTCAACTCAGAAGCTGCCTCCTAGGTGTTCTGGCTTTCTTCAGGCAGATAGATTTTAAGTAATGGAGCATTTAAACATGTGGAACTCTTACTCCCTGCCCGCTTTCCCTTGGATTTTTCAAGACGGCATAGAATCTTAGAACTGATCAGTAAAAATCAGTAAATGATTCTCAGTTTGCATCTGTTCAGATTATAGTAAACTGACTTGAAGCAATTTAGAGTCAGCCCAGGATAAACTTATGTTGAAAAGGCCTGTATGCACTGTCAAATTTATGTATCCAGTGACAGAGATAACTGTGAGGCTAATGTATCATGTTGCCTAAAATAATTTAACTAACTAGAAAATCTCGTATTTTTCCTTCCCCTGTCCCTACCTGCAGCACTAGAAAGTTTAGGGTTCGGCTCCTATATCAGTGAGGTAAAAGAAGTCTTACAAGAATGCAAAACAGTAGCACTAAAAAGAAGAAAGGCTAATTCTCGTTTGGAAAATCTTGGCATTCCTGAAGAAGAGCTCCTAAGACAGCAGCAAGAGTTATTTGCAAAAGTAAGTAAAGAAACAATCACAAATACTGTACACACAGACCTTTCTTTTATTTGTCATCAATTAGAAACCATCAGTGGAAATAGAATCAACTACAGCATCCTAGCCTCAGTTCCAGATGGGGAGCTGTGTTAAGTCCTTTGCAGTCAAACAAGGGAGTTTTGTGGCACCTTAACAATTAATACATCTCTTAATGCCATCCCACAAAACTTTTTGTTATCATCCTAGATTTAGACATGGCGGACAACTTTAATTTTTGGAAAGTACTTGTACATTGTTGTGCTGTTTATTCTTTGGATGTGACAAATTTAGTAAATTAGGACTTCTCAGTAATGGGTAGAAATATATATGAGTATGAGTGCTGGAAATATTTGCATAAAGTACTGTGTCAAAAACAAAATATAACTTTTAGAAAGAATTTGGGCTGTATTCCTATGCATGTTTACTTGGTGTAAACTTCACTGGATTCAGCAGAATTGCTGAATGGCAGAGGCCATTCTGTCTCAAAGGAAAAATGAAGTTATGGGGACTGCCCTCACCACCACAGTCTGAATGGTATAATGCAGTAAATGAGGACTATAATCCCCTCTTTGAGCCAGGCCCAGGCTGTCCTCAGAATTGCAGCAGGGTTGAAGAAATGTGTTTCTGACCTCCCTCCCTCCCACCCCCCGCCTTTTCTCTCTGCACTGTCTGGCAGAAGTCTTTTACTTTTCATATTTTTTTCACAGGGAACTTCACTCGTTCCAAAGTTCTGTTTCCTTGGTTTGTGGTCAGCTCTTATGGGGAGTCTCTGTGGGTGGTGGGGGGGTTGACTACAGTGGTACCTCAGTTCACGAACAAATTGGGTTGTGAACAAATATTTCAGAAAAAATTTCCTCAGGTCGTGAACTCCGGATTGGGTGACAATTGCAATCGTGCCCATCTTCCCTGCATGGGAGCAATCGTGGTCCTGCTCAGGAGTGGGGGGGAGATGGCCACAATTGCACCCATCTCCCCCCCCCCAAGCTTGGCCGTGATCAACCCCATCTCCCCCCTGAGCGCGCCCGCAATCGTGCCTGTCTTCCCTGTGATTAAAAAATATTTACAGAACGGATTAGCCTTATTTACATTGAACCTCAAGGGGAAATTTGACTTGGCTCATGACCAATTTGGGTCACAACCAGAGTCGTGGAATGGACTCTGCAAGTCTGATATTGTAAATGTTACTGTTTCAATAGGAAGTTTCCTTGTCTCCCTCCCTTCCTCCCCCTCCCTCTGAAAGTTGTGTTCTAACTTCCCCAATCAGGTGCATAGGATTATACATGTATCTCATCAGTTCTTGCCGTAGATGCTGAACTTTTGGTTTTGTGTCCTTAGGCCAGGCAACAGCAAGCAGAGCTTGCCCAGCAGGAATGGCTACAGATGCAGCAAGCAGCCCAGCAGGCACAGCTTGCTGCCGCCTCAGCCAGTGCATCCAACCAGGCAGGATCTTCTCAAGATGAAGATGATGATGATGACATCTGAAATCTCCCAGGCTGAGTTTTGATACCTGCAAAGAAATAGTTGTCCTGCACAACAAAACCAGTGAAATGAATGCTTGCCTGTAACTTTGTCTGCATCTTGGACCGGCCATTGGTATTTTAGGGATGTCTGCTGTTGTGTGCTGTACATGTCAAAACTGTCTCTTTGAACTCTTGAAGACTTAAGGTTCAGTATCATATCAACTTTGGATTTTTAATGGTGTTTATGGAAATTTTAGATAGCCGTGTGTCACTTATTTGATCAACAGTGTTAAAATAAAGTTTATAAAATATAACAGAATTTATACAGAAGCTCTAAATTCATATTTGCATTTTTCTTCCCTTTTAACCATAGAATCTTATGTACAATCTTTTTAATTTGTTTTTTGGAAGGAAGCAGACTTTCAGTCTGCTTTGGGTAGAAAAAGCAAAGGGTTCAGTGTGATATGGTCTGAATTCTTTGTCTTTTTAAAATGAGGAGGTAGAGATATGGCAATGAATACTATGCTCAAATACCACCTGAGAACTGATACATTTTTGCCAAACAAGGAAAATGTATGTTTAATAGGAGATGTACAGATTGATTTTTTTATTTTATTTTTTTGGGGTATAAGGAGGAAAAAAACAAAAACCTGAGACTTTATTATGTTATCAGTTCAGTGTCCTGACCAACATGAAGCTTCATTTCAAATATTGCCCACTTTGGAAAATTAAAACTATTCTTGTTTGAGATCCATTTCATTTTAACTGTAGGCAGGATTACACGCATAATATACATGTTCATAGACATAGGTGTTCAAATGGGAAAGTGGAGTTTTGTGGACAGAGTTTTAACTCTGTTTTGATTGGGAATCCTTAAAAAATCAGGCCTATGAAAGCAAATATTGGAGCTAATGAGCATGCTCACAGTGAGAGGGTTTTTATTTAACTCTGATTATTTGTTGTCAGCACAATGTTAACAGTTTTCAAACTAGTGTACCAATAGATAAGCTTTATCTTGTGAAACTGACTGCTTTTACATTCAGGTAGGATACTAGTTATACATGATTCAGTTCCAAGTTTAGTTTGGTGACCTAAGCCCCTAGACTGACCAACAGGACCTGAATTAGGAAAAATTATTTTGGGATTGTGGTGGAAATGGGGTTTTTTTTCCATAGCAGTGCTTAGATGACTATTTGTGTTGAAATAAAGAACATTTTAGAATTTGAAAATATACTTGAAGATTTATCAGCATATTTTTCTGGTACTTTTGCAGGGGAGATAGAATCCCATATCTTGCATATGAATGCATAAAGCAGCATTATCAGACTGCAGAAATATTAAACTTTATAGCATTGCCTTGATGGCTATTGAAGATTGTGTAAGAACTGAGATTAAATGGTTGGAAGTCTTGTTGGTGAGCAGAGAATCAAACTGAGAGTCAAATTAAGATCTTGAATTGCAGTTTAAGTTAAGGGGGGGGGTTCATCTGTAATAATTTGCACCTGTATTTATACCCTGGTGTTGGAGAGATACATTAGTCTGAATGTTAAGCTGAAACACATTTGTGAGTTCAGCTGGAAAAGTATTGGGACAAGATCTGATTAAAGATCTAGTCTTCATGATGGTTGAAGTACCAAAGGTAGAAACACTAGACTAGTGAAACCATGTTAATGTGCAGTGTTGGCTTTTCTAATTTGTACTGTAACACCCTTACCCTTCCTGTTTTAAATGAGTTTTTTTCTTTTTAAGCAAGGAAGAAAGATAAACTTTCACACTTTTTTTCTGATGCAGAGTTCAGGTTAATATTTTACTGCATCTCGTATGTATCATAATATGTTTGAATTCCTGTGACCTTTGGACATACTTGTGCTTTTTCATATGCTGTATTCCTCAAGCAATAAAATTCAAATGTGTTTTTATATTTAATGTTTGAATATTCAACTTTGTCTTCATTGTTTATAAAGCATAATTATATTCTGATTTGGACTAGCTATGCACATGTCTTGCAACCAAGAGGAGCTAACCAAAGTGATGTTTATAATACCGTTCTTGTTAGGACTAACCCTAACCCTTTACAGTTTGCGTGATTTTCTCCCTGTGAGTCTTCTTGTTCAGAGCATGTTTGCCTTGTATTACTTGCATTTTTGTACTTGAATCTAGGTCACCAGTTCTGTTTCCAGATGTTTCTACTTTTTTCCCCACAGTGAATATTTTACTTATATGAGGAACTTTATACCAAGTATTTCAAAATATAAGAAAATAGCCCACTTTAGGACTTGACTGTCCGCGAGTCAATAAATAAAAGGAACCTCCACATGCAGAAACTACCTATCCTTTTCTCTACTAAAGGAAACCCCTGCTAGGCAGGAGTTAAGTGCCCCTCCCCATCAATGATCAGAAAGCAAAAGCAAAGCATAAGACAACTATTTTTGGAGAGGCACCATCTGCCTTTCCAAAACTAAAATGTGAACAAAACTTTATGCAGGGTCCAGTTTTGGTTCTTTGAAAGGAAGCCTGCTTTACCTTGGGAAACACCAGAAATGGTACAAAGGGGACCAGTTTGATTCAGGCAAATCTAATGTCTATCCCTACTATTTACACATTCTTGTGAAAACCCTCTAAAATAGATTAGCCTGAGACATTGAGCTATTTTGTACAACACAGCCAAGCTCATCAGCGGCTGTTTAACCCATAAGTTGCAGCATGTACTGAGTAACATAAATATTCAACCATGAGCAAGGATGGTTGTGTCATGTAGACCTAGCCATCAAGGGTTATTTGAGAACTAAACAATTCTTGCATAATCCTGAATCTCACCATTCACAGGATTAATTTTGGAGACAAACTATGCCATGATCTCTGCAGGCATCGTGCATTCTGCAAAACCCGAAGAAGGTCTGATTATATGATTCAGGGAAAAATGCATTGGGCTGCTTCAAATAATAAAACTAAATATATTTTTTCTACATCCTGAGACTTTGTCTCTTCATTTGCTGGTGTTATTTTGGATGTTGTCCAATTTTGTGTGACTACTAGGATTCATGATTTATTACAGTGACAAAGCAGAGTGGTACAGTGGTTCAAGAGTGCAGAACTGGCACTCGGGAGATCTGGGTCTGGATAGCCTCTCGGCCCAACCTACCTCACAGGGTTGTGTGATGATGAGATTTAGAGGAGGTGTGGAATTATGTAAACCAGCCTGAGTTCCTTGAAGGGAAAAAGGATGGGATATAAATATAATTAATAAAGTACATACCTAGTGTTTAGCCTTGGCCGGAAATTACTTGGCTAAAATTATAGAGAAAGTAGGAGGTAGACTAGACTAGAAAGGGAAAAGGGGTGAATGAGAGTTCTAGGAAGGAGGTGGAAGGGATACAATACCAAAGGGGGGAATAGGAGTGCTTGATTGGATAGACAGAAGAGCCAACTCAGATTTAAAAAGGAACCAGACTGTAAATAATTTGAGGTGGTACAGCTAACTGCTTGGGGAGTTGGGAGGGCATGAGGGAGAGCAGAATTAGGGATGTAAGGCCCAAGCTTTTCCAAAGCAAAGGGAGTTCTTCCTAAAGTAGTCTGCTATGAACTAAGAGATGATCCTTTGTGCCAGAATGCCAGGATCACATAGGAAGAGCCATGGGGATCGGGGCCTAACTAGTCCAATACTCTGTAAGCACTGTGGCCGACCAGATGTTCATGGGACACCCACAACCAGGACATGAGTGCAACAGCATCATCCCATTACTGTGATTCCAGTGATGTGCTGTTCCTTAACATGGCTTTGTTTGTGTCTTCCCAGCAATCCTTGGAAAGGATCCCAGGTGTAAGCTGAAACCATCTCAGTATCTGGTCGAGTCTGCAGTAACAAAATCCAGGCTCCATACTTGATCATCAGCCACTTTATCCACCCCTATTTTTTCCCTCTTTTGCTTTGTTTATCTTGCTTAAGGAATGGTTTTGATGTGTGCCAAAATTTGCACAGCATTTAGTGAACACTGAGTCATCCTTACAAAGGTATTACTACTATAGATGTTTTTGCTTTTTCTATTGGGCAACATGCATGCTTTTCCTTTTTGTGTGACCTTGGGTAGCCAAGTCTCTCTGAGCCTTGTTCAGAATAGAGTTAACAAAAATGAAGGCTGTGATGGAGGAATGTGGACACACAGATTGCATTGGTATCCTCACCAAACTGGGAAAGTTGAAAAGCTTTCCTGTTCCATTTAGAAGAGTTTGGGAGAGAGGGCCATTTCCAATTTTTAAAAAGGCTGAAGATAGGATTTAATTTTTCCTGCTGGCAGGTTGAGTAGGAAATGTACAGGGTGAAATCTGAGGAGAAAGTTTGTCCTTGAGTCCAGGAGGCTCCAAAGGGCCTACCCTTTCTCTCCTTTCCCTGAGAGAAAGGGTAGTCCCAGTCTCCTTTAAGGAGGCTGTGATAACACCTCTCTCAAAAAGCTGAACCTGGATCCAGGGATAGTTGCCACCTACTGACCAGTAAACCTTCCCTTTATGAGCGAGGGTTTGGCGTGAGTGCTGCCCAGACAGTTTCAGGCGCTTTTGGAGTAAGCAGATTATGTGGACCCATTTCGATTGGGTTTTAAGCTGGGGTTTAGGATGCAGATTGCTTTGGCTACCCTGTATGATGCCCTCTGCCAGGAGAGGGACAAGGGGTGTGCAACCTTGTCGATTCTTCCAGACCTCTCAGAGGCTTTCAACACCATTGACCCTGGTGCCCTTCTGGACAGGTTGACCGGATTAGGAGATGAAAGGACTGCCTGCTTTGGTTCTAATCCTTCCTGGCTGAATGTATCCAGAAGGTGGTGCTGGGAGATAGTTATTCTGCCCTGTGGCAATTGCGCCATGGGGGTCTGCAGCATTCTGTCCTATCTCCCATGCTTTTCAACATCTACATGAAACCTCTGGGAGAGGTCATCAGGACACTGATGCTGTGATGTAAGCAATATGCTGATGACACTCAGCTCTACCTCTTGTTCACATTGAATCCAGGTGAGAAGGTCTCCGTGCTGAACCAGTGTCTGTCTGAGTTTGATAACGGTCTGGATGAGGGCCAATAAACTGAAACACAATCCAGGCAAGACAGACAAGTTGTTGGTTGTTGATTCTGACACTGTCCAGTCTTAGATGGGGTCACACTTCTCCTAAAGAAGAGAGTCTGCAGTGTGAAAGTGCCCCTGGACCCAAGACTTCAATTGGAGCCCAATTTAAAGTGTTAAAACAACTTTGGCATGAGACCTGGCTACTTGAAGGATCTCCTCCTCCCATATACTCCTACCTACACAACAGCAGGAGTTGGGTAACAATTAACATCTTAATTGGTTTCTGATTTCCCATTGAGATCTGGGAATAAGGTCCTTCTGAAAGAGCTATCCATAAAGGAAGCTTTCAGGATAGTGATTAGAAGAAGGGCCTTCTTGGTGGTTGCCCCCCCCCCACCTTTGGAATGGGCTTCCTAGGAAGGTCTGCCTGGTGCCATTACTACTTCATTTTGCTGCCAATTGAAAACTGTCCTCTTTTGCAACTATTCTGAAACCTATTTTTTTCCAACTGATTGTAAGCACTCACTCTACTACTAGCAGTTTTTTTTCCTTTCTCCCTGCTCTGGCTTCTAGGAACTTGGAATTGTAATTTTGGCCTGCTTTTTAAAATTATTGTTCACCACTTAAGAGTCCTTATAGGTTAGTCAACAGCCTATAAATGTATAAATAAATAAATAGGGTGTAGTGTATATCTCAGGAGATAATGGGCTAAGCATTAATGGGCGGAGGAGTATCTCTGGGATTGTTCTTAATGGGTTTCCTGTCTTGCACCAATTACTATTTTAGGGCTCTCAAAAACCAATGTACTAGGCATACTGTGGGACTTGATTTGCTTGGATCAGTGTGGAGATGATGCCTTTGCACCACCCTCCCCTAACCTGGTGTCCTTCAGATCTGGAGCACTACACATTCCCCATGCCTGAAGTGGAGGAGACTTAATGTATGTTTACATTCTGATTTATCCTATGAGGTCAGTTTTGCACCAGCTTGCCCTTTCCAGGCAAAATGAGCTTCCAGAATCAAGGTGCTAAGAAAACACTCAGCTGAAGCAGCAGAGATTGGCCCTTCCTTCCTTAGAGGGCTGCCTCTGAGCAATTGCACTATTTTCGTGCCAGAAAGCTTCAATCAGCCCCTTTTAACTAGCTTTTAGTGGAAGCAAATCAGTTTCCAATGTTTTGAACAGAACACAGTAGCTGGAGTTGGTATGCAATTAACATCCTAATTGGTTTCTGATTTTTTTTCAACAAAAATGAATTTTAATGCATGAAGCTATCTTTTCAACATAGCTGTGTTCATTAATCCACTAATGAATCAGGTGAGGAGAAAACAATTTGATCACTTATGACATTCCTGCTTTTCCTCCCAAATATGCTAATCCATGGTTCTCTCCTGCCACACCTGTGTGTTACTTCCACAAAATCCTGGTGTGATAATTGGAGAGAGAGTGATGGCTGAAATCCACCCAGTGAGCTTCCTAGCTGAGTGTCTGCATGAACATGGATCTTCCTAGTCTGTGTAACCCACTACACCAGAGCGGTTCTGTCAGACTGGGAGAACAGCAACCCCTTAATTTAACGTGCAAACAGTACTTCTGTGGCCCTTACTTCACATTTGCTACAAGTCTGGTGGTATTTTATCCTTTTTCAAAGTTTATCTTCTGGAGCTTAATGTATGAAATGCAGGCATTTTTGTTGAGATACCCAAGCTGTTAAAGTAAGAAATATCTCCACAACTCAGAAATGGCAACAGCAGATGCTATAAAATATTTTTAAAATTATTCTTCATCCCTCCTCAGTAATGCTGGAGTTGAGAGTTAAAATAATTTTGAAATAACTGCTGTAACAATTTTCGATGATAAGAGCTGGGATTAGCCAT